TCTTTGTGGTTGCCATGGCAACCAGAGTTCTGCATGGAATTTAATTCTTTGAACAATTTTTAAAGTTGACTACCAAAGGAACTTTTCTGTGAAGTTCGGATGAAATTGGCTTAGCAGTTTATGAGGTGATGTTGTTTAAAGTACAAGATTACGGACGGATGCCGAACGGATGCCGGACGAAAAGCGATCACAAAAGCTCACCATGTCACTTTGTGACAGGTGAGCTAAAAACAGAACAACAAAAACTTTTATATATACATGTATATTTTCTCCTGTAATATCACTTCTGACACCAACACTACATATAATGAACAAAAACTAAATAAACTTTCTAAATTATTATGACTGGTCATAGAAATAATATCAACAAAAGAACAAAAATATCACCAAAACAGAATGAAAGACAAAAGTTTACAAGAATGTGTAAATAATTAATATGTAAATATTATATACAAATGAGAATCTATAACCACCTTTTACAATGCCAAACATAATTGAGCCGCGTCACGACAAAACCAACATAGTGCGTTTGCGACCAGCATAGATCCAGACCAGCCTGCGCATTGGTGCAGTCTGATCAGGATCCATGCTTTTCGCTATCAGTTTCTCTACTTGTAATAGGGTTGGTAAGCAAACAGCATGGATCCTGATCAGACTGCGTGGATGTGCAGGCTGGTCTGGATCCATGCTGGTCGCAAACCCATTATGTTGGTTTTGTCATGGCGCGGCTCATATCATGTGTAAGGATTACCGGTACCTATATACTAAATAGTACTGACACATTATTTTCAACTCTTACTACGCTAAATGACTGTCAAACTGTCCACTATAAATGTGGGGGAATTAAATATCAAAATTCTAAAAGTTAGCAGTGAACAGTTTAAAGTATCGGTAAGTACAGAGTGACCTAGATATACACAGTAAGTATAAGTAAGTCATTAATGATTATGGCCACTAATATTAACATAGTTCATGTATTGTTATATAAATTGTACTACCTTTTCTTTTTTTAACCCATCCATCTTAATGATCGTAACTAATTATTTGATGACTGAAAAACAATCTATATTCATTTATTTAGTCATTTATTTTGATGTGTGTTTAGAGCATGTTTTGTTTTATATTGAGCACCTGGTGTAAATCAAAAATGATTTGTCAAATATTACTGGAAGTACATGAAATTTGTGATTATCTTGACACATTTAACAAAATGATTTAACTGAAGAAAAAAATTGAAAGTAAAATAATGGAATGTTTATATACATATAGATAAACAAACTACAACATGAAACAAGAGCTGTCGGTAGGACAGCAACGCTTGACTATTCTTAGTTCATGATAGTAAAAAAGCCTTGATAATGTAAAATTTTCTAAGTAAGAAAGGGCAATTTTTTTCTTTAAATCCATATTACATTTAGGCCTTGGAGAGAGCCCTATTATGCTCTAAAAGAAGAGTATAAAATTTCAACTTGTTTCAAAGCCATATGTCGATGGACTTTGAAAATATTGAGGTATTACAAAAACTTTAACGTAAATTTAAGTTGAAAAAGGGCATTATTCTGTCGAAATGCTTGATAGAGTTACCTCCTTCTCTCTACAGGTTGGGTCATGATAGTGAACAAGTGTGCAAAGTTTTAAAGCCATATGTCAATTGACTTTGAAAATATTTGAGGTATTACAAAAACTAAAACATAAATTCTAAGTCGAAAAAGGGGCATAATTCTGTCAAAATGCTTGACACAGTTACCTTCTCCTGTCTACAGGTTGGGGTCATGATGGTAAACAAGTGTGCAAAGTTTCAAAGCCATATGTCAATGGACTTTGAAAATATTTGAGGTATTACAAAAACTTTAACATAAGTGGTTACGCCGACGCTAGGGTGACTATAATAGCTCTACTTATTCTTATCAAGTAGTCGAGCTAAAAATCTCTTACTGATACATACACTATATATACACAATTTAGCACTTCAAAAACATATTGCACTACACCCTGTAATGTAATCTTTTATCTATACTAGAGATTTATTTATCAGTTTCTTACTTGTCGTATAATAAATTAATATATAACATTTTTAAGATAAACATAAATGTATGACTATTGCAATAACAACAGTTTTAAAAAAAACAACCTTCGAAACTTTAATGATTTAACAAGAATTGGTGTAAATAGTTCATTTCACTACATAATTAACAATTCTATGTTCTACCTAGCATTCAGATATATAATCTTAAATAATAATACAATTAAATCAACCCAACATGGTAAAAAGTAAACTAATGCTTATCATATAGGATTTACAGAAACCTTAAGTATCACTTACTTTCTGAAGAATAATTCTGATTCTAAGTCCAGTACAAAATCAATATCCTTTTTCTTAATATTCAAAAAAAAAAACATCAAAAAAAAAAAAATCAAAAAAAATCAGCAATTAAAGTAGTATGAAGTTGGTAAATTTGCTAAAATTGACAATATTTACCTTCCTCTTTAACAGAGTTTTTGAAATTAAGAGTTTAGTTAAGTTTTAGATCGAATATTTGGCTTATTTAAAGGGGATTTGTGAAAAATATAAAACAAAGATACAATTTGCTTCCAAAAATATAAATGGGCACTTCCCTGACAGTTTAATATAATAATGAACATGTTCAAGTTTACTCAAATTATTCAGTAATTTTGGGAAAGCATGTTATCTGAAAAGTTAATCGTCTGTAACATATTAATATCTGACCGGAATATCCGTCCCGAGGGGACCAGCCCATTGGGCAGTAAAGAGGCTTGCCGAGTTACAGCCCATGGGCGAGTTCCCGAGCGACCGATATTCCGATCCGAACCGCAAACATGTCAGATATTTTTTCTTGCATATTCTGCCATATTATTTCATATCTAAAATGATTTACCTCAATATGATATATGTTCACGGAAATTAAAGTCATTTCATCCATAACTATTTTCTTACAGTAGTGTATGAACTTACAACTTAAACAAGAGGGCCATGATGGCCCTGAGGTCGCTCACCTGTATTATAGGCCCCCGGAGCGGGGCCAGTTTAAACCCCAGGGATTTTATTTGAACAAACTTGGAAGACACCCATTAGAAGATGTTTCATGATGTTAAGTTTTATTACACACATATAATGAAAATTAATGACCTTCCCCTTCCCCCCCTGCAGGGCCAATTTTAACCCAAGGGCTTTTATTTGAACAAACTTGGTAGACCACCCATAAGAAGATATTTCATGCTAAACATCTAAGCTCTAAGCTCATTTGGGTTTTTTAAAAAGAAGATTTTTTAAGTTTTTACTATAATATAGTTAAAAGTTATGACACCCCTTGGGCGGGGCCAGTTTTGACCCTGGGCTTTATTTGAACAACTTTGTAGACACTTACTAGAAGATGTTTCATGCTAAATATCTTAGCTCTAGCTCTTTGGGTTCTTTCAAAGAAGATTTTAAGTTTTTGCTATACACAAAAAGGAAAATCAATGACCCCCCCGGGCGGGGCCAATTTTGACCCCAGGGCTTTTATTTGAACAAAATTTTGTAGACACTCACTAGAAGATAATTTTCATGCCAAATATCTAAGCTCTAGCTTTTGGTTTTTTTAAAAGAAGTTAATTTTTTGCTATATATACATTCGGGCGGGGCCAATTTATGCCAGGCAACCAAACTTGGTAGTTCTGCATGAATGCTAAATTCTTAGCTCTGCTCTTGAATAGAGAGTTTTAAGTTTTACTTAAGGTCAATGACCCCCGGGCGGGGCAAAGAAAACATTCTTTTGAAGTTTGGAAAAAATTGGTTAGTGGTTTATGAAGGAGAAGATTTTTTAAATTTAAATAAATAGTTTAACGGAATGACGGACGCCGGACGAAAAGCGATTCACAAAAGCTCACCTGCCATTTTGTGTGAACAAGGTTTTAAAAACAAAACGGCGAAATGCCCCCAAACCTAAAGAAAATTTTCCTCTAAAAAGATTTTTTTTGTTTTTTAGCCGTTTTTTTTTTCCAAAAAGATTTTTGGGTGCAATTAATCTAAAACCCCCCCGCGGAAAAAATTTTTCGCATGGGTAAAACTAAGAAACCCCTTATCAAGCATAAAAAAAACAAATCGGGCTTTTTTTCCCTTTAAAAAAGATTTTAATTTCAAAAATCAACCTCAATTAAATTTAAATTTATAAATGATTTGAACTTTCAAAAAGTGTTTTTGATATAACTCATTTTTGGGTTTTTTTTTTTTTTAGTTTTTTTTTTTTTTTTCAAAACCAAAATTTTAATGATTATCTTTAAAAAAAATTTAAAAGTTGTTTTTTGGGAAAAAAAAACTTAAAGAAAATTTTATTTTAAAAAAAAAAGAAAAAAGACGTCTGTAGGACAAAAGGGCCGATATTCCCTAAGCGCATATGGCCTTGAAAATTTTTAAATTTTTTAAATTTTACGGGCAATTTATTTATTAAAAAAATGCGCTAAAATGACGTTTTGGTACGGCGACACATTTACCCCCCATGCCAAATTTCATGTTCATGGGTTTAAAGGTCACAGAAAGGCCATTTATGCAAGACAATAAATAGATACAAATGCAGCTCTAAAAACCTTTAAAATAAAATGCAGTTTATATTTCAAAAGGGTCCAAACAATCTTAATAAGTATTATTATTATAAATTAGATGTTGAAACTTGCACAGTGTCCTGTGATAGTAACTCACTAGTTGTTTAGTTTTTATTATTTACTACAGCACCAATAATGATTCAGGGCAAAAAAAAAATATGTAAAAGTGTTTTTGGGATTAAAACACTTAACTGCCTTAGACAAATATTTTATTTAAAAAAAAAAAAACAAGGGGGAAAAAAACTGCCAAGATATGGCAACTGTGAAGAATTTGGTGTTTATTAGAGACCATTGTTCTGAGATTCAGTAAGAGCGTCTAATTAGACATTTTTAAAAATACAGTATATCAACTACTGAAGTTTTGGTTTAAAACGAAATTTTTTTAAGTGAAACACATCTGTCAAGTAAAATAAATGCATCTGAGTTGAGTCTCATGTGTTGTATAACACTATTGTATCTGAGTTGACTCACATTGTTGATTAAAATAAATACATCTGAGAGGGGTGAGACTGTTGAGTATAGTTCATTTATCAATGGTTGAGTGAGTGTTGTACAGTAGTTTGAGCATGTCATAGATTTAATATGAGTATATAATCACATATTGATGATGATATTACAATATCTTTCATTAAACAGATGCTTATATATGAACTATTTCAACATTAAATAAACTGTTTTTTAACTGACATGACTTGAACTTACATCAAAAGCTTTAAAACTTTTAATCTAATTTTATGACAATTATATTTTTAACTAAAGCCAGGTGCTGTATATGGTATACATCACTATGTTAACTCATAAGTTTCTAAACTTTCCAATGTAGTAAAACAATCAGTGTTATTATTAATTAGATAAAGGATAAAAAAGTTTATACAGAGAAGTTGAAATTTACTTTCAATAATAAACTTTAAAAATATTGTGTGCTTTTTTAAACTTATGTATTAAATCTACATCACAATCATGTAAATAATGATCAAAGGTTGAGGAGTAACTATGTTTATGATAATACATTTTACAGGAAAAACTAAAAAAAAATTATCAGGTAATAAAACTGATTTTAAACAAATAGGTAATATTTCGAGATCTAATGTTCAATTATTGAAAAAGTATTTATAAAGTTGATTACAGATCTGTGAAAATGCATTTTGTTTCTGTAGTGATAGTCCTTGGAAATTAAAAATTCCATACATTAAAATGATTTTCAGACAATAGACATTTATATAAATCTTTGACACAACAAATATTAATATTTATATAGTTTTTCTAGAGTTTTATCTAAAAAAATATAGGTATGGCATTTATAAACCTAAGGGCTGCAGTATCTTGTTTCAACATATAAGAATATTAAATGATGAATCGGTTTCCAAGTTTTTGATTTTTAGCATGTAAAACAGATATGAATTTTGACACAAGTTGAAAAAAAAAAAAAAAAAAAAATAACAATAATGCAAATTTTAGATTACAAAAAAATATTCAGCCCAAAATCTTTCATTTAATTGTCAAAGTGAGCAAAATAATGGAAAGAGAAATAAAAAGTTCCAAAAAGCAATGTTATTTTTTATTCATGTGACACAACATTACTTTGTATATGACCACAAGGCAGTGCTACATGTTTAATAATCCAGCTCTGGGCCATGTAGCCAAGTGAATAAAATACATTTTTCTACATGTATATAAATCTTTGTAAAGTCAGTGATCCCCTGCACAATCTCTGTAGTTGACTGTTATGTAATGCTCCAAACTAAATGACTAACCTCTAAACCTTGTACTTTCTAGAGGATGTTTGATAAAATTTAATTTTTGAAATATATTTTCAGCTAAGGTGACCTACTTATGCAGCAGACCAAGACTTGTCTTTTTAAATTGGTGAAAACAACAGATAACGATGGACATCAACCCATCAATAAATCTCACCTGGGAGCATTTTGTTCTCCGGTGAACTAAAACACCAGAAAACATGTGAGAGCTGTATGGTAAAGCCTTTAAAAGGAAGCATATACCTCAGACAAATATATATTACTAAATCCTTTATAAGGAAACACGGATACCCCTAACAGCTGTAACAGTAATATAACATTTATAAAGGAATCAGACAATTTTACTTGTATGTCCGTTCTGTAATATCATGTTTATATATAACAACTGTACTGGTAAACCGGAATGCTTTATCTGAGATCATTTAAATAAACAACATCCTTGTCACATATGTAAAAATAGACTTAGCAAAATAAGCAATTAATTAAAACAAAAGATCTAAGGACATGCTTAGCAATCTACAAAATGTTCTTATCAAATTAATTTGGATACAGCATCTTTTCTATAAATCTATAAATAGATTGGATAGTGAAATGGGCTTTAGAATAATCACTCTTATCTTACATGTTATATGAAATAAACCAATGATTCATGTAACATGAACAAAATGTAAACATAATAAACATCAATATACAAATAAATACTGATAAAATTACATGGCCAAAAATGCCAGTTCATTCGGTCAAATCAATCCCTTGTTATTCTGAAATAATTACAGGAAAAACTTGATGTTTACATTCAGTATTTATGGCTTAAAACATGTTCACAAAATTGCCTATTTTTAAAATTTTTAGTGGATAGTGTATTGTCTTCATTCGGATCCTGGTGAGTTGACGGGACTAAGGTATGGGCACACAGCGTTCAGATGGTTGCCGGCACATTCTACAGTAGGTACATGTCCCGAGTCCCACATGCCTTGACCACACAGTGAACAGAGACCGTGAAGTGTACATGGTATAACAGGCAGACGTCTATACTCGTGTAACAATCCTCGTGCCTGAAATATGACCGCTGTTTGTTAATACTACCTTAACTGTATAACATAATAGCATACTAAAACTTGTTTTGTCAAACTGATTAAATTTCAAACACAAATAATTATAGTGCAATTTAATTGTTACCACGGAAAATGTGAGCTGTATAACAAGATGGTCATGATACATGATGGCCTTACACCTCATGTATAAATATGAGTTGCAAAATAATAAAAACTTTAATATTGATTTTTATATATGATTTTGATTTATTTTATATAGAATATTCCATCTATTTATTCGGAAAAAAAGGAACATATTAATAAAAATATAAACAGTTTTTATTATTTTTAGCTCTGGTGATCCCTAGGAAAGGGCTTACTTAAATTTTAAGATGCTTCAAACCGAAGTTGGTAATATGCCACCTTTTTTAGTTGTTTTTTTGTTTGTTTTTTTTTTCATTTTTATCTCTGATGACTTCCTAAAGGAAAGCTACCAAATAATTTCAGCAGACTTAGTAAATAACCACCACAGAATGATCAGATAAAGTTTGATGATGATAATGATGACCAATCCCTCAATTGGTTCCTAAACAGGTTTTTCTATTTTATGACCTGTAGACACCTTAAAGTGGCCAATTTATATAATGTACACAAAAAACAAAGGGTCACAAAAATATGACTAGTAGCATCACAGTAGACCACTGTTTTCAAGCTTTGTTTCTGGTGAGCAAAATACATGCATAGAATAGAATATTGAACATACCTTCCTAAGTACAAGTTCTCCACTCATATGACATGCAAGACTACTGAAGTGTAGCAGAATTTCATCTGCCGGTAGACACTGTTCTACCACATCCTCTCCGTATATACTCACAATAGATACACAGATAAACAAGTGAAAATAATCTGTCTGATAATGTGACCAGCAAGCCTCCCAGATACGTAGAGCAGCTTTCTCATTAAACTCTCGCTTGAAACACAGTAAGATCCATCTAAAACCCGGAAAAAATAATATTACATTATCAAATACTGATAAAGTCAACAGTTATTATTCTAACATGGTTGTCTAAAGTAGATAAATTTGGAACAAAATAAAGTAATATTTTAAAACTAACACGCACCTAGTAAATGTCATGATATTCTCTACTTAATAAAGGCTGTACCTCATTCAAGCTAAAACTGGCTATGTACAAGAGTTAGAATTGAAATAATATATATATCATAGTATTTATTGATATGACCTATTTTAAAAGTCTTGTAGTTTACTGCAACAGTACTCAAACGTGATAAATCCTACTATATACCTTAGTTACACTTATTATACATTTTCTATGCTGAACCATACTGAATACTTAAGTATTATAATACAGCTTTTTTATTTAATGTTTTAGATGACATAATTGTTATAATAAATATATTATGTAATAATTATATTACCTGTGAGTAAAAAGAAGCTCCATAGCATCATCGCCAAGATGTACTAAATGTTCATAGAACACAGGCTGCATTAAACGTAACAGCTCTCTTAAATACAGCTGTAAATGTAACACATACACTACACTTATATCATATTTGAAAAAAAAAACCAACAACTTTTTCAGACTAAAACTGCTTAAACTGTTAACACAAACAAAATTACAATTATCTATTTTTCAAGTTGTATCTCATTATTCCACTAACAAGTACGGTAGAAGTTTACTTAAGCATTTTTTGGGGGAAATCGGGAGGTATATAAATGAACCATTACATGATAGAATATGCACACAGTGTAATAGTAATGAAATTGAAATGAAACACATTTTTTTACATTTTATAAATTTCAGGCATTCTTTTTAATTATTAACAAACATGTATATGTTATATATATAATTCTTTATATTTGTCATCATATACGTTACATGTTCAGCTGACATTATATCTAGTAACACTTGATCAAATGTGCTTAATTAAGTCTATTATTTAAGGTGACTTATAGGCCCATGCAGCTGGGTGTTGATTTATTTCATTTTGAAAATATGTTCTTTTTGTATGTATAACACATGTCACTATAATAAACAATTTATATATCTATAGCCATATTTCACCAAATTTATAAATACATAATAAAGATACTATATAAAACCACTAATTTACAAACCAGTTGTTTATCCATGTCACAGTCTTTAGGTGAGCTAACAAAGATAGTTTTCTGCATGAGGCCAGTAAAACACCAGTATGCATCCACCTCTTTCTGTATCTCAGCTAGAACCGGTGCTAGCAAGTCAGACATACCCTGAGTATATCCAAACGTCGGATTTTCTACAGCATAATTCAGTAAAATATACCTGAAATTTTATACATAAGATAAAAATCTAGGACAACTTACAATTACATTACATGCTAGTAAGAAGGTGCTCTGGACTATTCCCAGTATTTGTTTCAACTATCTTATTTACATTATGTACATGTAAATAACTTGCCTAGTTATGCTGGAAGAAATAAGACAATTTTGTCTAAATTCATGACATAGCTATGTTATCTTGCCTAGAAATGAGTGTCAAGGTAATAAATTTTAAAGTATTAGTGAAAGTGGAAAACGATAAAATTTTAAGCCAAACCAAATGAAATAACTTTGTTAAAATCTACAAAAAGTGTGCATTTACTTTTACCTCCATGTGCAGGTGGTGGTTCTAAACAAAGTTTGAAACCAGTTCCTCAAAAGGTTCAGTGAAAAAGTTTTAATAGTGTAAAAGAATATAATGAAAAATTCTGTAATCATTGGGGCATATCTATGCTCACAAAAGCAGGTAATGGTCAGCAATTTGTGTGATAAGTTTCAATCTAATACCCACAGGCTGTAAGTTTCTTGAAAATGTGGGTAGTGCAAAAAACTTAATAAGCTGTGAAAAAGTCACCCCACAAGTAGGATAGCTCTTTATATATACATGTATAATTATATTGTATATTTTATACATTCTGTCAAGGTAAATAAAGAATTGTGTACTGCTGATGTTAGAAGACTGAAAATCTTATGTATAGGAAATAATATAAGCTAACCAGATAATCTGATATATGACAACAATTGAAACTCTCCTCTATTATTCCAAAATCTACACCAAAAATTAATGGCAGAAGGGAAGGTATAGCAATTTATAATTTTCTTAAATTAACATAGCAATAACTAAAAGATAAATAAATAAGTACAATTTACTTAAATATCACAATTTATCATGAGACAGCTTTTGATGGTGTCATAAAATGCTTAGTCAATGTTTCTAAACAATTTGTTTACCAACTAGAGAGATCATTAGTTACAAAACATTACTTGAAATTAATAAATTCTGTCAACTTTGAAAACAACAACAACAAAAACAAGAGCTGTCCGTAAGACAGCGCGCTCGACTTTTTTATTGCTTGCCAATAAAAAAAGTTTTTGCAGTAAAAGGCAATACAAGAATCTCTGTATTTTTAAAGTGAACAATGGCCATGAGCATTAAGATATTTAGTGAAGAATTATTTTACTGAATTGTGTGATACCCTTGAACACTGCAGGTTCAGTGGATAGGAATGAATTTTTTTAGATTTTTTAAGTTTTTTAGTGCTTGCCTATAATACAAAACATTGACAGTTAAGGGCCATAATTCAAATAAAATCTTTGACAGAATTACCTTCTCCTGGACATGTTTGGGAATCATGATTGTAAACAAGTATTCCAACTTTCAAATTAATATCTCAAACAGTTCAGTCAAAAAGTGGACTGGTACTAAAAACTTAACCAAGATTCTAAGTCGATAAAAGGCCTTAATTTTTAAAACAAATCCTTGACAGAGTTACCTTCTCTTGCGTTCAGATGGGGGTAATGATGTGAAATAGCATTAAAAGTTTCAAAGCAATATCTCAAAGGGTTAAGGCAATAAGTGGATTTTACCCATATTCAATGTATTTTCTAAGTCAAAAAGGGGCATAATTCTGTCAAAAACCTTGACAGAGTTATGTCCTCTTGTCTGTTGATGAAGGTCGTGATGGTAAACAAGTATGGTCAGTTTCAAAGCAATACCTCCAATGGTTTTGAAATAAAGTGAGGTGGTACAAAAAACTTAACCAAGCTCAATACACTTTCTAAGTCAAACAAGAGCTGTCCGTAAGACAGCGCGCTCGACTTTTTTATTGCTTGCCAATAAAAAAAGTTTTTGCAGTAAAAGGCAATACAAGAATCTCTGTATTTTTAAAGTGAACAATGGCCATGAGCATTAAGATATTTAGTGAAGAATTATTTTATTATGACATAATTTATGGTAAAGTGAACAAGTGGATAGGAATGAATTTTTTTAGATTTTTTAAGTTTTTTAGTGCTTGCCTATAATACAAAACATTGACAGTTAAGGGCCATAATTCAAATAAAATCTTTGACAGAATTACCTTCTCCTGGACATGTTTGGGAATCATGATTGTAAACAAGTATTCCAACTTTCAAATTAATATCTCAAACAGTTCAGTCAAAAAGTGGACTGGTACTAAAAACTTAACCAAGATTCTAAGTCGATAAAAGGCCTTAATTTTTAAAACAAATCCTTGACAGAGTTACCTTCTCTTGCGTACAGATGGGGGTAATGATGTGAAATAGCATTAAAAGTTTCAAAGCAATATCTCAAAGGGTTAAGGCAATAAGTGGATTTTACCCATATTCAATGTATTTTCTAAGTCAAAAAGGGGCATAATTCTGTCAAAAAACCTTGACAGAGTTATGTCCTCTTGTCTGTTGATGAAGGTCGTGATGGTAAACAAGTATGGTCAGTTTCAAAGCAATACCTCCAATGGTTTTGAAATAAAGTGAGGTGGTACAAAAAACTTAACCAAGCTCAATACACTTTCTAAGTCAAAAAAGGGCCATAATTCTGTCAAAAACCTTGACAGAGTTATGTACTCTTGTCTGTAGATGGAGGTTATGATGGTGAACAAGTATGGTAAGTTTCAAAGCCATACTTGTAATACTTCTGAAATAAAGTGGGGTGGTACGAAAAACTTAACCAAGGTGTGACGCCGACGCCGACGCCGGGGCGAGTAGGATAGCTCCCCTTTTCATAGAAAAGTCGAGCTAAAAAGGGCCATAATTCTGTCAAAAACCTTGACAGAGTTATGTACTCTTGTCTGTAGATGGAGGTTATGATGGTGAACAAGTATGGTAAGTTTCAAAGCCATACTTGTAATACTTCTGAAATAAAGTGGGGTGGTACGAAAAACTTAACCAAGGTGTGACGCCAACGCCGACGCCAACGCCGACGCCGACGCCGGGGCGAGTAGGATAGCTCCCCTTTTCATAGAAAAGTCGAGCTAAAAACAACCTTGTCTCATGCACCTGTAAGGAAATATGTGGCTTACTTGAGCACTTCAATGTTTGGATTATTCTCTCCCTTGAAATAAGGATGACTTCTATCTGTTCTGACGACATCTTTCTCTACTGTACATTGAACATTTCTCCAGAACAATTCCTGCTCCTCCTCTGACATTGACTCCCTAATCATCAAAATGTTGATAAATGTATATAAATGCTCATAATAGCAATTCCATTTTATATATTAGCATTTATTAAATTTCTATTTTCAATTTGTAACAGTAATGCAAACAAATTTCTTAAAGTTTGAAATATCTGTACATCTTTTATAAAATTATACATTTTTTAGAAGCTGGGGTGGTGTTTTTGGTAGTTTTCTCTCCGTATCATGGCAGTAAGCCACATTGAATTTAGTCAATTTACCAGATCACCACCGCATCGTTCCCCAGTATGCTGTTAAGCAGTTTACAAGTACTAGTTGATATCACTTTCACAAGGAACTGATAACTTCTGTACATACCAGAGCAGAGGTATAATGCGAATGGCCATAGAAAGGATTTCATGATCAATCACAACAAAGTGACTTGCAAGGTCCAGAAATCGTACCCGGGTTACCCGATTCACAGTCCAACACTCTACCTGTATTAAGCTAACCGGAAAGCCGGACATAAAAGATGGAATCTATACCTGTCTCACATAAACTTAACAGAAACACTTTTTTCTTCATAGTTTCTAAGACATGTTTCTTTCCCAAAATGAAAGATATTCTATATTTTCTTCTTTAAGTCAAAGCAATGTTTTCAAAGATATGGCAACCTTCAGACATAAATGATGCAGACAGCTGATGTTCCTGTAGGCAGCAAATTTTAACTAAGAAAAGACACTGATAGTAAATCAATTACCTATTACTCTTTATAATTTATGGTTTTCAGAAAATTACCTCACATAATAGTGGTTGAATTGTTGAAAGCAATATATTAGCCCATATTACAGAACTTTACTACACTGACAGCAACTGTGAAAGCACATCTATGACCTAAAACAAGACCAGTCTGCACTGTCATGTCTTCTGGCCACACCCTTTTGTTGACTCCACAATTTTAGCTTTTATTATATGAAAACCCTCTTGAAAACAATGGATAAGTCCAAATTTAAAAGAGGGCGAGTCAATTTTAATAAATTTAGCAATGAAAGACTAACTACAGGGATAGATACTCTTTCTTCACTTATTTTGAGAAAAGAGAAAAAAAAATCCCAGTGAATAAATAACAAATGAAACAGGGAATGTTACCTTTTCTTTCTAATATTTTGGTACTCGATGTATTTGTCATTACGTATTTGTTCTCTCTCTTCAAATGTTGAATCAAAAGGATAATAGTGCAGTAAGAACGGCCATACTTCATGACGTAAACAAGGTTCTAAACCACCAAAAAATATTGCCTGTAAAATAAACAAGAAACATGGTAAAACAAACACAAATCTAAATCTCAAACAAAAATATTGTTATTTTTACCAACTGAAAACTAAGCTAATGGTACCCATCAAAGACTGAATAACTTAAATCAGTTGCCTTTCTTGAAAATCTATACACAAATGTACATTTTCAATACAATCTTCTAACAATAGGATGGATAAATACGAAAAATGGGATCATCATCATCATTCATTCATTCATTCATCAGTATGAACAATAAGAAAATGCGTCTTTATAATTTGCTTTTTGTCTTGTCAATATTTTTTGTGAGCTTGATCATAAATTGTATATTATTATGTTGTTTGATAAAGTCATCAATTCTGTCATATATCTCGGTGCCATGTTATTTAAAAACAAGTATCACCACAAGTTCAGGGTTACATTACATTCTAACACTAATGGGATATCTTCTAAATAAACAAAGAAGATCCAAAGTGTGCATTATTCTACAACAATGCGCTTGCTGTTCTTAGTTCCTCCCACAGTATTTTCAATCCATCACATTAACGGCGCCATTTGTTTGAAAAATGTTATAAATTAAAACAACTTTTAGTTGAATTTTGTTCTGAAAACTATCTAGAATGATAGAATATGGTCTAGCTAAGAAAATAAATCCAAACAGCAATATCTAATTCAGTCATTAACGCTGTAAAGATGTTTAAAGTGTTATTAACATGACATCACAAAGAAGCGCCAAACAGTTACTATTGGAAACTCTGAGGCTAAAACAATTTTAACCACCAAACATAATATTATTGTCCATCTATATATTTTTTCTTGACATGTTAGAATGGAAATAGATATTAATTTTTCATGCATTATGGTATAATAATGCAAGGCTTTTTGTTTAAATGCTTTGTAATTAATCACTCAGGCCTATCGACCTTTGTGATTATATTACTACGCATTTGAACTCAAACCATGCATTATTCTACAACAATGCACTCAGAATTGATATCTATTTCCTAAATTTAACATTTTTTAAATTGAATTGTATTTATTATTAGTACAGAGTTTCCTTCACAATTGAAATAAAGCTTGAAAAACTAGAAATGTGTCATCATGCCACGGATGCCCCCGCATGCAGCCAAAATTTCAGATGGTGCATTAATTATTTTTTTCATTTTAAGTTCAAAGCCCTTAAAACTTTAAAATGTTAACACAAACCATTTTCATACAATGTTCAAGACACTGAAATTATTCAGTTTTAACCTTTTAAAAATAACATATTTCATATTTGTAGCCAAAATAATGGCTAAAAGTATGAGTGCTGAAACTGAAAGTACAAAATTTTTCCAACATTCAGGAAAGATAAGTTGAACCACAACCAAATTCATACTTAAACTGCTTATTCCTAAGATGTATCTATATTATTTTCAAAGTGAAAGGGACATAACTCTGCAAAAAAAATCATCAAACCATGACCAAATTTCAACTTGACCTGCCCATTCCTTTGACATATCCATATGTCAAATTTAAGTTGAATATGTAACACTGTTGGGTAGATAATGAACAGAAACTGTAAATTTCATATTATTTTCAAAGTGAAAGGGGCATAACTCTGCCAAAAATCATTGAACCATGACCAAATTCCAACTTGGCCTGGGCATTCCAAAAACATATCCATATGTCAAATTTGAGTTGAATGTGTTGTACTGTTGGGGAGATAATAAACGGAAACTGAAAATTTCATATAACTTTCAAAGTGAAAGGGGCATAACTCTGCCAAAAATCATTGAACCATGACCAAATTTGAACATGACCTGCGCATTCTTTTGACGCATCCATATGTCAAGTTTGAGTTGAATGTGTTGTACCATTGGGGAGATAATGAACGGAAACTGAAAATTTCACATTATTTTCAAAGTAAAAGGGGCATAACTCTGCCATAAATCATCGAACCATGACCAAATTCTAACTTGGCCTGTATTTTCTAATGACATATCCATATGTCAAGTTTGAGTTGAATGTGTTGTACCGTTGGGGAGAAAATAAACGGAAACTGAAAATTTCACATTATTTTCAAAGTAAAAGGAGCATAACTCTGCCAAAAATCATCGAACCATGACTAAATTCGAACTTGACCTGTATTTTGTCATGACATATCCATATGTCAAGTTTGAGTTGAATGTGTTGTACCGTTGGGGAGATAATGAACGGAAACTGAAAATTCACATTATTTTCAAAGTAAAAGGGGCATAACTCTGCCAAAAATCATCGAACCATGACCAAATTCGAACTTGGCCTGTATTTTCTAATGACATATCCATATGTCAAGTTTGAGTTGAATGTGTTGTACCGTTGGGGAGATAATAAACGGAAACTGAAAATTTCATATTATTTTCAAAGTAAAAGGGGCATAACTCTGCCAAAAATCATCGAACCATGACCAAATTCGAACTTGACCTGTATTTTGTCATGGCATATCCATATGTCAAGTTTGAGTTGAATGTGTTGTACTGTTTGGGAGATAATGAACGGAAACTGAAATTTCATATTATTTTCAAAGTAAAAGGGGCATAACTCTGCCAAAAATCATCGAACCATGACCAAATTCGAACTTGACCTGTATTTTGTCATGACATATTCATATGTCAAATTTGAGTTGAATGTGTGCAACCGTTCTTAAGATAATGAACGGAAACTGATGATGACGGAATGACAGAATGACGGAAGGACGGAAGGACGGAAGGATGGAAGGACGGAAGGACGGAAGGACGGAATGACGGAACAGGGTAACACTATATGCCCCGGCCATTACATGGCGGGGGCATAATAACAGCAAACTATGTAAAAGATTAATTGTCCACTGAACTTTATATTGCAACATCTAAAAGTATATTATTAACAGTCACACAAACTGTAAAAATGTGACATCAGTTAAAATAATGGAACAATTTATTTTATAAAATTCATGTAACATTTACAAATTATTTAAAGTAAGAAGGTGAGATATGACTTGTTTTGACACACTGTGCAGACTACTGAATACATAAATAAAACTATACAGACTGCTTAAAATGGTTGCTGAATTTTATATGTGTATTTAACCCTTACCCTGCTGAATACCTTTGCTACTAGTGTAGAGCTAGGCCAGTCTATTGTGTGCAGTTTGACCAGGCTCTATACCATTGGGTGACCAAACTTTCATTCCAAAATGGATGTTGGTCAAGTCCATTTATGAAATTCAGCAGGTAAAGTTTTGATTAAGAAATCCTTTTTATTATAAATGGGCAATTAAAGTTTGTCCAAGAATATTTATCAAAGTCAATCTTGAGAAATGATTATGTAATGGTATAAAGACCATGTTTGATACAGAAACAATAATTTGTCATTTCATTTTTATCAGGTACCAATGGCCATAAGACGGGATCAAATTGAATAATTTGGTGGATAAAAAATATTGGGAGAAATCAAAATAATAATGATACACTGTGTCTGGTCTCGTTCAATTTATAAAAATAATACAATAACTGTAATACAAGACTTTGTTAATTACAGTCGACTCACATTATCTCGAAGTTATCGGGATGGTCCAAAAAGTATCGAGATAACGAAATGTCGAGATAAACATATTAGGGTTTGAACAAGGCAAAAACTGATTTTTACAAAAGACATGTGCATACCTTATGTCAAATAAACTATGATAACCTCATAAGCCTAGACAATATTTTGATAAAGTAACATTAGCGATGTTTACCAGCCGAAATATGGGTGTCTGTGATAAAAACACATATTGAGGTATACTCAGTAATACACCAAAATAGTGAAAACATTGTTTTCAGGGTGGTTGATCCGGATATCCTCCCCGGTTAGTTATCGGGTCTTTCTTGAGATTGTTCCACCGCTAATATTGCAACGATAATGTTTCTATACTTTCACTATTTCAATTACATTCAAAGTCATAATGATTTAATACAGTGTTTGAATATTTATAAAGAATGTAAAATTCACTCATTTTGGACATAAGTCAATCAACACCCTAATTAGATTAACTTTTATAATAACAGCTCAACATGTTACAAACATAATCATCATTATGACACGCGCTATTGAGCAATCTGTGATCAAGATAACGAAATATCAAGAAAAGCGATGTTGAGATAACGATAGTTGTCTGTATAGCTACAATACAACTTATAGGCATTTCACTAATTTGTCAGGTAAATAAAGATACTATATATAATGAAATACTGACAAAAATTCTATATGTATATATCCCGTACCTGAAGCATAAGAGAAATATTTTGGCAGTACATGTACATGAATATTTAAGAAATAATATATCCCAAACAGTGATTTTATTGCTCAATAACATCACTGTTTGGAGTTCCGATGCGAGGAAGTATATCACTAGGGCGTAGCCCGAGTGATATAATGATGCGCATCCGAACGACAAACAGTGATGTTATCAAGCGATAAAATCACTGATTTGGATATATTATTTCGATTCTAACACGACATAAACAATAAATGTTGTCGTACCTGATAATAAGCAAAAATGCACCTGATTTGTTTCCGTACTTATTTTCAGCGAGTCGCATTTTTAGTGGTTACGTCACATGTATATAATGATTACGTCATAAGTCTAAATATAGAACGTCAACAGTGACTTTGTTGCATAATAATACACACTTTCGGTTCTTCTATGTTCAAAAGAGAAAAATGCGGGTCATGTTAGAATATTTCATTATTTACCAGACAAATAAGTCAGTTAATGCCTTTAACAAAACTTTAAGTATTTTATCAGAATCAATGGTTAGGTAAAAAAATAGTAGGACTTAAATGTATAGTCGTAAAATATAAAATTATCTTAGTAAAATAGAGGATTAATTTTGTATTGATGAAATATCTTCATAAATAAATTCAATTTGTTTGATTATAATGAAGAGAACAATAATATTCTTACAAGATAACATCTTATATCCCCAGTCTGAAACATTAGTTTTATTACTTGCCAATATTTGCTTTCTCAGCTTACAGGATTTTTAAAACGGTAAAAAAGTTTAGGATGTTGTAATATATTTATTTGTACAACAAGACAAAACATTAAACAAAATATTAATTTACGTCATTTGTGACAACAGTTGTTGTTAACAATCTGTGATAAATTTCTTCTTCTTAAATATTCATAATTTTCTTACGTCATATTACTGCATTGTAACATACAGTAAATGAAAAGCTGTTATATAATAATGGTATTGATATTTCAAAATAACAACCATGTTTAGAAATGTGGACTATTCAGAAAATTACAGTATCATAAACTGTAAAGATTCTATGTATTTACAACGTTAGTCAACAAGAAATATTTCAACTTTTGTACTATTATAGTGTAATAAATATATATATTAAATATCATAAACGTGCCCCATGTTAATATATTCCCAATAAACGTAAAATAAAGTTTATACCCACAGTATTGTTAAATTGTAAATGTTAGTGTCTATGAACAACAAAGGCATTTCAGAAATTTTAGAGTGAAAATGAAGATTTTACTTGCACATGTAAAAGTCAAGAACCAGTAGTGCAGATATAATTTTAACAAGAATGTTATCAATGTTACTACAAGAGGAAAATTACAGAATAAACTAATGACTTGCAACTTTCTAGGGCAGTATGAGGACAGTGACAATCATGTTGTTCTTATTCTTTACAATAAAAGGCAGGTGACAAAGTTAAAGTTTTATTGACTGGCAATTAACACTATCTATAAAAGTCTAGTCATTCATGGTTAAGTGTAAGTGACAACTGACATAAACTGTTATAATTGAAATATACTGGCTACATCCAACAATAAACATACTAGAAAATACGACACAAAAATGTGTACCATATCCCTAACATTGCTCACCTGAGTCAAGAACTATGGCCATCTTATTCGATTGTAATTCTGTGATGAAAAAGTACTAGTCTAACTTATATTGTATAGAACCTGTGACTTTTACTTATAAAAAGTAGTAGTAATAAGTAGTACTTGATTCACAGTGCCTGTTTACCTAATATCTATAAAACATCAACAACAACAAAATCTTTTTTAGTCCCTGGAAAACTGGATCAAGTTTGACCAAAGTTACATAATTTTTGAGAACAAACATACCTCTACTAGGCCAGATATATGTAAAATACCTTAAAACTACATTAAATATATATGTAAAAATATTTTGCCGTCGGCCCTAAAAATCACATTCTACAGTTTCATTAACCTGTTTTAACAGTATTGTTGTAAATCTCATCAAATATTGTTCATAAACTAGGATTATAAACGGAAAACCCCACGGTAACACTAAAGTTCGTATACAAATTTTAACATGCAAATGAAGACTATAATCTGCATGTGTATGCGCTACGTCACAGTTTTATGGTTGCTATCCGGAAACCAAAGAAAATATGAAATTTTCTTGTGCAAACACCCTTTTACCGTTTTAGCTTCACGGTGCACTAGGCCTTGGGTTCAGTGAAAGTAATCATCTCGTAAAAAGATTACAGTTGTATGAAAACATCCGTTACAATGCGGAAATATACCGTTAAATTAGGACTGCTCCTTATAGTCACATTTGTTGATTTAATATTGATGTACGGATGATCCGAAGGCGGAGTTTCTCATGCAAACAGAAATTGTACTTCCCATTTTGCCACAATGAGGTTACCCATTTGTATGCTAATAAAACTCATTTTGGTTGTCTGGACACCAAAAAAAGACCTGGAGTCGATATAAAACCCAATTTATTAATGAAATGTCGCTATTTAGTTTTTTATGAAATTTATTAAATGTAGCTTTAACTTTTCTGTCAAAACTTGTCCTAAATGAGTCTAATTGTACAGATCATGCTACTGTGACATTTATAATTAACATTATGCAAAAGACTGCAGTATTTAAATAGATTTGGTAGACTTTATGCTTGTAACATACAAGAGATGTCATTTAAAACAATTGTGGAGAAAGAGTAAAAGCAGACAATGAAGATCCCATAAGACAAGTTTCAACAAATATGGTGAATGGAAATGTTTAAACAAGAGGGCCATGATGGCCCTGAGGTCGCTCACCTGTATATAGGCCCCCGAACCACCACCCCCCCAACGTTGCAGGGCCAATTTAACCCAAGGGCTTTTATTTGCACAAACTTGGTAGACACCCATAAGAAGATGTTTCATGCTAAACATCTAAGCTCTAGCTCATTGGGCTTTTTAAAAGAAGATTTTTTTTCAGTTTTTACTAGACACATATAGTTAAAAACAATGACACCCCTGGGGCCGGGCCAGTTTTGACCCCAGGGCTTTTATTTGAACAAAATTTGTAGACACTTACTAGAAGATGTTTCATGCTTAATATCTAAACTCTAGCTATTTGGGTTTTTTCAAAGAAGATTTTAAGTTTTTGCTATACACACATAAGGAAAATCAATGACCCCTGGGGCGGTGCCAATTTTGACCCCAGGGCTTTTATTTGAACAAACTTGGTAGACACCTATTAGAACATGTTTGATGCTAAATATCTTAGCCATAGCTCTTTGAGTTCTTTTAAAAAAAAGTAATTTTTTTTTGTTTTTACTATATGCATATAGGGAAAATCAATGACCCCCGGGGCTGGGCCAATTTTGACCCCAGGGCTTTTATTTGAACAAACTTGGTAGACACTTATTAGAACATGTTTCATGCTAAATATCTTAGCTCTAGCTCTTTGGGTTCTTTAAAAGAAGATTTTTTAAGTTTTTACTATATGCATTTAGGGAAAATCAATGACCCCCTGGGGCGGGGCCAATTTTGACCCCAGGGCTTTTATTTGAACAAACTTGGTAGACACTTATTAGAACATGTTTGATGCTCAATATCTTAGCCATAGCTCTTTGGGTTCTTTAAAAGAAGATTTTTTAAGTTTTTACTATATGCATATAGGGAAAATCAATGACCCCCTGGGGCGGGGCCAATTTTGACCCTAGGGCTTTTATTTGAACAAACTTGGTAGACACATATTAGAACATGTTTCATGCTCAATATCTTAGCCATAGCTCTTTGAGTTCTTTAAAAGAAGATTTTTTAAGTTTTTACTATATGCATATAGGGAAAAGCAATGACCCCCGGGGCGGGGCCAATTTTGACCCCAGGGCTTTTATTTGAACAAACTTGGTAGACACCCATTAGAACATGTTTCATGCTAAATATCTTAGCTCTAGCTCTTTGGGTTCTTTAAAAGAAGATTTTTTAAGTTTTTACTATATGCATATAGGGAAAATCAATGACCCCCTGGGGCGGGGCCAATTTTGACCCCAGGGCTTTTATTTGAACAAGCGTGGTAGACACTCACTAGAAGATGTATCATGCCAAATATCTAAGCTCTAGCTCTTATGGTTTTTTAAAAGAAGATATTTAAAGTTTTTTCTTTCGGTTGCCATGGCAACCAGAGTTCTGCATGGAATTAAATTCTTTGAACAATTTTAAAGGTGACCACCAAAGGAACATTCCTGTGAAGTTTGGATGAAATTGGCTTAGTGGTTTATGAGGAGATGTCATTTAAAGTAAAAGTTTACGGACGGACGCCGGACGGACGCCGGACGGACGCCGGACGAAAATCGATCACAAAAGCTCACCCTGTCACTTTGTGACAGGTGAGCTAAAAACAAATGAGACATGACTGACAAAAGATCACCAACTATCAACAAATCTCTTCATAAGCAGTTTGTGATCAGTTGAGCACAATAGGTAGGTCCCAATGATCAAATGCTGTTTTTTCATAATTTTACATAATCCCATTTCCCATCCACATATGATACATTAAAGGTGAAAAGTCAAAGCATATTTGTATGTCATATTGGGACTACTGAATATAAATTATTACAAAAAAAAATAGGATTGCTTTACAAAAAGGTAAATTAAATGAGTTGAAGTGACTGAAGTTAAGACCTACACCTCACACATCACAAGTGCTATAATTACTGTGTAATGATTGGCACAGAATTCACCATAAGCTCTTGATGCTTCAACAAAACAAATAATTTTTCGTCAGATTTCTTTCTGTCAGCCATTCTGTACCTACATTGTAAATTAAATACCCATGATAAAATGTGTTTTGTAATGTTTTTGATGGTATTTTAGCAGATATAGTTTAAGAAATGCTCTAGTGTACATTAGGCAACAGTGGCCACTACATTATACAAGTTAAACACCATCATTATAACAGACATTCAGCTTGTTGTACCCATGTTATACACATCTTCTTCTAGCTTGAACATACCTAAATATATCCCAAATAATATTAAATTTCATACAAATATTACATCATATTTTCTTTCATCAAACTGCTAGAAAAGAAAGAATACAAAGAAACCACAAGTCAACACTGAATCAATATGGACAATATTTAAATAAAGGATCTTCATCTTTCATATTTTTTTCTGAACAGTTATTAAGTGACCAATGAAAAAGAAACTTAGAGACAACCCTCATGATATAAGCAAGCTATATAAAGTGTGCATACACCTGAGTTATCCTAGTGAGGTTCTTCTACACCTTCATACAGTTGTATTACAGTAGGACTGTCATACATACAGACAACGTGAATACACTTTGTAACTTGATCACTCAATATATAAACAATTTAACAAACTTGAAATAAAATAACAAACATTTCCCAATATAAACTTTTATAGTTATAATAAAAGGAGGTTTTTTATACTTGGGAAGTTTAAAGAAATGGCTTTAAAGTTTTATCAGAGTTTTGACATAAAGGAGAAGGATTTTGATGAACTGATTTGTAGAGAATGTGCGAGGAATGGAAGCAGTGTTGATACATTGAATTTCTGTGTAGGGTGTGAGAGTCTATTTTGTTTTCAATGTTTACAAGATCACAGAAGAGATAATGATGACCCTCAATGGATTCCGAATGATGAGACTGTAAACAGAAACAACAACCAAAGTCCATCTCATCAACTTGAGACAAATAACAACATCAGGTATTTTGTATAATATATTTTTAAAATGATTTACATTGTAATTTCATCATGAATTTACAGATTTAAGCTGTTTTACTAACATTAAACTATGACCAGAGAGATGTTGTTTAGATACTAATTTTGGGTCTCAAAATATTCAAATTGGTATTTATTGGTACAAGGCCTATAGACTTGGCCTTAAAATATTTTGTGTGAAAGTTTTAGAAAATAAAAATTATTTTCAAACAGAATAAAAAAGAATGTAAAAAAAAATATTTCTCTACTGATATTAAAATCTGATATTTTTCTCATATGTAATGTAATGGTAAATAATAATTATAAGAAAGTAATGCCACAAACCTTAGTGATAAATTTAGATATAACTGACTGCAATGAAATCCTAACAAGAGGGCCATGATGGCCCTGAGGTCGCTCACCTGTATATAGGCCATTAGAAGATATGATGTTAAGTTTTTCCTACACACATATAATGAAAAACAATGATTTCACCCCCCCCCCCCCCGGCAAAGCCAATTTTAACCCAAGGGCTTTTTTTTTAACAAACTTGGTAGACACCCATAAAAGATGTTTCATGCTTAATATCTAAGCTCTAGCTATTTGGGTTTTATAAAATAAGATTTTTTAAGTTTTTACTATACACATATAGTTTAAAACAATGACACCCCTGGGTCGTATCGGGGCCAGTTTTGACCCCAGGGCTTTTATTTGAACAAACTTTGTAGACACTTACTAGAAGATGTTTCATGCTTAATATCTAAGCTCTAGCTATTTGGGTTTTTTAAAATAAGATTTTTTAAGTTTTTACTATACACATATAGTTTAAAACAATGACACCCCTGGGTCGGGGCCAGTTTTGACCCCAGGGCTTTTATTTGAACAAACTTTTGGACACTTACTACAAGATGTTTCATGCTAAATATCTAAACTCTAGCTATTTGGGTTTTTTCAAAGAAGATTTTTAAGTTTTTGCTATACACATATCAGGAAAATGAATGACCCCCTGGGCGGGTCAATTTTGACCCCAGGGCTTTTATTTGAACACACTTGGTAGACACCCATTAGAACATGTTTCATGCTAAATATCTTAGCTCTAGCTCTTTGAGTTCTTTAAAAGAAGATTTTTTAAGTTTTTACTATATGCATATAGGGAAAATCAATGAGCCCCTGGGGCGGGGCCAATTTTGACCCCAGGGCTTTTATTTGAACAAACTTGGTAGACACTCACTAGAAGATGTTTCATGCCAAATATCTAAGCTCTAGCTCTTTGGGTATTTTAATAGAAGATATCTAAAGTTTTTTCTTTCGGTTGCCATGGCAACCAGAGTTTAGCATGGAATTAAATTCTTTGAACAATTTTTAAAGGTGACCACCAAAGGAACATTCCTGTGAAGTTTGGATGAAATTGGCTTAGTGGTTTATGAGGAGATGTCATTTAAAGTAAAAGTTTACGGACGGACGACGGACGTACGACGGACGAAAAGCGATCACAAAAGCTCACCCTGTCACTTTGTGACAGGTGAACTAAAAATGCTTTCAATACAAAGAGAGAGAGGAACACAAAACCACATTCTGAAATTTATCATTGAAATCTTCAGTTGTAAAATATCTGAATAGATATGATTTAAATGTATTTTTTTTTTCTTTGGTGAAATTTATTTGACTGTTTTATAGAATATTTCCTAATTGGAAAAGCCATGCCCTTGTAAGTTGTTAAAAATCTATTAAAAAGAACCCCAATATTTTTATGATTAAAAACATAATATCAAAACAGCTCTAAAGTGATAAATAACTACTGAGGTGAAACATTTTTGCTTACCCTGAATCATAACTACATATTTGGATACACACAATATTAAATGCATTTTTGTGATCAATATATGAGATTTAATCTAATAATTTTATACTATTCATATGGTATGTAGTAGTGGGTAACATCCTATAGTAACCTTACAGCTATATGGGAAGTTCATATTCAAGTTGAATTAACTCCGGGGCTGTCTTGCTCCATTTGTTTACCACAAATTTGCAATGTCATAGCAAGTTTCCATAGATATAAATATAATTGTGAACAACCAAAAAATAAATTCTTAAAGTACCACTTACACATTCATCGGTATCATGCTTTTTACTATGTGATGAAAGAATAAGGAGTTGAAATTTACGCAAAACCATAATTATTACATCCAGTAATATTATCATCAAAGAAAAATTTGTTATCAATCTATGACTATGACAACTCAAGCAATGAGCAATTCTTTATCACATCAAATGTTTGCCTATCATTCATAACATATATCAAATGTATTATTCATAACATATTATATCAAATACTCATAACATATTATATCAAATGTATATTTCATAACATATGATATCAAATGTATAATAAAATATTCATAACATTATATCAAATGTATAATTCGTAACACACACACACACCATATTCTAGATCTGTTCACTAAAAAAAACTGTATCACCCAAAAATATTTACTTCATATAAATATTAATCTTGTGAAATAAGTAAATATAAATTTTCTACTTTCAGTTACAGTAAAAATACCAGTGACAACCAACTTCAGGTAAAATATCAACTCAAACAGTCCCTCCTTGTACTGCAAAAACAACTGAACAATCATATCAATTATGATAAAACAGAAAATGAAAACAGACTTCAGAAAATACAAGAACATGCTGACAGAAAGATAAATGAACTTAGAATGAGAATAATGGACTGGTTGGATGAGATTCAGAAACGATTGACAGATTCTGTACTACATCTTCATGATGAGACAGAGGAGCTTTATGCTGCTCATAAACTACCTGTACATATACTGATGGCAAAAACTGATGCAGCACTCAACAAACTTCATACAACACAAACAGATGATATTGGAGAGCTAGTCTGTTTCACTGAACAAACAAAATCAGAGGCAATGAAACTATTTGAAGATAGTGACAATCATGACAGAAATATACTTAAAAACTTAGAGACTGCTCAGCTAGATAATATTAATACTGTACTGGCCGAGTCTATGGATGAACTTTTATGTAACATCAATGCTCTCACTAATTCCCTGACTACAGATGTTGGTTCCAGTCAAACTGAAGTAAAGTCTTACAATGTGCAGGGTCAAAGGGACACAACTGTGTGTGATATAAACAGTTCATGTTTCATGCCTGACGGATCAATCCTATTGACAGATTGGAATAATACAAATATTAAATTACTGAACCAGAACTACAAGGTGACTAATACATGTGATCTTCCCGGAATACCCTGGGCCATTTGCTGTGCTGGAAATAAAGAGGTAGCTATCTCACTACATTTACTACAAAAAATACAATTTGTATCAGTGACAGAGAACAGACTGGAACTAACACACTCTTTTAAAGTAAGACAGAAATGTCGAGGTGTTTCCTATGCTGACAATAAGATTTATGTTGGCTGTGGAGGTGGTGGAATACTAGAGGGGAGGGGACAAGTCCATGTATACAACAGACACGGGACTCTACTTCAAGCTTTCAAACTGGACAGACTTGGAAACAGCTTGTTTTCATGTCCTCAACATATAGCTATCAGTGATGATAAATCTGAGCTATTTATAGCTGACAAGAACTTTGGCATTATACAGATAAGTCTGTTAGATAAAACTTCAGGTAAAACAAGTATACAGGCATTGGATGGTAGTAAATCAGAGGGAGCTAAAGGGATATGTTTGATAGGTGACTCTACTGTTCTCATGTGTGACTTCATCTTGAACAATATAACTGTTTATAGAAAGGTTGAAGGAAAGATCGAGATGGTTCAAAATCTTCTAGACAAGAAATACAACATATGCAATCCTCAGTCTTTGTGCTACAATAAACTCAACAACCACTTAGTTGTAACCAGTGGGAATTCAAACTTTATTCAAGTGTTTGAAACATCAATTCTGAAGTAGATAATACACATCACAGAGGTTTAAATAAATATACCATAAATCCATATACTTTATCAGTGAAATGATCAAAAGAAGCTTTTTTTCAAAGAGTTTGGAGTTTATTTTGGAGACATTTATAAATCAGGCCTAATAGTCATGATGTTCCATGTAAGAGATATCTTTTTTCATGAGACTTAAAATGTAATTATTATAAAATTACCTGTACAGATAACACAAGGAAGAAATAAAACATTTTGTAGTTTACAATAGAACAGTAAAGCTTTGTTGTAACATGTTTATTGATTGCCATTAGGACATCTTAATAAGTTTACCAACATATGTACAATTATATAACCATGCAAAGCCTATCTAGTCACGGTAAAAGCTGAGTAAAAAACTGATTGTCAAGTTGTCATGCAATTATATTTTTTTTTAAAACTGCACAGTAATAATACATATGTTTAGATAAGCAATGTGGCCGTAATGTAATATAAAATAAAGTGGAGCAGCATCCTTGTGGTTAGGGCATCTGCCCCTCAAGGAATGTAGGTTTGTTTGTTTGTTTGGATTTTAAGGCACGTCAACACATAAATGGCCATATCGTGCCGAATGCTATAATAGGCTTAAAATATTATGTAAAACTTTGTAAGGAATGTAGGTATGTGAATAACATGTTTCCCTCATATGACACCATGACAGCCTAGGTCTAGGAGGTGGACTCAAACATTTTTAATATCAACTAGAACTCCGCGAGTCAGATGTGTCGCCATGTGAACAGAATAGCTGTCACTTAGACATTTTCTTCTTAAATATAGGTTATTGTAAGCTAAGTCAAAAACTGTTTAAATAACAACTTTTATTGATAAAAAGATAATTCCACAATTTCTTTATTCAACTCTGAAGAGCACTAAATTTGCTAGATTCAACAATAGAAGTTTCCATGAAAATATTACAAAACGCTCTTGTCACTAGTTTTCACGACTGTCAGGATTTAAGGCCAAAACGCAAACTGAAAACAGCCTGTCATGGCTACTTATATAGACTCTGAAATGGCCTGGACTGTCACAATTGACCAATCATAACATTCCATTTACCCTGGCAGTCTGGCAGGAAAGACAGGAATTTCTTAAAATGGCAGCCATATTGACAGGAATAATTTAGAAAATGTAAATTAACAAAGTTAACAAATAACAAAATATGCAGTAAACACTTGAATTACATGCTTAACTTGATGCACTTAATATCTGAACCAAAAACAATCATGATTATAGCTTAGAAAAATGAACTATTGATATAAAAAGATTCCAAGTGCCAAGTATTTGAATTTTCCCTCCTGACAAACTTAGAGGTCATACCGGTCATCAAGATTATTATAAAATACAGCAATGCCAGCTAACTTATTGGAAAGTAACTTATATCTTAGGTAAATATGGATTACATTCTATGTTCTTACATGTAAAATGATAAGTATTTGTATATGTTTATGAAAATATCAGCATTTAAAGTTTTGAATCAAGTTAGATAACTCTTATCGGCCATTTTGATGCCAGGATAAACAAAGTAGTAAATTAATCATTTCTTGAAGAATAAACTTCCTTATAGTGCCTTATATAGTCCTAGAGCCTCAGAATGTCCTACATCATGGTCTCAATTCCTTCATTTACCAGAAGATTATCTAAACAAATAAAATCAGCAAATATGAATGGCTGAGTCAAGTTCAGGAATCCTGACAGGTCAAGTTCAGGAATCCTGGCAGGTAAGTTTTACGCATTGACTGAACAGTATTACCTCACTTGTCAATAAATTATGCTAGTTTGATGTTCAAATTATCATAAAGCATATTTTGTTTTAAACTGATATATTCATTACAAGGTCCTGAAAGTAAATTATTTGATAAATATTCACAGTCCCTTACTTTATTTATAAACACCGCTCCTACAATGTACATGTACCTTGAACTTTAGTGTCATTTGAACTGATTGTAACAATGTTACATCAGGATTGATGTAGCTTGAATAGCTTTTATTGCGTAGGAAGCTTTGCCCAGACAAAAATTAAGCATTATTAATAAGAAAGGGCAATAACTTTAAAATCATAAAGTACAGAGTACTGGTTCTTGTGCAGTGCACTTCTTCTCAATGAGATCTATCATCTTATGAAGTTTCAAGTCCATAGCTTTCATAGTTTAGGAGAAATGGCCCGGACAAAAATGAAATATAAAAATAATTAAAGGGCAATAACTCAAAAAATAAGAAGCACAAAGTACCAGTTCTTGTGCACTGCACTTCTTCTTAAAGAGATCTATCACCCTACAAAGTTTCAAGTCCATAGCATTTATAATTTAGAAGAAATGGCTCAGACAAAAATAAAGTATGAAAATTAACAAAGGGCAATAAATCAAAAAATAAGAAGCGCAGAGTACCAGTTCTTGTGCATTGCACTTCTTCTCAACGAGATCTATCATGCTATGAAGTTACAAGTCCATAGCTTGTATAGTTCAGGAAAAATGGCCTGGACAAAAATAAAGTATGAAAATTAACAAAGGTCAATAACTCAAAAATTAAGAAGCGCAGAGTACCGATCCTTGTGCACTGTACTTTGGGTCATTGAAAGAAGCATGCATACCAAGTTTGGAGTCAATCCGACCTATAGTGACAGAGTTATGCTCTGGACAAGCCAAAGGGGATGCTGCCACCGCTGACAACGACATCGCCAACAAAAGTAACCCCTATATATGTCACCTTTTTCAAGGCGACACAAAAAGTTGCAATAATTTATGTTTTATAATTCAGCATGAATGATTATGTCTCAATTGACTGAGTATACCCAATACAATAATACTTTGTAATTTATATCAGCTTACAATAGGCAATGATCACACTAAATCAAAAATCAAAAGCAATTATCCAAATATGCCAAAATCATTCTAAATCTCAAGTCTATTGTAACCATGAAATATGACAAATAACTTATCACCCTGACCGTTTTGATTAAAACACTGAACTGTTACTATATAATGAAGACTTACAGCAGTAAATTTAAAACTTCTTCATTTATTGGTTAGAAGCCATTTAAATTTTTAAGGTTAATCTGACGTTAATCTTCGCATAATTAAGGTTCTCCAAGTTTATCACGGATGCTGTAACAGTTATACTAAGATCACCTCTCTGTTACATGGTGATCAGAAACTATACTTAGAGGTTTTATGGTATGGTAGCTGAGGTTCTATGTTTGGCGACGATTTTCAGTTACCTGGTGTGTCTGTTCTATTTTTTTTAGCTCAAACTACATTTACACATGCCCTAAAAAGGTAGTGTTTAACTTTCCTCGGATAATCCCTCTTCCCTGATTTTGTGTATTTTGTAACTTTATTTTTAGACATATCTGTGAAATTTCTACAACCACTTCAGTTTGATGATAGTAAAATAACTTTCTTCTTATTGTAAATTTAACATGAAAGTTTCTATAATTCTATGATTTCTATCGTACAAAAAAACTTGTCTCAACTTGGGAGGCAATAAAAGTGACAGCTTAACAGCAGATTAACTTCATAACATCTGCTTCATGATGTTGACCATATGTGGAAAATATCTGTATATCAACTTTTTTTATACCTGATAAATAAATGATCAATTTTTTTTTTTCCAATTTATCATTGTAACAATTTATTTTTAGTGGTAACTAGACCATAGTGATTCGTAACAATCATTTAAAATGTCAATAAAGACACAGTCATGTACACATTTCAATCATATGACATTGTCCTGTATTTGTAACAAAAAAAATCACAACAAAATGATTTACACAAGATTAGAGGTCCATGATGGTCTTTCAGAGGACCTCATGTAATGAGATCAATATTAAAATCATTGGAGCTAGCAAAAACTGATAAAGTTTCATTCAGCTAAACAATGTAACGGAAACTGCTAAATTGAACTTATAAAATGCTAACAATATAATAGACAAGAGGGTCATGATGGCCTTAAAATTGCTCACCTGAATATAAAGGAACAAATTATATTATATTAACTAAACAAAAGCAGATATAAAATCTAAATCTTAACCTGATATCACAAAGTTCAAATTTGTATCTGAAATAGCTCATGTGTAAAAACATTACTGGTTGCTATTGCTAAGGGAAAACAACAATTCCAAAAGATGTGTACATATAAGGGAAATTAATGACCCCATACAGCGGGCCAATTTTGACCACAGGGCTTTTATTTGAACAAACTAAGAAGACAAGCACTAGAAGATGATTCATGCTAAATATCCAAGCTCTAGCTCTTTGGGTTTTTTTAAAAGGAGATTTTTAAGTTTTACAATATACATAAATGTATAAGGAAAATCAATAACACCCTTGGAATTAAATTTGTCGAACAATTTTTATAGCTGACCACCAAAGGAATATTCCTGTGAAGTTTGGATGATATTGGCTAAGCGGTTTATGAGGAAATGACGTTTAAAGTAAAAGACGAAATTGTGATCACAAAAGCTCACTTTGTCACTTTGTGACAAGTAAGCTAAAACAACAAATGAAGAAATATTCTAACTTTTTATTTACATGCCAAATTTAAAGATATCAGGTCACCATACCATTATATAGTCTTTCAACACCTGTAATTGGGCATATACAATGTAATAAATCCAGTTTTTCAAGCAAAATTAAATAATAATTTCTACATTAATCATATGTTTCTCAAAATAATTTGGTTACATTTACTTCATTTTATGTACCTTTTGAATATCTTTTAATACTTTCAAGTGAACATTACGCTTAAAAGATACATGTATAGAGGAATTATTTAAGTAATTCTGACAACATGTAATTGAATAACTGGAGGTACATAAGATCTGTTTCATAAAACATGATGTTATTCCAAAAACATTGTAAAACATAAAACAGGTTGCAATTAGAATGAATAAAAGATAAAAGGCATAACATTTATGCTAGCTGTAAACTGTTGATGCGTAATGATGCCCCAAATAAATTACATATTGTAAACATCTTGTTGTTTGTACACTTTATAGCACCCTTGCATAAAGATTTTATTTTAGCTTAAATTCATTAAATTCACTGAAACTATTTTTTTTATTAAATCTTAAAAGTTTAAACAAATATCCAAATGGAATCAACCCTTGCTTGGCTAGTGAGATTATAAAACCCGACTCATGCCCTTGTACTGAAAGTTGCACAAACCCCCTGATATTAAGTGCAAAAACAAAAGGCTCATTTTCTTTTTCTTCTGCTATTTCCCCACAATGCTGCCAAGTGGTGGTGGTCACGTGGGACAGACGGAGAAGAAAAATGGCAGGTGCACAAGTTATATGAGCCGTGTCGAGACAAAACCAACATAATGTGTTTGCGACCAGCATGGATCCAGACCAGGCTGCGCAGTCAATTTAACAATTCTAGATGACAGGCCATAACACAAACAACAGCAGTTATTGATTATTTAAGACAATGTGAGCTACAAATGCACAACAATAATGAATGATAAAGTGTAGTCAAATAATGATGTATAAAACACACATCAAAAACACTTCAACCCTTTACTTATATCCATTTCCTTCTCAATAATATACTTACAGTATAGAATAAGAGAGCAGCTGTAGTTCAGCAGATAGTGTTTGACACAGTACAAACAGGCACATATTAATTATGAGTATTAAATATGTATCACAGTATCACATTAATTTTATTGTAAGATTCTTTCATTATATAAACAAGAGCCCGGTTTGAGCCGGGTGATGCTCCCCGAATAGGTTTTGGACACAGGAATGTACACCTCTTGTAGTTTCAGAGTTATGTCCCTGGAAAAAGTTCAAAGTGCAATAATTCCAAAATTAGGAAAGGCAGAGTTACTGTTCTTTCCATTGCACTTCTAATCACTGTTATCTATCAACTTACAATGTTTCTTGTTGTATCTCTTTATGGGTTTCGAGTTATGTTCCGGGACAAAATTCAAAAAGTAAAAAATAAACCCAAATGGAAATAACTCAGAATTAGGCAAGGCCAGAGTTATTGATTCTCAATCACTGCCACATCTACCCATTGAGATACATCTACCTACGGAAGTTTTTGTTTTGATATCTCTTAAAGGGTTTTACAGCTATGATCCAGTACAAGAATTTTTTCTAAAAGGGAAATAATTAAAAAAATGAGGCTTAACGGTTAGGTTTTTTTTTGCACTGCCTTCTACTGAATGAAGAATCTATCTACCAACAAGGTTTATCTTAAATATTTTCTTATAATTTTAGAGTAATGTTGGCAAATTCAGTGTTAAAATTAAAAAAAGGGCAAAAACCCCAAAATTGGGAAAAAGGGAGTTTTTGGGTTCTTATGCAGGGCACTTTTCCCCTTTGAACTATTCACCAAAAATTTTTCTTTTTGATATCTTTTAAAAGTTTTAGAGTTATCCCCCGGAAAAGGTTTTTTTCCTAAAAGGGGGAGAAAAATTCAAAAATAAAGCTTAACGAGTTTAGGGTTTTCTTTTGAATTTGCACTTCTCCCTAAATTTAAAGATCTATCCCCTACAATTTTTTAAACCCCTTGTTTATTCTTTTATTTTTAAAGGTTATGTTCCGGGACAAAGTTCAAAGTTTTTAAAAATTAAAACAAAGGCCAAAACCCCCAAAAAATTTGGAAAAAAAAGAAAATTGGTTTATGAACTGAAACATCTTACCCATTGAGATCTATTCACCTACAAAGTTTCATTTTTTGATATCTCTTATAGTTTTAGAGTTATGCCCCGGACAAGATTTTTCTATAAAGGGGAGATAATTCAACAACAGCTTGTAAGACAGCGCGCTCGACTTTTTTTAGTGCTTGCCTAATAAAAAACATTGACAGTTAAAAGGGCATAATTCCCAAAAAAATCTTTGACAGAATTACCTTCTCCTGGACATGTTTGGGAATCATGATTGTAAACAAGTATTTCCAACTTTCAAATTAATATCTCAAACAGTTCAGTCAAAAAGTGGACTGGTACTTAAAACTTAACCAAGATTCTAAGTCGATAAAAGGCCTTAATTTTTTAAACAAATCCTTGACAGAGTTACCTTCTCTTGCGTACAGATGGGGGTAATGATGTGAAATAGCATTAAAAGTTTCAAAGCAATATCTCAAAGGGTTAAGGCAATAAGTGGATTTTACCCATATTCAATGTATTTTCTAAGTCAAAAAGGGATAAAATTCTGTCAAAAACCTTGACAGAGTTATGTCCTCTTGTCTGTTGATGAAGGTCGTGATATGCTAAACAAGTATGGTCAGTTTCAAAAGCAATACCTCCATGGTTTTTGAAATAAAGTGAGGTGTACAAAAACTTAACAAGCTCAATACACTTTCTAAGTCAAAAAAAAGGGCCATAACTGTCCAAAAAAACCTTGACAGAGTTATGTACTCTTGTCTGTAGATGGAGGTTATTGATGGTGAACAAGTATGGTAAGTTTCAAAGCCATACTTGTAATAACTTCTGAAATAAAGTGGGGTGGTACGAAAAACTTAACCAGGTGTGCGCCAAACGCCGACTGCTAAGCCGACGCCGACGCCGGGGCGAGTGGATAGCTCCCCTTTTTCATAGGAAAAGTCGATCTAAAAAAATGACGCTTTAAAAAGAGTTATGGGGTTCTTTTGACTGCACTTCTACTCAATGAAGATCTATCTACCTAAAATGGTTTCATCTTGAAATAATCTCTTATAGTTTTTTTAGTTATGTTTCCGGACAAAGTTTCAAAGTGCTGAAATTAACAAAGGCCAATAACGCCAAAATTAGGGAACCCAAAAATAGTTATTGGTCTTATGCACTGCCACCATCTCCCATTGAGAATCTATTCACCTACAAAGTCATGTTGATAATCTCTTATAGTTTTAAGTTATGCCCCGGACAAGAATTTTTCTATAAGGGGAGATAATTCAAAAAAACCGGCAAAAATAGAGTTTGGTTTTTGGACAACTGCAATTCCTCAATGCCCTCACCACTGTTATGAAGTTTAAACAAAATTTATCTCCAAGGGTTTTCAAAGTTGTGTCCGGACAAGAAAACGGACGGACGAACGGACAAGGCGCCGAATTTGCTCCCCCGAAAATTTTCCCGGGGGAGATAAAAAAGAACTCAGAATTATGCCCTTTGCATTCATTAAATAATAAGAAACAAGCATGTGGTCCCCTTTCCTTATTTACTATTACTACTATCAGAAAAAAGAAAGACAGTAAAATACCCAGAACAAAAGTTGCAGCCCAAAAACAGTCCATGACCATTATACAGGAATCAATTATACCATTAAAAACCCAAGTTTATTAAAAGAATGCAGACATGTTGTGAAATGTTGTTATGAGAAAGTTAAACACATAAAAAGCGGGAAATTATTCAAACACTCAAAACTCACCAAATTACTAACTTTCTCCTTTCATATCATATTTGAAAACACTCTTTTACTACCTGACTCTTAATAATTTAAAATAAAAAAAACATAAATTGCTATTAATAACTTCAAAATTTTACAAATTTTCATGCCAAATCCATATACTGTGTTTTATGTGTGTTTTATACTTGCAAAGAAAACAATTCTCGTCTTATAAATAGAGTTTGTATTTACCTTTAGTAATTGTTACATACATGCATTATTTCCTGGATTAAAAATTTGATTGCTTTTTTCTGCAAGTTAAATGAGAATCTGGAAGCCATTGCATGGTGTTCAAGTTACATGAAACATGCCCGGCTCTGTAACTTAAGAGTGGACAAAAACAAGTAACTACATGTTAAGTTTGGTAAACATCCTAATACATGGAGAAACTACAGGTAAAAAATATGAGCTGAAACACTTGGATAAAAATTTTTCAAAAAAGATTAAAAAATACCTTCAAATGCATGGTGATCTTAGCTGGCAAAGAATTAATCTTAGTACTCAAACAATTTGTTTATTTGATAAACTAGAACTCCAAACGAGTCGGATTTGTTCGCCTTGTGAAACAATGTAGTTTAGGAGAAATGGGCCAGACCCAAAAATGAAATATGAAAAATAACGAAGGGCCAATAACTAAAAAAATAATAAGTGCAGAGCAGCAGTTTCCGTGGCACTGCCACCTTCTGTATCGAATTTAAGAATCTAATTCATTCTATGGATGTTTCAAGTCCATAGCTTTCATACTTGAGGAGAAATGGACCAGGGACAAAAATAAAGTAAGGAGAATCAAACAAAGGGCAATAACTCAAAAAAACGGAAGAAAATGCAGAGTATCAGTTCTTATGACTGACTTTTTCTTAATTAGAGATCTATCATCCTATTGAAGTTTCAAGTCCATAACTTTTTACTTTTTGGAAATAAATGGCCTGGACAACAAATTAAAGTATGAAAATTAACCAAAGGGCCATAACTTCAAAAAAAAGAAATGCAGAGTACCGGTTCCCTTGTGCACTGCACTTCTTCTTAATTTGAGATCTTATCATCCTATGAAGTTTCAAGTCCATAGCTTTTATACTTAAGAGAAATGGCGGGCCGGGGACAAAATTAAGGTATGAAAATAAACAAAGGGCAATAACTCAAAAAAGAAAGAAATGCCAGAAGTACCTGTTTTGTGCACTGCACGTCTTTCTTAAAATGAAGACCTATCATCCTTTATGAAGTTGTCAAGGGGCCATTAGCTTTTTTAGTTGAAAAGAAAATGGCCCGGACAAAATTAAAAGTATGAAAATTTAAACAAAGGGCAATAAACCAAAAAAAAGGGAAGAAATGCGAGAGTACTTGTTCTTTGTGCACTGCCACTTCTTCTTAATTTGAGACCTTCATCCTATTGAGAAGTTTTCAAGTCCATGTTTTATTTACCATTAAAGGAGGAAATGGCCCGAACAAAAAAAAAGTATGAAAAATTAAACAAAAGGGCAAGTAACTAAAAAAAATTAGGAAGTTGCAGAAGTACCGATTTATTGTGACTGCATTCTTCTTAATGAGATATATCATCCTATGAAGGTTTCAATCCATATGCTTTTTTAGTTGAAAGAAATTTGGCCCGGGACAAAAATTTGAAAGTAGGAAAATTAACAAAAGGGCAATAAAGTTCCAAAAAAAAAACTGCAGGAAGTACTCCGGTCCTTTGTGCACTGCCACTTCGGGATTTTGAAAGAAGCAGGCATCCAAAAGTTGAAAGTCAATCAGAATTATAGTGACTGAGTTATGCTCCGGACAAGCTTTAGGGGACAACCGACGCCGACAAAAGATAACCCCTAATATTAGTCACCTTTTCAAGGTATACATGTCACCTTTTCATGGTGGACACAAAAAGTGGAACCTTTGCAGAAAAAAGTTGGGCCAAAGTAAAAAATTACAGTAATGACCTTTCTGATCTGGTAATCATTTTCAATGACACCATTCATTAGACTTGGGTTTGGTCTGCCAGATTCCTCCGTCCACCATGCTGTATAACACCTTCCTCGGGTAACATGATTCATCTGTTATAAGATTGGTTTAACTATATAAACTGCTTTTTAAGTTGTCTGTTCATTCGCCTTAAAAAATACAAAACAATAAATACTTAATTCACCATTTCCGTGCAAGGGTCGTATTCCAGAAAAAACAAAAATCACGGAAAGCGGTCTAACACAGATAAAATTTTTTTGAAAATGAAAACCATACATGAAATATCCCTAATGTTTTTTTAAAAATTAATCATTTCAAGTTAAATTACATTAAAATTCTTTCAGGTGGGATAGAAAGGGAAAAACTTTATTTAACAAAACTAAACCACATTCTTTGGTTAAAAAAATTGGTTCCGGGAAAAACTGATTTTTTCTCTGCAACATCTTTATGGGTTTTTCAAAATTTTATTTGTCTGGGTTGTAGTAAACATAAAAAAAAATTTTTGGGACACGGGCGGGACATTTTATTCAGCATTACCCTTCATTTTTCTAGTAAAATCCGGGACAGTAATAGAGCTTGACTTTAAGATAAAAAAATAATTTTTCTTTCACCCTTTAGAGAATTTTTAATAAACAAGAGTGGGAGGACAGCCCCACCCCGCTTTCTTTATGTTTGATAGAAAAAAAAGCCTTGCAATGCTAAAACAAGAACGGTTGAACCGGGGTGATGCCCCCCGAGAAGGTTCTGGACACAGGAATGTTATAAAAAAAAATGAACAAAGGGCAAAAACTCCAAAATTTAGGCAAGGCGGAGTTATGTTTTTTTTGCAAACCTGCACTTCTATTCAATGAAGATCTATCTATCTATAAAGTTTCCTTTTGCATTGATTATCAGAGTTTAATGGGTCCCGGTAAAATTCAAAAGGTAAAAATTGAACAAAGGGCAAATAACTCCCCAAAATTAAGACCAGGCTTTGTTTAGTTCTTTAAGCATGCAGTTTCTATCCATTGATTATCTAGCTACCTACAAAGTTTCATGTTGATGTCCGTATTGATAGTTTTAAAGTTATTGTTCCGGAACAAAAATATCAAAAAGTAAAAATTAAAACAATGGGCAAAATAAAACTTCAAAATAAGGCAAAGGCAGAGTAATGATTCTTAAGCACATGCACTTCCACCCAATGAGACCTATCTACTACAAAGTTTTCATGTTGATATCTCTTACAATTTTAGTAGTAATGTCCCGGACAAAGTTCCCAAAGTGTCAAAATGAACAAAGAGGGCCAATTTAACTCCAAAAGTAAGCAAGACAGCATGTTGTAAACAGTTCTTGTTGCACTGCAAACCTACCTGAATGAGATCTATCTACCAACAAAGTTTCATGTTTGATACCCTATTATAGTTTTAGAAGTTATGTCCTGGACAAAGTTCAAAGTGTAAAATAAACAAAAGGGGGGATAATTAAAAAATTAGCGGCAAGGCAGAGTTACGGTTCTTGTGCACTGCACACCTACTCAATGAGATCTTATCTACCTTACAAAGTTTCATGTTGATACCTCTTATACTTTAAAACAGTTATGTCCTGACAAAGTTCAAAGGCTGTAAAATAAAACAAGGGGGATTAATTCAAAAATTAGGCAAGGGCAGAGTAACGGGGTTCTTGTGGCACTGCACCACCTACTCAATGGAGATCTTTATACCTACAAAATTTCATGGTTGATACCTATTATTGTTTTAGAGTTTATGTCCTGGAAATAAAGTTCAAAGTGTAAATAAACAAAGGGGGCATAATTTTCAAAAATTAGGCAAGGCAGAGTTACCGGGGTTCTTGTGCACTGCACACCCTACTCAATGAGATCTAATCTACCTACAAAGTTTCATGTTGATACCTCTTATACTTTTAGAGGTTATTTCCCGGACAAAGTTTCAAAGTGTAAAAAAAAAAGGGGGGATAATTAAAAAAAATTAAGGCAAGGCAGAGTTACGGTTTTTCTTGTGGCACTGCACACCTACTCAATGAGGATCATCTACCTTACAAAGTTTTCATGTTGATACCTGCTTATAAGTACTTTTAGAGTTAATAGCTCCCGGACAAAGTTCAAAGTGTAAAAATAAACAAAGGGAATAATTAAAAAAATCGGCAAGGGCAATTACTGTTCTTGGCACTGCACACCTTTACTCAATGAGAATTTTACTCACTACAAGTTTTCATGTTTTACCTCTTGTTGTTTCAAAGTTATGTCCCGGACAAGAAAAGGACGGACGGAAAAAATAAAAAAAAAAAAACGGAAAACGGACAAAGGCGTTCGACTATAATGCTCCCCCATAAATTTGTTGGGGCATTAAAAAATTTAAGTTACAAAAAGGGGGCCTATTATGTCTAAATAAGTGAATAAAAATTTCAAACTTATTTCAAAGCCAATGTCCAATGGGGAAAGGGGGAAAATAGTTGAGGTTTGTAAACCAAATCTTTAACCCATAAATTTCTATGTCAAAAAGGGGGATTATTTTAAAATAAGAACAAGCTAAGGGCAAAATTGTTCATTTAAACAATGTGAAAGAATTAAAATAAAAGCAATATTTAAAAAAGGGAAGAAACTAAGTTACTTTCATCACTTTGACATGATTGGAGAAATGGGGAATCAATCTTGAAAAATATTTCATGCCAAGTTTTCCTGCCTCCGTTGATGAAAATGAAAGTATTTTACTGACTTTTCGCCATTCGCAATCACAATCTGACCTATTGTGTTTTCCCGGGGGTCACTATAAAAACACAACGCAATGAAATCTCATCATTCTGACCTGTAAAAAATAAATCAAGATATATGTACATGTACAATTTAACACACAGACACTTTACTTGATTCAGACACTGGAAAACCTGTAAAAAAAAAGTTCAATGGATATTTTTATGATTGACGCAAAAATATTTTCATTTTAAAATATCAATCTTTTAGGAAAAATGTTATTGTCCCTTTTTTTATATTACAAACAAAAATTTTAAAATGGGGAACACAACTATTTAGGACAGCCATGCTCAATTTAATAAATCAATTGTCTCATAGGACAGCAAGAGTCACATGGGTACTTTGATCAGAATTTCTATACAAACATTGCTAGAGTGGAAGACATGTTAAATTTCTAGTGAGTATAATATAGTTAGTGGTATATGGGAAAAGAAGTTGCACACAAAACCTGAACTACATTTTATGTTATTACCCTTCACTTTTTTTCGTAATGTTAATTTCCCATAGGTCACTGGGAGTTCTTCTTACTGATAAAGCAAGTGTACCACATGACTAAGAAATTTGTACTGTTACATGGATAACAGTACTTTTTAAATCTAATCATGTTTTTTCCCCTACAATAATTAAAATGATCGCCTTTTTCCTAAGTTATTGAAGGGGAATGTATGTGTCAAAATGGAACAAGCGGACGATTAAAGCATGCAACAAAGGATAATTTCATTAAGTTAATCGTTTAAAAAGGCAGATGGGGGGTAGACAAAAGTAGGATATCATATTTCACCCTGGTCAAAAAACGGGTAAGGTGAATATTCGGATGGATCTAAAACTGCGAAACAGGTTTATAATTACTACTTTGACCCCGTTTTTTTTTTAAATCTTTCCCCAAAATCCAAAAAAAAAGCCCAAGTAAATTATGGAAGCCAGCTTTCAGAGGGTTTAGATTTCTCAGATTATTTAAACCCTATAAATTTTAAACCCCTTTTTGTTTTGATTTTAAATAAAAAAATGAAAACAGCCCTTTTTGTATGTTTATGACTGGAAGATATCATTTGCTTTAAGAATAAAAAAAAAATAACTTCTTTTAATACACTTTCAATTTTCAAGGTAAGTATGTTTAGTTTTATTGTTTTTTTTTTCAATTTTGTTACTTTTAAAATAAAGTTTTAAAATTTTTTAATATATTTAAAGAAAAACATTAAAAGATCAAATTTTTTCACAGTAAAAACTACAAATTTTTAACCCCTGTTTTTGATTTTTATAAAACAAAAAAAGCCCCGGTGCGCCGGGATTATTTTACAAAAATGCATCGCCGGTTTTTTTTTACCTCCCAGGTGTTTTACCCTTTTCCCTAAACCCCCATTTTGTTTAAAAAAAAAGATAATAAAAAAAATTTTTGTCAATTTTTTTTGTGAAAACTATTAGAATGAAAGAAAATGGTCCTTTAAAAGAAAATGAAACCCAACACCAATATTTTTTAATTTTAGTCGTTAACACTCTATAGACGTTTAAAGTGTTGACGTTACTTGACGTCACCAATGTAGCGGTCAACCAAAGTGGTTACGTGCAAAACAATCAAATCAAGTACGCCTATTTTAATGTCGCAAACGAGTGTTAAGTTTTACATTTATTTCACTTTTAAGAATTTGTATTTCGCTTTGAAAAATTATAGAGTGAAATAAAAAAAACAAACAAAATTTTACCAACGTTTTCAAAATTTGTTATTCTCAAAAATGTTTCAACACACGGTAGATTTATCGACAGTTTTTTCAAACCCACTGGATCAGCCTTTAAAGAACGTTTCTATGGGAAACTCTCAGGCCGAAAACAAATTTAACCACCAAGCATAGAGTCCAACTTTAAAAATAATAATTATATTTTTTCTTGAAACGTGTTAGAATGGAAATAAGATATTAATTCTTCGTGCATTATTGTATAAATAATGCACGTTTTTCATTCAAATGCTTTGTAATTAATCACTCAGGCCTATCGGCCTTCGTGATTATATTACTACGCATTTGAACTCAAACCGTGCATTATTCTACAACAATGCACTCAGAATTGATATCTATTTCCTAAACACATAGGTTTGTGGGAAACAGTAAAAATACCATCCTTTGTATAAATACAATAACGCCTCGGATAACAGTATTTTCCTCTGGAATATATATTTACTGTAATCCACAAGTCTATGTGTTATTTATACTACTACAAAATTAATGTGAGTAGGATTGACCAACTTCTCCCTTAAAAAGTAAGTCTAAAAGTAAATTCAGAGAATCAATCAAGACATAACAACATAAACTAGAATAAACAAGGTGTAAATCTTACCAAGATCAACAGAGAATACTCCACAAATTTGTTCTTTAGCTGATTTTCTATCTTTATCTTTCACAGAACTCACTGCATTTTCTGGGAACTGAAGATTGTATGAGAGTGACTCAGGACTTGATGGTGTGTCAAGGTAAATGACTGGTTCTAGCTGTAATGATGATGGGGAGGAGGAGTATGGACTTGGTGGATCTGAATCAGGGCCGGACGTTGTGGTTGAGGAATCAGATGAATATCGTTGGCATGTAATTGAAATATCAGGTGCTACCATATCATTGCCAATTAGTCCAACTGTGGCTCCTGTTGTATTTACAAGATCTAAACTCTGAGGATGAGGTGGTACACTTTGTGCATTTTTACTTGAGTTTTCTTCTGAGCCATTTCTTTCTTTCTCTTTCATGTTAGCTCCATTCATTATATTTTCAGCAACAGAATCTTTATTGCTGCTTACAGATTGCTCATGTGAACACTTGTGTGGTTTATAATTACTGCATTCATCACTCTCCTTGCTGTCTATATTGTTCTGTTCAGACAGAACTTCATCATCTAGCTCTTCAGTGGTTACACATAAACTATCACCATCCATTTCAATACTGATTGATTTACCTGAACTTGTCCGCAGCTTTCTCTGTTTATTTGTATTCATTTGGTGCTTATTTGATTCTTCCATACTGTTTTGTTTGCAAGTTGTAACTTCATCTTCTAGTGCAAGTTGTGTCAAATTATTCAGCTCTGTATTAATGTTACTAACATCTCCAACATATAAATCATTGACATGCTGACCAACCATTTTAACTTTTCTTGAATTATTAATGCATCTTTCATTGTTCTGTACACTTTCCTCACCTAATGAGGCAGAACCTGAGTCAAGTCTACTACTTCCATTGCTAGCACTTTCATTAACCTGGGTAAAGCTGTCTAAACTATCTTCCTTTGACCCAGTAGAATCTGAATTACCGTCAACTGCTTCTTCCTCCTTGTCTGTATTCTGTAGGAATTTCTCACCCATATCACTACCTATAGACACACAAGAATCCAGAGGGGACAAGTCTGTCATACATGTTGTGGGTGTGGTTGCACTATTTTCAGCTTTAGAGTATTCTTGACGAGGTTTACGTCTGGGACTGGATTTTGGAGTAGCACCATGTGATCTGTTGGGACTATTTTCAATACTTCTGGTATTTTTTCTGAGGGTTGAATTTGGAATCCATGTTAGAATCAATGTTGGTCCAGTAATCTAATGTTTAACAAAAATAATTCATACAAATAAATGAATGATACAATGTTGTTTTAAGAGAAATAATCATTCAATATCTTTGTCACATAACATGTTAAAATGACAATTCGCAACTTTAAACAACTGTCTTCATTTGCTACATATCAAATGCCACTCCATGCCTCATTACAAGTCCTGTCTGCAACCAAAGCGCGTTCCACTTTTCTTGGTGATTTCAAGTTTGAAGTAATTATATCTTTAATGTATGTTTTTTAAGGAAAAGGCAAATATTTCAAGACAAAAGGGAAATAATTAAGCAAAAATAGCTTTCAGGAGTACAGTGTATCTGCCCCTTAGAAATGCACTTCAATTTTATTTTATGCTTGAAGTGCATTTTTAAGGGACAGACCAAATTAATTTGACAATTTATTGAGAATGCAGCTTCCCAAACATAGTTTATACATTCACTTATTCAAATAAGACATATTCAGGAAGAATTTACAAGATTTCAATAAATTTCTGCAGTAAAAGTATTTAATATAGTTATCTTTAAAACCAGTCCTAAGCGAACAAATGCTTCACCAGCAGCCATTAAAATTCCGTAGATTATCTTTGCCAAAGCATATACTTTAATCTAGAAATGTGACCATAGGACATGAATGCCTCCACATTCTGAGATTTTGTCAGACAGCAAGACAGACAAAATTTATCTGACCTCCCCTCTCCGTATGTGGGGCATAAATGTCTGTGATAGTATCAAAATGTTACAAATATTATAAAGTTTAAATTATATTTTATATTTATTTGTGACAGTGAAATCATGTTTTATAAAAACCTTGTCATTAGTTGATCTAAGGGTGAGATATCCCTGGTGATGCTCCATTTTGTCAGTAGTTAAAGTTGCTGGTGGGTGCACACATACATTGTTCTTACAGTAGATTATCTCTCCATCCAGTGGTGGGGGCTTCAAATTAGTTGGTGAAGAAAACCCCAATAAGTTTGAGGCCTTCTTGAAAATATTGCTGAATGCCATTCTCCTGAACCTACCACCTTATCATCCCAAGTTTTCCTGGGGGAAAAAACAACATAAAAAACATGCAATTATCCAAATTAGAATGATTTTCAACTATATTGTACACTGTTACATGTATTTAAAACAAAATTTAATGTGATGACAAAAGCTATCTACTTTTTCTAAAGAAGCTTGTTTTATTTAATAACTAAAAGAATATGATTTTGTCCACAGATAAAGTGTTGTTTCTGTAATTTGTAAATAAACTTGCTGTCTTTGATTAGGTACTTTATTTAAATTAGAAAACAATTACAGGTATAAGACATTCCAGTCTCTCTTGTTTAAATAGGTATATTTTTACTATCTGGAAATAATTTTGCCATAAAAATGATTAAGAAGTGACATGCACAGTAAATATATCTCTGAAAACATATACACAATATTCCATTTGATCAACCTTAGATGTGTTTTATATTGAATCATGATAGAAATGGTGCTTTCTCTGATGATATATGATAGTCCTTGAATAAACCTTAACAAAAAGGAAATCTTAAATGTATACAACATGTACAGTCATGATGCATCAAATATGGATTAGTTCTTTCATAAATCAAGTTAAATGAAAAACAGAAAAGAAAGCTATTTAAATATCTTTACAGCAATTATAAAATTGAGCCGCATCACAACAAAACCAACATAATGGGTTTGCGACCAGCATTGATCCAGACCAGCCTGCATATCCGCGCAGTCTGATCAGGATCCATGCTGTTTGCTATCAGTTACTTGTTATAGGGTCTGTAAGCGAACAGTATGGATCCTGATCAGTCTGCGCGGATGCGCAGGCTGGTCTGGATCCATGCTGGTCACAAACCCATTATGTTGGCTTTGTCATGACGTGGCTCACTGATGACAATTACCTAGAGATCAATTAACTACAACACATGTATCACTTTCAGGTATTTTTATCCATTACAATTAAACGATTAATCACTATAAAGATAAAAAAATATGTTCGAGAGAAATCTCTCTTTATTCAAAACCTATATGAAATTATGTACATCGAACTGTACAAATTACAGTCCAATTTTAACTCTTCTCTTCCTTCCTGAGTAATTAAAAAAGATCTTATATGTTTTTAACATAATTTACAATGAAAAAATCACCATGAATTATTTCACATGACTGTATGTAAGGAAACCATGCTTTATATTGTAGAACAAGTGATTAAAACTCTGAAGGATACGTATGTAGGACAATGTTAATTACTAACAAAGCAGAATAATAATCAGGTTAAGATAAAAGATCGTGAAACCTTGGCCCAAAATCAATTCCATCGGGAATGAGCTTTAGAAATTAACTACTTTAAACCTGCACTAAAAATTACAAGCTGTTATAGGTGTTGTATATGCACAAGTGATTTTGTAAGGTCAGTATGGGATAGTTCCTGCGACCAATACTGATCATTTTATACATGAATTATACTTTTTATTACTCTTTGCCTAGCTGTTGAACATCTGACGTCGTCTTTTTTATGTGCATCTTTTCCCTGTGCTTCTTTGAAAGCAACCTTAAAACTGGTGGGTTTTCATATGAACTTGTCTGTCAATAATAATTTGTGCTGTTGTAAATTTGTCATATTTACACATTAGCTAGAACCTAGGGTCATATTTACCTCATTTAGGCTGCATTCTCCTGCATATTCCATCAGCAACTAGTAATAAGTTCTTTAAAATGAAAAAGCTTTAATTTTGTAAACAACTTCTAGAACTACCTACCCCCTGCTGTTGCCTTTACAACCTACCCAAGAGTTCAGTGCAGCAGACACTTGCATTGAACATGTCTCACCCTAGTTTTCCAGTCCCTGTTTTTAACATTTTTGATATTCTTCTTTCATTCTCTTTTAAATAAGTCTTTTTAACTTTCTTGTGATTTAAATGCGAAGACATGTCTACGTCCAGTTAGGAGTTTAACATTAATGGAAGATATATAGAAATGGTAAGTTAAGAGTAAAATTGATTTAGATATATGTATTGTAATACTATAATAAATAAATGTAATCTCTTCCAAGTGTAAACATGTAATCAACCAAAAATTTTGATAGGAGTCTTAGCAAGGTCCTTATTCAGCTATAATCGTTTATATGGTTCACAAGTTAACACCTGTTAATAACAGGGTAATGAGTACAGTGTTTGTGTTTGCATCTTAAACATGTTAATTTACTCGCTATAATTGCCAGGGACGAAAGAAAAAAAGGGCTGTTAAGTCCCTGGGACGAAAATTTCTCCCAGTAAGGCCATCCTTAAAAAAAATGTTTGTTTGCAGTAACCCGACCCAGAATTTTCAAGGTGGGTAGGTAGGTCGATTTTTTTTTTTTTTTAATTGAACTGTACTCCCAAATAAACATGGAATTTCAAAATTCTGGACAATAAATGCTTTGATAATCTGGTAACAATTAATAAATTGATAACTGAATTCTAATTTAATAAGAACTATATTTTATTTCTTCTATTAACTTTTAAAAAAACGAAAACAAAGCACAAGGCATAATTTTCTGATTCAAAAAAAATAATTTTTTATCCAGACCATGAAAAAACATTTGAGTAGGGGCAAATTTTGTGAGTCGGTCGCGTTACTGCAAACAAACATTTTTTTAAGGATGGCCTAACTGGTTAATTAATTTCTCTTAATGTTGTTTTCTTTGATTGAAAACGGATTTTCCATTCCCTATAAATAAATTTTGTATTGTATTTTAAGAACTTGACTGTCACCTTATTTTAATTTATTCCCTTCTCATTTGCAATGCAGATTAATTTTCCAAACATAAACCAGGAGCGATTGCTCAGTCTCGTTTTGTGCAAACCTATCAACAGACGTCACGAACATTGAAAGTCTCTGTTGCCAATATGTTTTTACATTAGAGACTGTTCTGTTGTTAAGTAGGAAAATGTTATCTTTGAAAAGGTAAAATACACATAGAAATATGTACAATAATATAAAAGTATTTAAATAAACCCTAATTCATTGCTTATATTAATATTAAATTTAAGTAATCAGCAGTCTCTTTCCCCACATTCTTTCGAGACTGGAAACTGTTGAAGACCGCAGACAGTCGATTTGCAGGCTATTTCACATGACAAATTTACATGACTGTTAATGTTTTTGTTAATTTACACACCTTCAGCCTTTAAATATTATTCAAGAACAATCAGCTGTCAAATTTTTAGGTAAAGCACACACATTTGATTGTTTGATGAAGTTATTCAAACATTGACATTTCTGTAATTGAGGACTCGTCCCATCTGAATAACGACATAACAGATAAATCAGCACTGATACCCAGGTACTCGGTAAAGCTAACTCTGTTGAGTAAAACATGAGTGATAGCTTGTAAATTGGCTTATGATTTTTTGGAAAAAATCCGTTGAATGTCCTCTTCTTAATAACTTCTCAAAATTATATAAACGAAGACATTTAAGGAATAATAATAAAAACAAACAGTTTGAAGAAATATGTCATACTTGTGCCAGCAATAAAGTGTTGGTGCTGGATTTTCTGCAAAGAAAATTGGTGATTTCATGCACGCATTGTCTTGGACATCTTAGGTACGAATGTATTCGAATACATCCGATTATTTTATTGATTTTGTAACGAAGGATTTCATTGGACAATTATTTACCCACAATGCGTTAGAATGTTATTTCCTGCCTAGCAACAAAACAACATGGCGGATTCTGAAAGGTTTTAGAATTTTTAGATATTTACGCCTTTTTATTAAAGATATCTAGATTATGTCGATAAAATGATTTAAGCATTTACAATTAAGTGAATCAGCGCAATCTTTCTGTGACATAACAGACACTGACTTAATATTTCAAAGCATGTTGTGTTATTTGTTTATGGTTTGGCCAATGTCATGAATGTTCATAACATGTATTGTCGTTATTCTCGAGCATATTTAGAATTTGTTCACTCTATGTTTAGTTTTGTGACCTGAGCTTTTGTGTTAATGAATACTTGTTGTTGTTTTAATCATCCACTACCCTGATTTATAACGGTAGAAGCCAAATTTTATTACAATTTCACTGATAGGTATAGAATTCTATATATATTTTTAATTGTTTTTTTATTTGATTTCCTTTAAATATACACATGTAGTCTATAGCTAGGCAAGCCAAAGCCGAGACCCGCTTCACAGACCCAGTGTTTTACTTCCCTGTATTAAGGCTTCCAATGAAACAATGGCAAATGCTGCCCTCGGGTACAGCGGAACTAAATAATTCTGTTCATTTGTATTATTGCGAAGGACTTGTTTTCACTGACTTATTTTACTGATATTGAGTGTTGCATGTTTTTAAAGCACACATATGATTGTCAATCAAAGCTTAAGTCAGTGATCAAAATAATAGCATTTAGACAAGTACTTTTCTGGTTGGAGAGATAACTTCAACACTAAATAAAATCACTATATGCCTGTTCATTTACTTTGATAATGACATATACTGTACAATAACATATAAACCAATAAATATTTTGTTTTAAAGGGCACAATTAAAAATTCACCCTTTTCCATTTATTCGAACCTCACTATATTAAAATAATGCAGAAAAGTTTAAGCCAACGGAAAACCCCCGGGCCAAACAGGCAGTAAATCCGGGGACAGGAAATGCACTAAAATTTTTATAGGTATTAATTTTTAAAAATTTTTTTTAATTTTTTTTATTTGATTTCTTTTAAATATACTACGGTGTTATCTATGACGGGCAAAACATTATATATAATATAATTTTTATATACATGTAATAATATATTCAAAAGCAAATCTAAGCAAAATAACATGATTTTGTTTTAAAGAACACAAAATAGAACTTCACATTATATCATTTATTCTGCAGACCTGCATCTAGTGCATCTAAGAAGGATGAAGTTGCAGAACAAGGTGAAGCACCAACAGAAAGACCACCTTCTGGAAGACCCCAATCAGCAGCTAAATCTGCTACAGGTACAGCATTAAATAATTTTTAATAGAAGTCATTTTAAATCTGTTTGTAAATTATTCTTTTTATTTATAAACTTTATCAATATTCTATAGTTGCATTCATTTTAATGATATACTACAGGATCAAGACCAACTTCAGCAAAACCAGGATCAAGGCCTGCATCCGGAAAGCCTGGATCAAGACCTTTGTCTGCAAAGTCAAGAGGCTCTGATAGACCTCCTTCAGCAGCAAGGAGTGGACGTGGTTCAGCAGCTGATGATAAAGCACCTTCTCCAGAGGCTGTAGAAGAACCAGAACAAACAACTGAGCAGCAAGAAGAACAGCCTGTTGTAGATAGAGAAGAAACAGGTCAATCTATTGACCGCCCTGCTTCAGCTGGCTCAAGGCAGGGTTCAAGACAGGGCTCAAGACCTGCTAGTGCTGGAAGACCACAATCTGCATCCAGAGAACAAACACAGGACACTGTTGGAGGTAAATGCAGGGTTCTATTAAAATTCTTTATCAATTTTAGTATCAAGACAGTTTATATACTGCTTTTCTTGGTGACCAAAATCCATAACAAAATGTTTTATGAATTATAGTTTTTATGCTCCCCAAAAAAATTTCGGGGGAAGTCGGATTTTACAACTATTTCACAGCAATGATCACCATATTGAGGCGACATGTCGCGCCAAAATTTGGGTCGCTACCTTGAAGGTCAAGGTCACAGCATGACCTTGCATCAAAATCTTGTGCGGCCCATAACTTTGTTATTTGAAGTCGGATTTTACAACTATTTCACAGAAATGATCACCATATTGAGACGACGTGTCGCATGCAAGTCGGTAGATAGATCTCATTGAGTAGAAGTGACGTGCAAAGAACAGTAACTCTACCTTGCCTTAGTTTGGAATTATCACACTTTGAACTTTTTCTGGGACATAACTCTGAAACTACAAAAGATATACTTTTCTGTGTTCAAAACCTAGTCGGGGAGCATCACCCGGTTCAACCGGCTCTTGTTTTGTTTATTATTTTACATGGAAATTTTGTGAAGCACTTGAAGAAAAGCTAGTGAGTGACTAAGTCTTAATTGCTCGCCCGTTTTACAATTCCTGGTGTATTCTTCTAAGAATAGAATGTAGATAATTTAAGTCTACAGCTGTGAGATGAGGTGATTAAGTAGTTCCATTATAGCTGAAGGCAGGGCCCTGCATTCAAATTAAAATCCTTAGTCTCTGTATTTTGATGTAGGTTACTTAGTTGTAAACTGTTTGTTATTAAATAGCAGTCATTCTGCAAGATTTAAAACTAGTTGATTCCTCCTTGTTTTAAATTATTATTTTGTTACACTCAGCTCCTGCCCCAGGTGGTGATGATGGTGAAGGTGATGGTCAAGGTGATAATATAATTGAGGATGATTTCGTACCAATGGAGCAGAACTTTAGTCAGATGATGGTTGCAGGAGGCGGTGGACCACCAGATGGTGATGGAAGTGATGGATCGGAGGATGATGACGAGGAAGAGGAAGGGGAGGAAGAAGAGTCAGATGATGGTAGTGATGCTGAAAGTAATGTCATGGTTGTACTGGAGCCAGATCATGTAAGAAAAATTTCATTAACAACATTTTATTTTTATCATTTATTCCATATAAATGAGTTAATGGTAATCTGGTCTATTTATACATTTGCAATATTGTATAATTATTATTTCCTGTACTTTCCTGTTTATAAATGTAAATTATCTGAACAGAATTTAAGTCACGGCAATCATATTGTAAATCTGTTTCTATTTCAGCCATTGATGAAAAGATTTCAAGCTGCTCTAAAGAAGCAACTTACCAAGCAAAATGAGAAAGTTACACTTGAACTCAGAGAACTTGTAAGTAAAAAGTTAAATGTAATCAACTATAAAATTAATGTTTTTTTAAATGCGAAAAAAAATGGAAATTTGTGATTTAATAAATTTCTTAACTGATTCTAATAATTACTTTATAGGCATAAAACACAAAAGGAAAAATATTAATTAGCACTTAAATGACACCAAAAGGCTGCAATGTTTTCTTCTTAAATTGGTTTTATGAAGGAAACATTTTTCCACTTTTATATAAATCTAGGATGAGTCATTGAAGACACGTAAAAAGGAGCGTGAAGATCTCGGTGTAGATCTGTATGGGATACAACAAGAACTAGCACGATATCAGATGATGTTAGAGAAGAAACATGACGAGTTCTCAGAGGTCACTCAGGTTAGAACACAGGAGGAACAACAGCTAGATGATGTTAGAAACATGTACAAAGATCTCCAGTATAATGTCAATGTAGAAAAGAAAAAGAGTAAGTCATTAATTTGTGCAATGATTTATTCAATTGAGTAATTTGTCTTTCTGTTATTATGGAGTCTTCTGTTGTCTTTGAAAAACTGTTCATATGTGTGTCACTGATATTTGATGTAAGATAACAAGGTTTGTTTCCAGATATGATCAAAAGTCTAAAATGTCCATATATATTTATTTTTTAAGTGATATAGACAGTCTGCTAACTTATATATAAATTCCCTATTTAATGTTTCAGCATCTGAACTACAAGGAGAGGTAGAGAATTTGGCACTGAGATTGTTTTACATGCAGAATGCCAAGGAAGATGTACGTTCTGACATTGCCATCATGAGAAGAGCAGCAGAGAAAGCTGATACTGAAGTTTCCAAAGCAGAAATAGAGAAACAGAAGCAGGATTTGTTTGTAGATCGTCTCGTAGAGCGGGTAGATAAACTTAAGGAAGAGATTGCCATGTATGAAGCACAGCTCACTGCCCAGCTGGAGGAAACTAAAGCAGCCAAAGAACAGTTGATGGAAGCTTATATGGAGATTGAGGTACATTTAATCATCAAATCTTTTATCATCCTGTTATGCAATGCACTTTGGTTCAGTTGAATTTAACACAGTAAATGTTCCATTAAAACTGCCAATATGGAAATGACCTGATATTGTTTTGTTTGTTGATCAAATATGATGAAATGTTGTCTGTCATTTGAATATTGTACATATGTTTAATGCAGTTATAAGTTGATATTAATGATGGTGGTTCATGTAATAGTTACATATTGTTATATTTCAGGCAATCAGTTTAGAGAAGAAGCAGTTATACCAGCAGTGGAACAGCAGTTTGATTGGTATGAGGAGAAGAGATGAGGCCCATGCTGCTATGCTGGAAGCACTTAGGTAACTTATTTGTAAATTGTTGCTTGATATCATCAACAGCAGATAACAGCTTAATATTTATTGCTTGTTAAATGATGTGAATGATTTTATATTTCATTATGAAAAAGCTGCCGAATATGGTAAAAGTTTTCCCTTGTCTGAAATATATCAAATACATTCTCTAGGAGTCTACATATTTTAAAACTTAATCTGAAGGTTTTTTTTAGATAATAAATCTTAATGATGTCATTATGTTCTTCCTTATATCCTTTTAGACATTTTAATTTTGCTCTTATTACAAATCTTGTTTTAATATGTGTGTAAAATATTAAGATGTGATGTTGTTTAAACAGTCAGCAACAACAAAAGGTGTTGTCCCTGGAGACGGAGATTGAAGGCTACAAGAAGTCTATCCAGAAAGAGCAGGAACAGAATGAGAAGCTTACTCTAATATTAAACAAGACAGAGAGAGATATAGAGACAGTGAAGAAACAGTTGACACAGTGTCAGAGTAAACATGATGCTCTCAAGTCAGAATATGCCACCTATACCAGAATACTTCACGAGACTGAACAGAGTCTTAACAGGGCTATGACTGTAAGTTTTCTATGTAGTTTTCTGATTTCTTTCAGAATCAGATTTTTGTTCATAAACTTTCTATAACCTTTCTATACAAAATTGCTTGATTGTTAGTTTCATTTCCCTTTGTTGTCTTTATTTGTACAAATCTTTGAACTGCTATAAAATATCAATTTATTTGTGAACTCGTACAATAAAGCAATTGTTATTAAAAGTAAGTAAGTAAGTAAATTTTTTGTTCCTTTTTGACTTGCAGGATAAAACACTGCGGCAGAATGAGTTAAATGCTCTACGGAAACAGATAGAGAGGGAATATCTGGAGAAAGTCAAACTGGAAGATGACATCATGGAGAAAATGAGAAGTCAACTTACTATGGACAAAGCTGCTCAATATACTAAGAAACTTACTGGCAAGAAGAGAGAACTGACTAAACAACTGGTATAAAATTAGGAAATACATAAATCAATTTTGTGTGCATTGTTGTCGAATAATGCATGGTTCGAGTTCAAATGCGCAGAAATATAATCATGAAGGCCGATATACCTCATTGATTAATTTCAAAGCATTTGAAAGATAAACTGTGCATTATTATATTGTAATGCATGAAAAATTAATATCTATTTCCATTATAACATGCTAATGATAAGAGAATTCATAAAAAATATGTTGAACTACATTGACTGTAGAAGTAATTTTCCTAACATCATTTGGTTTATTGACCCCATATACTATTGTGACGTCACACAATATGTAAGCATTTTTTTTTCATGCTGTGCATATTTCATGTAATAATGCACTTGATTGTCCTATCTGCATGTAGGGGAATAGTGTAAAGAGTGTAACATCTATATCTTTTTGAAAATAAGTATGTTATGATTAAAGTCATGTTTTCATTTTAGACATTTTGTTACAGAAAATAACTTAGGTTAAAACTTGTAATTACAATAATTGCTTACTTTCCTATACAGGAAACTCAAATGGCTGAAGTAGAGAACGACATATCCAATAATACCCTGCAGATCTCTAATGTCAGAGCTCGTATAGAACGTTTGCAGAAAATCTCGGCTGAACTTGATAATGAGATTGCTCGCCAGAATGAGATCATCAACAGAAGTGAGACTGAGATTGTACGCAGGAACGCTATCATTGAACGTAAACAGAATCTCATTGATCAGTTTAACAAGAAGCTTGAAGTGATGATCACCAAGGCTGGGGTAAGTTTTTTTATAATTTCAACTTCTTATAGTGATATCCCATATCATATAAATATGCAATTATAAATATATATAATTGATCTGTAAAACCTGTATTTCCTTTATTTTTTGTGAATGCATAAAGTAGATATGAAATAAAAGTGGATTGAAATTGCTGTCCTAATATTGAAATATTGAACATTATTGTATATAAAAGAAACTTTTGACATAGCAACCTAGCCTTTAAGTCATGTTAATTTGAATTGTGTGGATATAATAGATGTAGTATAAAGATATAAAATATTTATGTACAGGGTATTGAACTGGGACCTCTGGAGATCAACATCAACTCCCTACAGAAGTCAATAGATGCACGTGTACAGGAGATTGTAGATCTCCAACAATTATGGTTAAGACAACAGACCGAGTTGGTACGTCTAGCAAAAGATAAAGATGAGCAGTCTGTTGATGTTACCAAACTAAAGAAACAACTCACCATTCTAACACAGAAGAAAGCTAGAACTGAAGGTACATGTATTTTCAACCTTGAATGTTAGTGTAGGTTATATTTCCAATTCTTTTTTTTTTTTTTTTTTTTTTTTTTAGAAGTTGAATAAACATTCCATCAGAGAACCACTAAGCTGGCTTACTTGAAAGACTTTTATGCAATGAATTTCAATTTCAAGAATTTGTTGGTATTATTTATTATTTTCCTTACACATGGTCAATATTTGGTGTTTACATTATAGAAATTACTTGTGTATATTAAAGGCTTAATTCATAATTTCTTGCTATTTTTGACAACTTGCTAACATGTTTATTTATACTATGTAGGTGAGATAGATGGTCAGAGATTGGAAACATATGATATTGAACGTAGCATCAGTAATATGCAGAATGATATGATTAAACTCAACAAATTGTTACATAAAGAGAAGGGAACTCAAGTTATGCTTCAACAAGACAACATTCTCAAAGAGAATGACTTTATCACTAGTCTTAAGGTATATACTTTTAACTTGATAGCAAAGTGAACTGTTATTTCATACTAAGGTTTTATAAGTGAACTGTTATTTCATACTAAGGTTTTATTTATACATGTATATGAATAATGCTTTACGTTTATCTGCAATTTTACTTGGGTAAATATATGGACAGGAAAACATAATTGTTCAAAATGATAGAATTTTGAAGGAAAATGGAGTTATAGAATTATAGTTATAAAAATGGAACTGCATGTGCAGTTCTGTGTTTTTAAAACTTTGATATGAACATCTTTTTCTTTGAATGAAACCATTCACTAGTATAGTTGAAATACAGAAATGTATATTCAGATAAGTAGAATTTATGTATTTTGTGTATAATTTAAGGATCACGAGCATGAGTCTATAGAGTTACAGACAAGTCTCGAGGCCCTGAAGGAGGAGAAAGAAAGATTACTCAACAGTCTAGTTGAGGCAGAGTAAGTACAAGACTACTTCATTTATGCTTTTGTTAGTAATGGTTCAATTTTCTTCCAGGGTAATTTTATTTTCAATTATAATATTTCTTAAATAATTACCATGTTAGCTGTATGTCAAAAATTTAAGAGTTTTTTTAACAACTGAATTTTATTTGTAACATGTGTGATATAATTATCATAGTTAAGAAACAGATTGTAAATATATAAATAAGTATATTAAAACTTTAATTGTATTTTTAAACAAGACGTCAGATAATGTTGTGGGAGAAAAAGACACAACTTGCTCGTGAGACTCGTGCCGCTGTGGATTCTGAAGTAGGTCAAGGTGAGGTGCGTGCTATGAAAGCAGAAATTCATCGTATGCAGGTTCGATACTCCCAGTTAATGAAACAACAGGAGAAAATGATACAAGAGATGGAGAAGGCTGTATCCAGGTAATATACCTTGCTCAACTTTTCTTGTTTCACTCTTAACATTGTATGAATGCTTTGATATCTATGATTTTTTTTTTTTTACAGGTATTTTAAACATTGCACAAATGAATGAAATGGGTTTCCTCATATTTTTGAAAACTTAACAAGAACATTTTTCTAAGGAATGGTATTTTTATAAGTTTTTGGTAAATGAAATAGCAACTTTTAAATTTTACTTTTGTATTTTAGGCGTGATACAATTGTTACTCGAGGTGATGCCTCACAGAAAATTAACAAGAAGGTGCTAACAAAGGGAACGTTTGAACGACAAATGAACGAGACTAGAAAAAAGATAAAACAAACTATTCAGGTATGTTTATATAGTTACTAAATGGATTCCTGATTTGAAATTCTATGTACAAAAAATGTCACATTACACTTCTGAGCTTTATAACCTTGATACAAAGGATATACAAAACTAAACTATACACAAGTCAGTAACTGACTTTGTAATTTAATCTTTACGATAACTTTCCAGTTGTTATTGTGAATTTGAAAGAATTACACAAATGTCTTTCTAGTGGATTTTACTCCTTACAATGTTGGACCAGTACCGCCAGATGCAGAAAGAATTATCACAAAATAGGAAAATATTGCTTTTTTCACTGATTTTTACATTTTCATTCATTAACGTATTGAAATTGGTGTGAACCGATGAAAAAGTGAATTTTGGCTGGTGAAAAGGCAAGATTTTATCATTTAATCATTCAAGCACCTTGACTGGTATATACCAGAAAACGGCATTTAGTGTTGTGCTCCAACGTTTTTTGTTTTATTTCACTCCTTTCTAGTAAGCCAGCTTACTGGTTCTCTGAAGGAATGCAATTTTTAGTTTTAAATTGTGCATTAACATGATTACCTGTATATTGTATAGGAAGCTAATTCATGTGATGGGGAGATACAACAGTTACGTGAACATCAGACACAGCTGAGCTCACAGCTAGAACAAGGTCAACTTAACGTACAGTCATTACAGGGTAACTCCGATTCCATTGATGGAGATATTGATAGACTGATTGAAGTTAAACAGAAGGTATTACATTGTTTTAATCTATATATAGATATACATACATGTATATATGGCCTGAAAATGAAGTAATAACTTAATCATTAACTTATTACATTATTTCCATACCATTCATGTGACTTAATGTTTAAACATTAAACTATTGTAATGTTCAGGGTGTTTTTTGTGGTTTTTTTTTTTACATATTAAGGAAATACTGTGACTGGCGACTTTAAACTTCACCACATTTATCTCTCTAAATGATAAAATTTGATTTTTAAAATTGTTTATGATAATTATTCAAGTTGTTTTTTTTGTTGTTTTTTTTAAATGAAGCAATAAACATAGCCTGACTTGTAGTAGTAACATAACATATTTTCACAAGCAATAAATTCATGTATATGACATTTTTATTTGAGTGTAGTTTCACACATTATCATGACAGCAGAAGATTAAAGATAACTGTACAATTTAAAAAACAATAAAATCTCAATTTGTTGAATGCAATTAAATTTGACAAATACATATCTGTTCACAAATTTATGACCCTTTCTCTAATAGATATAACAAGGAAACAATGTGGTGTATGTCAAGCAAACAATACTTGGGGGAGGGGGAAATTAGTAGGACAGCTCCAGGGCACCCATGTCAATTGAATAATTAATCAAATTCTAAAATCACATTGTAACAGGAAAATGAAAGCCATAATTATAACAAAGAGACTGTCCATGTAGATTTAGATACACTGTTTAAAATTCTGTAGTTAATTAGAACTAAGAAATAGGGTTCACAATTATTTATTTGTTATTATTTATTTGTTATATACCTCATCTTGGCTCCTGAAATCAAGCAAAATTAAAATTTTTAAAAAGGAGCTGAAAAAAAAATTACATGTACATGTATTATTAAAATTTATTTGATGTAGATGACGATTTTCTTGATTACAATGAACTGTAGTTTTCATATTATATGTATCTGATATTGTTAAATAATTGAAAATTAAACAGAAATCATTGTAAGAAAAAGAAATATATTTTAGTGTATATGAAAATAATTATACAATGTAATCAATGTTTTAAAAATTGTGCCAAGTTTGGGATCCGAACATGTGTAGTGTCCCATAAACAAATGTTTCTATTAAAATAATGTATCAAAATGATAGAAAACAGGTACATACAAAAGTTACCAACAAGTGTATAAAATAGAATTTTTATTGTGTATAATATTGTATATAATGGCATTTGAGACTTTGACTCATGAAAACCTTAAATTAAGTAAACACACAAGAGGCATTGTCATTGTTGATTTAACTGTTGTTTGAATTTGCCGCTATATTTTAAGGGGTCATTTTGCCCCTATGTAATTTTCTGTTTGATGTGAAGCAGACACATTTCCCGAGGGTTTAGGTCAATAATAGATGAATTAACTGTCATGTTTGATGACAAGCTACATTTTATGCCAGTTTTTATCTTCCTAAGGCTATACAGCGATAACTTTCAACTATATAATTGGAGTGTAAATGTGTTGAGATGGCCCCTAATAATACTCTACTGTCCATAACGGTTTTGGTGGCAAAATTAACTTTGAAAATCATGTATCATAGAAACTTGGAGCATCAGAACAGTTCATATGAAGAATAAATTTTAGCTTAGTTTTAACATTTATAAATGAGATATGTTTTAATACCAAAGACAATAGAGTCATTTCAGGGCATACATATGTAAACAAATTCATTGTAATAATAGTCAAACTGGAAAGTGAAAACTTTTTCTGTAAAAATATGACATTTGATGGACATAGGAAGGTTGCATGATTATACTATAGCAGAATATGGTCAATTCAAAAATAAAGTGTTAAATACTTAAAACCGCCATGAACATGTTTTATTACATTTTGTTCATATAAAAATCTGTTCTTCCTTTTAGGAGTTTCTTAAAGGATTATAAATCTATATCTATGTAATATTTTAATAAAATTCATCAACAGTAAAATTATATTGGTTCCATTATTATATGGTTGATTCCCAAAAAAGCTGTAACAGATAGAATGTCTCTGTTATTTAATACACATGAATAATGTACGTAAGCAGAATAAAATGTTTTGGAACAAAATATTATTTTGCTATTTTAAATAGGGTTTTATCCATTTAGCAATGATTTTGTGCATGCGCCATTCACTTTTAAGGCAATCAATTACTATTTTTATTTCATACAAGCATTTTGGAAGTATACTTCTATAAAATTCAAACAATAATTTTTGCATCAGATATATAGCTTTATACACTTTAATTTACTAGATCAGGGGCATTGCAATAATTAGATGCTATGGAGCAGTCATAGAAAAGAGGTCACAAACTATGGGGGAAAAAAATAAAAAAATCATAATTATTTTCAGTAGTTTTAGTATAAATCAGAATAATGATACAATTTTACATTTAAATGATTCACTCTATGATTCTATCAAAACATAATAACAATCTCTACAGTTTTACATGTGATATATTTATTATTTACTTGTAATTGACTAGGTGTTTGAAAATATTTGAGTCTTTTAAGGGAAGTGTTAAACAAATATAATATTATCTCTTGATAAATCAGGTCCCTGCTTATATATACAGTATATAATTAGCAGAAATATGAAGTATCATTATACTTAAAGTGTGATGTCCAGCTAAGTTCACAGGTCACCTGCTTTTAACTATATATACAAGGTGTTTAATCACTTTTTAGCACTAAATATGAGACCGGTCAATTAGCACACCTGTCCCCTTTATTCCACATGGGAATATTTAAGTTTCCCTCCAAATTTATCATACCGGTCTCTTACATCATGATTTCGCCTAACTGTGGTAAATAGTGACATAGTGTGATATGTATGTCAGTATAGTTTGGCTATGCAAATATTTACTTATTTACTTACTGGTCTTTTGTTGTCTTTGTTGATAAAGAAGGGGCTTATGTTTAATTAACTCAGATATGACTTGTTATGTAAATATTACCCAATATGAAATAAATTCTGCTCTTGAATTGATGTAAATTTACAAAGTAAGAATATTTTGGAACAATCAGGGACTGTCAGTTTTATTACGATGATAAAAAATTATTGATTTAAAAAATGCAATTTAAGTTATTGTTTTTGTTTAGTATATAAATCTGTACTTTTGTGATCAGTATAAAATAGAACAACAAAAAACAAACATAAACTGTGAAACTGCAGGAATTAAAAATAGTAGCCTTTGTCAACTACATAAAGCCAGGCGAGCCTGACCAAGGACTAAAGTTAAAGTCTGTGTCTGACCAAGCTCTGTATTGTTGGTAATTTTTTTGGTATTTTGATGTTGAAATCCGTTAAGTGTCAATTGAACTGTTCCAAATTCAAGACATGGCAAATCTTTTACACCAAGTCATGTTTTTAAAGGTTAAGTCACCATTTGATATAAAATTATACTATATGTAAAATAATTCATTTCATATGAAATTAAAGTTGATATAAAATTACAATTCATTTCATATAAAATTAAAGTTGATATAAAATTACAGTTTTGATATATAAAACAATTATTGCTGGTTTTTTTTTCAACATGTATAGGACAAATAATGCAGAGTACTTTTTTTTAAATCAATAAGGTAACTGAACATCAAAGAGTCATTGATTCTGTATAGAGGATTATACCTGGTACCTACCTGGCTGGATATTTTTGACCTGTGTTGACCCCTGCTGCTTCTAGCTGCAGGCAGTAGTGTTGTTAATAATTGATAAATTAAGCTGCATTCATTCATTGTTATCTGATGCCCTTTGTTATATAGAGATAATATTGACTACAGACTTAATCATATATTAAACAACTGGCCAGCTTTTGTCTGCCTATCTGTACTCTTGTCACAAATTGATCAACATTGCTCTTTGAAGATATCTGATGCTGTTAAGTAGTTTTCTGTTATGTTGTGCTGGTGTTCAGATTATTTAAATACAGCAGGCTGATTATCATGTTACATCATAGGGTAAAGTCCTGCTGGTTCATGTACATATGTATATTTATTATATACTTATAAATGAAATATTGAGAATTATTGATGAAATAAAATGCGTATTTTCATTTTCCGTATTTTCACTGTAAAAATTTATTTTTCACTGCAGTGAAACATATTTTCCGTATTTTCACTGGTGTCCTGCCGGACTACTTTCTTTTAAATTCTACCAGTACACAAAATTTAAGGGACAGTTTTTCAAATTTTATCGCAAAAAAGAGAAAAATGTACATAATAAACAGAAAATTCAAGTTTTTTCTATAAATACATGATTTATTTTCATCTTGTGGCATGAAAATTACCATATTTCACTCGTGGCTACCACCACTCATGAAATATTTATTTTCATACCACTCGATGAAAATAAATCATGTATTTATAGAAAAAACTTGAATATCCTCTATATATATACCTATTATGTTTTCTAAAAATATTTTGATGCATATCTAAAGCCTTGTTAAAATGTTTGAATACAGAAAATTAGTAAAATAAAGCAGCATATACCTGATCTTTAAAAGATAACATGTATACATTACAATAGTTTTAATTAATAATGAAATGAATTCTTTACCAGCTTTAAGCCGAATTGGATTTTTTTGTCCCCAAAGAAGTAATATTGTCATTTACATTTGCAACTACTTTCTCTTATCATTTATTTTTAACAAAAAAGAGACCCTCCTTTATCATTTAATGCACTAAGTGTACATAAATATTTAATTCTTTTGTTTATTTTGAAGTATGAAATCATCATAAAAGGTCAATCATTAACTTAGAATAACCAGAAATTATAACAATAGCATCCATGCAATATCCAATTGTCATAATATTTGTGAAAATGTCTTACAGAACAATTATTGGCAAGTTTACAGTATTAACAACATTGATGATTGCTTGTATACAAAATATTATTGACTGTAAACATCATGTAACAACTTGGGACAATAAATCAATAAAACACATCTTGAATTTGCATACAGCATATAAAATATTTATAAAGGTGTTATAAAGTGTGCCACAACTGTAACCTTATAATCACAATTAGGTCCTGACATGTTTATTTGTACTGATAATGATACTGTTGTAAATTATCACAAATTTGTTAACTGTCAAAATGAACAAATTTAAACTAAATTTCTGCCATCATTGTTAACCTAGAGGCTGCTGTATTTTACAATAATTGCATATGTTAATATTGTGCATCACTTTCTTCTAAGTGTCTCATTGCAAAGATTTTTGTCTGTAACACAGCCACTTTTGACACCTTTCCATTTAAAATGTGAGAAAAAATGCCTCTGGGATATTTAGATTTGCTGCTATGGTCTATTCAAAATTGCCGCCCTTTTCTCTGTCATGAGGTATAGAATGATGTCAGATTTTATCTCTTTTTGTCTTGTACAGTTGACAAATTGGCTGAAACTTTCATGTCATCTGATAAAAAGATACTAGTGATGTTATTGTATACAAACTTCCCTGTTTGTGACATATGATCTTCAAAATGTAACAAGATGCTCTAAAGATTATAATTGGGGTTCTAAAACAGTTTTCTTTTTTTAAAAAAGGTCTCTGGATCTTGGTATATAAGCTTCAATACTTCTTGTAATTCTTCTTATATGTTTTATTTTTAAGTTTTGACTTTATATTTTCTATACTTACTTTGTTCCCCTTTTAGAAAAAAGCTATATTGTAAAGCCTCATCTTTATTTGAAAGGGATTATTTACATAGGACATTTAATGAGAAAGGCTATTACATAGCTGCACAATTGTTTGCAATAAAGCAATTTATTTTTATGTCAAGATTATTTAATATAGAACTACAGTAAAGTTTATAATTATCCCCTGTACTGTTAAATTATCAACAAAATTGGATAATGTTTTATTTTTATAAAGATGCAATTTACTAAAGCTTATAAAGGATTAGGAATTGTTCAGAACATGTGGTGGGGGATTATCAGATAATGTTGTAACAACATGTCATAGCATTACTCTACTAATACCATCTAATCCTTCACAAGATGATCTAACTGTACAAGATGAAACCATTATCAACATCTACCTTTTATCAACAATCTAATGCTTTTGACACACATTTGTCTCACAATACAAAATGGCAGGCATGTGGCAGGCTTATTTTAATGGAATTTTTTAACAACAATAAAATATCTTAATTGAACAAAAATCCTTTTGAATTATCATATTTAATGTTTATTCTTTAAGATTATTCTGAATCTTACTTTGTAAGACGGTTCACTTGAGGAATGCAATAATGTACATATGTTTTATTTTATAATTTCAGAATATGACTGAATTGTTGGCACGGCAACAGAAGATGAAGTACTACCAGCAGGCTAAGGATGGCAAGTACCACAGACTGTGCAAGTCCGAGGCTTCACTAGAGTCTGAGTATCAGAAGCAGGTTGACAGACTACAGTCACTGAGCGCCATCGTGGATCGTCTCAACCAGGAATACCCTCATGTACAGCCGACATTACGACGTGTTACAGTCAACCTTAGCTCAAAGACTGTAGAAGATGAGAGTGTATAGATAAATAAACATTGACCAAAACTGTTCTGTGATAAAAATAAAAAACTGACATTGTCTTATATATGAATTTGATTAAAATTGTTGAATGTTGTTAAATTATGTAAAAATATTTGTATTTGTTTATATATATTTATAAAGTATTTATTTATTACTTCTAAATACAAACTTACAATAGATTACTAAGTGTAAATGTTAGATATAATTGTGTGACGCACTGCCAGCAAAAAATAAGAATGCTTGAACTGCAGCATTCTACAAATTATACATTCTTTTCTGATAATTTGCCAAGAGTTTGTTGAAAATTATTTAGATGTATGTTTGATTTTTAAAATATTTAGGTACATGTTTAAACAGTTTTATTGGAAAAATATTCAGTGTGTTTCAATGATCTGTGAGACAAGTGTAAGCCAAAACTACATGTATGAATAATTAAAAATGTGATGTTGTCAAGCTAAATGTATACATGCAGTTGAATTATCCCGTCCAATTTCTTATTATTTTCAGTTGTTTCATTTATTTGTTGTTGTTTTTTTTTTCTTATCTAATTATAGATATATAATTGGTTATATGTGTTTAAACATTTTGCTAAAAGACTATGATGTGCACATATCAATGAAACTCTGTCATATGTTTTCTTTTGTAATGAATGTCACTATTTCAATATGCATGATGTAATAAATATGATATAAAAAAATTCATGGTTTCTTCTATTACTTTACACTGAATATTATAGCCTTTTAGGATAGTATTATAATGTTGAATAATATTTAGGATACAAAAAGATCATATTTTAATTTACTTGGCTAGATTCGGAATACTGATTAGTACAAGTAGTAGCCTTGATGTGAATCAAAGCAGTTTGACTTTTTCCATTTTTTCTTTTCGAATGGTACAGGATTTTAACAATGCACTGTACATTGCGTTAAGTGCTACACATCTTGTGAAGTTACATCAGAGTATTGTTATCTTATTCAAACTGGATCACTTTAATTGCAAGAGAAAACTATTGTTCAGCAAAATTGCATTTAAATACAACAGGTATTTGTTTGTGTACACCACTTATCAAGGTACTTTTATGGTCTTGATAAATAGAAAGTTGTTCAATGATAGTTTACATTGCAGGTAAATAAGAAAAAAAAGATAAGCTTCATTCAGCTGGAATGGACAAAAGGTGTCATGAGAATTAAGAAGATTCTTCTATTCCTTCTTTAAAAAATAACAAACATGACCAATTCAGAGAATAATTCTTGTTTTGTTGTTCATTTGTAATAAACAATCGTTTATACTCTGAAATATATAAGTACGTCTTCATTATCCCCATTTCCATCTGTTTACCGAGACGTCTGTGTCGACAGGGGTCCATGCGATCTTGCTGATAAGCCCGCTCTGTCGTGCTAATTATCTACCACATTAATAAGTACACAAAATGATCATTAAGCTGTTATTAATTATCTAAAGATCCGAGGACCTAAAACCTTTCTATAAATGTTACTTTAATTAATTGTTTATTGCAGATAATATACAGGCCAAAATTTTATATATCATTTGCTGATGACAAACATCAAAAGTTCATCTGCGCTGTTATTTTTTATTTTTATTCATTTTTTCATTTAAATGACCTGCATTGTACGTTTACAAAACGGACACGTGTTTTGGCGCCGAATGATCTCAATTATAATCGTATAATAGTGATAATTGTGTATAGCGGTCACACGTGCCCGTAATTATGTTAATTATTGTAGATGAAAAGAATAAACCGAACACGTTCATAAAACTGCATTCTGACTCTAAGTTTCTAGGAATTTAAGATATTTTGTTTATTTAAACGCCAAACTGGTTATACGTGTCAAGGTTGGAAGCCATGTGCCCACAGCATCAGTTGGTGGCAAATGTGACACATTCCAGAGACGATATACAGCATTTAGTGAAAAATACACAATTCTATGTTCATATTAATAATATTATATGTAATAAATGATTCACGCCTAATTTTGTTTTGAATATTTCATTATCGTTAAATTTAGAGTTAGATGTATAGAGAAGCATATGCGCTTAAAATAATCATATGTAGTCAATACGTACGCCAACATAGGCCCCTACTGTACAGTAATGTTGCTTTTTGTACATTTTCGTGTATGTTTATTTATTTATTTTTAGAGATAAGTCATCATCATGTATGAGATTAAATTCTGTTTTTCTTACTAAGTTTTGAAAAAAGTACAAAGGCAGAGTTGGTCCCTAGGTTGCAGGCCAGCCTGGGTAGGTTAAAACTTTGTAAATTTAGGAGTCTTAGCCGATTTCCATAATTTTCAATAAACGACTTTTAAATTTTTTTATCATCATAACATTTTATTATTACTCTCGGTCCGCTGTATTATTAACGTATTATACATGTCCCAATCCTACCACAACTATCTTTTCACGGACCAATCAAAACGGAGTGATAGTTCAAATTTTGAAAGTGCCTCGGGAATCTTGGGAAGGCGTAAGTTCCCTCCCGTCTGTTTGTAAACGATTTACCGTATCGACCAATCAACGCTTAGCGTACAATTGATGATAACTGACAGTTGAATGAATGTATGTGTTGCGAGTGTGATGTGTTTTTGCTTTCAGTTTAGAAATTAACTAGTTTAGTGCAATAAAATTGGATATGAAAGGTAAGAAATTAAATATATATTATACTGTACGCCTTTATTTCAGGCTTAATTTTATATTTTTTGCAGAAAGTCTGGGAAATACCTTTTAGTTTGAGTTTACAAAGTTGGTTTTATTTTCAAATTTGATTCCGTTAGAAAGGGAAAGGTATGATATGAAATAAAGCCAACTCGAGTAGCACTGGTAAAATGATACAAATTTCTATTGCATCCCATCGTAGACAGAAATAATGCAATAAACAACTTTAAATTTCAAGTGGCATTAGAAAAATACAGTTGACGAGTTGTAGTTTATAAATGTTTCGTAGGCCTACTACAGTAGACTAACTACAGTAGTGTCGTTCACTAACGCTTTTCTTAGTTTATTAAGTTCCTCCTGTGAAACTTTAAAGTTGTGTAGCAAGTTGCTTTAAAACAATTGAAATGTCATAATTGTGTAGAGAGGTTTTATTTTTAAATTCCATTCGCCGAACTGTTGATGCATAACGGTCTTTGATCGCCTAGCGGTCTATTTATAACCGTTAACACTGGTTAATCGGCTTATCACCGCGACACAGGGCCGCTCAATCACTCGGTGATAAATCAATAATTGATTTATTTATAGGTGCAATTTCACATGTAGGTATAAGTTTCAACCTGCATTTGTTGGAATTCCCGTTCAAACTTGAAACATTGTAACGGTACTTTTCATTGGATAAAAATCTTCAGGTAGTAACTTGTTCCACTAATTAACCAATCGGTGCTTACATTCTCCAAAACAATTCCTGTTTAGCAAATTCATATGTTTGTACATGTATATTTTATCTGTCAAAATTGGTTGCATATAAAATAATGCATTACTTTTCAAAAATAACTTAAGAAGAAAGGTGAAATAAAAGTAAATTGAATAAATTTATTGAACATTTTGGATTAATTGGAAAATATGGTTCTTGTTTCTTATTGTAAGTAGATCTAGGACATTGTTGATCATATTATGATAATTTATGACAAAATTTAAAAATGACTTTGACATTATAATGTTTACAAACAATTTAATAAGATATAGGTCAAATAATTATGACAAAATTTAAAAATGACTTTGACATTATAATGTTTACAAACAATTTAATAACATATAGGTCAAATAACATGGCATATGACATTTATCTTTATCAGATTTCAACAGATAATTTGACTTTAAATAAACAGCTACATTATTTAGATTAAATCTGTTTTTGCACTTGTAAGTCAACAATGTTCTGAATTGTTTGATACATTTTTTGGTGACATTTTATTCTTTTTTGACATATAATGATATTGACAGGTAGATTTATATATGCATTTATAAAGCTTAGTTTATAAATTAAAGGATGATTTTAGTATTATAGGACAGACATATTTTCATTTTCATGCATTCATATTTATTCTTTTAATTTGCAGTGATGAGAATGCTAAGCGGCCTTCAACGGTCACCAAATGAGTTCATCCCAGTTCATAAACATCTGAGAAGCTGTCAGCAAAGTTTAACTATGTGGGATCTACCAGAAGAAATCCTTATACATCTTCTCAAAAGTCTACATGTAAAAGATCTTCTCAACATGAGACAGGTAAATTTGTTACATTGCATTATTGATAATTGTTTTGTTTATCATTACTTGACTGTAATTGTGAAGAAATATTGCTATCAGTCTGTCTGGACTGTGACACAGTTTGTAAAGTGACATCAACAGCATTGATTAACTGTGATGTGCAAAGAAAAGAACATCTGCTATAGTACTGACTGTAAATCTTGGCTATCAACTAAGTGATTTACCTATCTTTTTTCTATCTTTATCTAGAAATCAAAGCATGCCAACAAGTTTGATCAAGATTTTATAGTAGTGTAATACTAATTTCACTTTGATGTAATTATTTGATATCATGTTGCAGTTTCAATTATTATGAAATTAAGTGTATTTTATATTGTTGCAGCAACATTTCTTTTAAGTATTATATTCTCAATTGTGCATCAGCTAAAATCTAAATGTTTTTTGCAGGTTCATCCATATTTTCGAGATTTGATTGACAACAGTCAGTCAGTATGGGCATGTGTTACATTTCAAGATTCCTGGCCATCATCAACAAATCTCCAACATTTTGATAAGTAAGTCATCATATAAAACTTCTTTATCAAAAGCTATAGCTTTTGTTAGCCTAGAATGCATTCATTTTGAAAATTAAGATATTCAAATTAAATTGTATCAGTTCTTATAGTAGTTTTATTTAGACATATTTTACAAGTTATTTGCTTTTAAATGTCTTTTGTTTTAACGAAAATGTTTTTTAACTTTTTTAGAGCTGCAACAGTTGGAAATATTGAAGCCTTAGTTAAACTTGCCATTGCCTACCTGTATAATGAAGGATGTAAGTAATTTTATCCAAAATGATCACTCAATACATAATTCTTCCTTATATTTTGAAAATTTGTATATATACAATTAATTTTACCATCCAGGTGATGTATAAATTTTCAGTAAAATTTCATTAAAAAATGTCTAAAGTGACATTATTTTTACCTTATTCTTGTAAGTTTTGTACTCCCTTGCTTAATATCTAAACATATATACTAGCTTAATATCTATACATATAAATAGTTTTTATTTCATTTTTCAGTACAAGGTGACAATGATGGAAAGAAAGTATCCAGGAATGGAACTAAAGCTGCTGAAATGTTTTGTCGTGTTGAATCTCTGACCCCTAACACTGACCCATTTACCTGGCTGTTTATACGCCCACCTTGGTCACTTAATGGTGCATGCTGTAAAGAATGTGTTTTTAATTACATGAAGGAATATTTAAAGAAGGTATAGAATTTATATACATTATGATACAAAGAATGTGTTTAACTTAATTTTTATATGCTAGAAAAATAACTCTTGTAGATTTAGTACATATATAGTGAATTAAGTCAGATCTATGGAAAGATGATTTTATATTATGACTAGAAAGAAAGAACATGATAAAGACGATGTTTGATATAATGCAGGAGTCACATGATAATATTGTTATTGTTTCAGGATGACAGCAGGAAGATGGAAGTATGTGTAGCAAAGACGTTACAGCTTTTAGATCAAGAGAAGAACAATGATGAGATAGTGTCTTACCTCGAACAAGCGGCCAATCAGGGCTCTGGCATTGGTGCTTATATGTTGTGGTTACATACAAAATCTACTATGTCTGTAAGTATCGTATTTTAATATGAAATTAATTTAAAAACCTTTCGAGTTTCTGAAAATTTGGTCGGTAATGTGAGATTGATATTCTGATGGTAATTAATAATTGTCAGCATGTAAACTTATGTCATGTTATTTATTGAATATGACCCCTGATCAAGCAAAAAATGAGCCTTTTTATGACAGATTTTTGTGTATGTAACAAAACAGTGAAATATGGAGCATGTGGTCCTATTGACACATTTATAGTTCATGTTATAACAGATATTATTGAAACAGAATTTTAATTAATCAATTTTCTACTTTTTCAGGTATTGGATAAAGCGGGTGAACTAGAATGTATTCGTAAACTACGTGATATATGTAGCCTTGGACATATTGATGCCAAACTAGAGCTTTGTAAATACTATGCTATCTCTAAATATGGTGGCATCAACAAATCTCAAGCCATGTCTTTCATTCGAGATTTTGTCCATTCCGTCCCTGCCCTCAATACTCAGGAGAGCTTCCAGCGATCTCAGGAACTTACTGCCTCAATGAGGTAAATATCATTTTAATCTTTGTAAACTTAAGGTTTAGTTATGATGTACATAAAAATTTATGAAACTGTAAAATCATTTTACTACAGATTTTACAATTTGAAAGTTTTGCTATATACTTTTAGTTTTTTGCGATCTACATTTCAGGGAGTTTAGATTTTAAACATCTTTTATTATGTGTGACATAAATTACGTTTGATATATAAATCTCTTTATTTATGTTACTATAGAATGAGTTTTGTTTATTTCAGATATATTTTAGTAGATTGGTTGGCTGAAGTAGCTGCTATGAAATTATTTTCGACTCACACATTCCACGTGGCTGTAGGGGTTGTGGATAGATTCCTTCGTGTGAATTCTGTACCAAGATCAAAACTTCAACTTCTTGGTGTGTCTGCAATGGTTCTTTGCTCAAGGTAGGCATCTCTTACAACATATATAAAGTTCTAACTCTGCCTGACATTGAAATTATTATACCTTGTTTTATTTATTGAAAACTTTGTTTAATTGTAAGACATGAAGATAAATTAATTAATAATTCAAATCACCTTTTCTTAAATGATTCATCTTTTTTGTTCTCTTAACATATTCTTAATGTGTTTTATGACTATTTTTTGATTGTCATATTATTGTTTATTTTTAGGCTTCTTGGTTCTGATATAATTACAATACGAGAAGCTGCATGGTTAACTGACAATACATACAAATATGAAGATGTTGTGAGAATGATGGGTGAAATAACAGCAACATTACGAGGAAACCTTCGTACCGCTACAAGTGTTGACTTCGCCGAGATATTCAACACAATTCTTGGTCATGACCGTCGCCTATGTTACCTGTCTCAGTACATCTGTGAACTTGCCTTGTTACAGGCAGAGATGGGCCAGTATAGTCCAGCAGAAACTGCTGCTAGTGCCGTTCTTCTGTCTAGGCTTCTCACAAAGTGTGGTAAGTGTGTAAGCTTATATTTAATATGCATGCTGAACATGAAAATAGTTGGAATTATTTCAAAAGTTAACATTTTTTAAGATTTTTTATTTTAATCTTGTATTCTTGTAATTTTGAAGTGCATGTGAATTAGCAGTCTAGACGGTTTTCGGAACTTTTTCAAACACGTGAATAAAATCTAAAATTGAATTTATGAAATTATATTATGTTCTTTTTTTATATAGATGATCCATGGCCAAGTACAATGCAGGAAGCAACAGGATTTTGTATTGAGGATTTGAACAGATGTGCTTTCCATATGCATGAAAAATGGTAAGAATTCACATTTCATTCATAACTTAATTCGAGACTTTATAAAACCTTACATGACATTTAATTATCTTCTTTATCTTAAGGTTTATGATTGTAATATATTTTTGTTGAGAAGATATTTTAAATATAATTTCAAATGAACAAATCTGAATTTTATTTCAAAGTTGTTTTTTTTTACTTTTACCAAACAGCTTCCTTGAGGGTTCAGTAGTAGATCATAGAGATGTTACATTACAAGCTGTAAAGCAGAGATACGCTGATGATGACTGTTGTCGTGTTAGTGAAATTGAAGTAAGTTTTTATTACATGATGTTTTTTCCTTTATAAATATAAAAATCCTTTGCCATGAATGTTCATTTTTGCTTGATCAAAACTTCAATAAACTACAATGAAACATGAATTATAAATGCTGAATTATTAGAAAGTTACATTATAATTGTATCTACAAGATAGTAAAATAATTCTTATGGAATAAATTATAAATGTTATATAAAATCATAAATAAATCTCACAGAAAAACTTGCCTAAACTCTTATGTTTAGGAATTGGTGCATATCTATTAAAGTGTAGCATGAAACTAATCTTGTAATTTCTTTATTTTTATAGATTATAAGTTACAAAGATTTGTGTAAAAGTTTGGGAGTTACTCATCACTTTGTTCATGGAGTGGATATCCATGTAAGGTTCAGGAACGACGATGAGCTGATTGTATCTCCACAGAAGAAGAGGCGTCGCACCGGTCTGAGAAGTGAGTCTAGCAAGACAACAAGTACCCCCAAAACTCCCAGAAACAGACCAATGATTGACTCACCATTGTTGAATGACTTTTCTCAGTTAAATGATTCGGTACTATCTGGTTACGATGGTGACCGCGAGGATGATCTTGATGAATCCATCATCATAGATGGTAAATATTTGTCACATTTATCTCTTAATTTATATATCTTTCATCTTCTTTGTTAATAAAATTATAATTAAATGTTCATAATGTGTAGGGGTTCTATTATAGAAAAAAGTTTTACCATAAAGAAATTTCACTAAAAGTTACAGAAAATTTCATTGATATTTGAATATTACACCTGACATACATTGAAAACAAGTAAATACAAATGTAAATTTTGTAAACATATTTTATGGAGTATAAAAATGTATTAACAAACTTATTTTTATTGAATTTCAGAGAGTATTGAAGACCTCAAGCGTGAAGTGTTGTCAGATGAAGGTATACTTGGAAATGAGGATAAAAACATTTCATATTTCTCCAGTGATAATACCAGATCTCCACAGAAGTCAGCATTTAATTTCTCAGCCCCATCACCGTTTAAACAATGTCTTTCTTTTTCAAGCTCAAAGTTTGACTGTGATAATTCCTCTTCAACTTCGTCGTCTAGTTCACATGATGACGGTCCATCCACCTCTATGGGATTCTGTTCTAGTTCAGACATTAGTGCATTTTCATCTTTCATCAATTTGCGATCTACTTCCATGACATTACGATCAGCAACAGTGACATCCGGTGCCTGTGGATCTGTATCCAGTGATTCAGACTGTGAGATTAGTGGACTATCTGGAATTAAACGGTTTAAAACGTCAAGGTCACCGAGACATATGACCTTGAGAAATACGCCAAAAAGGCGTAGTCGAAGAATCAGTGGTGGTAGCAGAACATACATCTTCAAATAAAGATGTGATATAGCTATACTCTATATGTTCCATCCATTTTTTGTTTTCATACCAGATGAACAGAATGACTGTGTTATTACATATGTTGATATTCTAGTGATTCCAGTGAGCTTTCACATCTATAGGTTATTGTGATCCAGTGTTGTTGACTGGTTTGTGATATATCCTTGTTGACACATGTGTACATTAAGGCATGTCTGTGTGAATGGTATATGGAGTTATAACAGCCAGAAAGGCAGCTAAAATGTAATATAAGAAACAGCTTGTATATCTATATAATGCAAACTTGTGCCGTGTGCTTGTCATTGTTTATATAGATCATTTAAATGATTTATTAAATGTTTTGATGCCAGACAGGCAATCATTTGATCTGCTTGATGATTGCAATACTTGAATACTTACAGTTGAATATAACCTGTGTAACAGATGGATACTGCATAACTGTTATTTATTAGGTGTATTTGTGTAAGATAGAATGAAATTACTGAATCAAGTGCTATAATTTAATTTGATTTCTCTTCATTTGCTAAGCATTTGAAGTTTTTGTAATTTTCTAATCAGCTTTTTGTATTTTTTGTAAATTTTGTAAATCCTATATATGTTTTGATGATTATTTTACTGTTCTGATGGAATTTGTTTTTGAAAGCAATTTATAATTTTGTACCATTTTTGTAATAAAATGGGAGAAAAAGAAGGAAAACGAAATGAAGCAAAATTCATTACAGTAATTTATTTAATATAGCGGGATATGCTGGAAGTCCAGCACACCATGTGCTTACAGTAATTTATAATTAGTAAAGTTAGTACAAAGTTCTTTATCTGGTGCATTTTATTTATAACATTAGTATATTATAGATTCCTATTGTAAATCCTTCTTTAAGACAGATCTTAAATTAAAGTAAAATGATAATTTATTCACTATTCCCTTAATATTTAAGTGCCATTGTTTGTTCAGAAGATTTTCCCTTCAGGCTGTTACAATGTTACAACTTTTTTCTATAATGAAAAGTTAAATTACTGTTATTATTACATCAATCATAGTAAATGTTTCATGGACGAAATATGTAGTTTTGTTCAACAATATGGATTGCCTATAATGATTTAATCATATAAGATGTAAGTTGATATTGCACTCTATATAAGATTCTATTATCAGGCAAGCATGTTTGTGCTATCACAGTCTCATTTTGTACCATAACCACTTATAATGCAAACGTTTGTGCTTTTTGTATAGACTTATTTCTTATCACTAGTATATGGTAACGGTTACCTAGTCAAGGTCTAAAGATGTTTTATTTTTACAACATCACAGTATTGTTAATGTGTTAGTTAGATTACATATATAGCTTACACTGCCAACAACACAACATTATAAATGTCTGTTGTTTATGTTACCATTTTCTGTTGCTTTTTAAAAGCAGTGAGTGATTGTTTTATGAATGATTGACATTAAGTTTATCAGTTCCTTAAAAACAGATATTCAGGTTTCCATAATAAGTTTTTCTGTGCTACCATTGGTGTGGTAATCAAAAAAGTTGATTAAATTAGTTATTAAGAAATAACTTGATGCAATTATTTGGACCGTGTTCACTATAACAATATGGAATTTTAAAAAATATCATTTTTTGTTACGTTAATTATAAGTTTGGTGCTGTAAATAGAAAGAGTGTATAAAAGATAATTTATTGTATGTTATAGTAGAATAGTATTGTTTATGTCTTGATGTTAAAGTATAACATATTGTGTGTGTATATATCTTGTGTTGTTGCCATATATAGAACAGTAACATGCACACACTACTTGTATAACTCTCTCAACCATTATACAGTAACATTACCACCTTTGACTACCTCCCTAATGCTGTATATCAAAGATTTCTAAATATAATTCCAGATAAAGTAAACAAAAATTGCTGGATATTAATGTACACATCTGTCTGTTTTCTCCATCTATCTATCTTCTGTCTTTGAGGCCAGTATATCTCTATATATCAGTCTCAGGTCTTCTCTTAGAAATCCCAAACTCAATCATTTGCTGTAACAAACTTGTGAAAATCCAAGCACTCAAACATAGTTAACATGGGATGCCAATGGTCTGTTTTTGATTTGTTTTGGTCTAAACATGTTTATATATTTACTTATTTTGATTTCTGTTATTGAGATATGTACAATATTTATATATTACTGGATATATTTTTGTATCAAAATAAAATGATGAAATCTTATTTTTTCTTATCTTTTTCAGTAATGCATTATTTTTATGCCCCCACTTCAAAGAAGAGGGGGTATAAAGACATTTCCGGTTTTACGTAGGGGAACATTTAGCCACACCTTTTCCATTCATAGCTAGGTCAACTGCTCACAAACAGTATCACAAACAAAACCATGTGTTCTTTTGTGCAAACCAGGTAAACCAGTGACTATGTATTATCTCAGTGTAGCAATTGGATAACAAGCTAGCCAATTTACATAAATCTGTAAACACTGGAAAGGTCCATTGCTTGGCATTTGTCTGTCTGTCGGTCCATAGACCAAATGGTTTCCGAGTGATAACTAAAGAACCCTTAGGCCTAGGAACTTCAAACTTGGTATGGTGATAAGTCATGACCAGTAGATGACCCCTATTGATTTTTGGGTCAAAGGTCAAGGTCACATTGACCTTGTAAGTAAAAACAGTTTCCGGTCAATAACTAAAGAACGCTTAGGCCTAGGAACTTTAAACTTAGTATGATGATTGGTCATGACCAGCAGATGACCCCTATTGATTTTGGGGTCACATTGACCTTGTAAGTAAAAATGGTTTCCGATCAATAACTAAAGAAGGCTTAGACCTAGGGACTTCAAACTTGGTATGATGATAAGTCATGACCAGCAGATGAGCCCTATTGATTTTGGGTCAAAGGTCAAGGTCACATTGACCTTGTGAGTAAAAACAGTTTCCGATCAATAACTAAAGAAGGCTTAGGCCTTGGAACTTCAAACTTGGTATGATGATTGGTCATGACCAGTAGATGACCCTTATTGATTTTGGGGTCAAAGGTCAAGGTCACATTAACCTTGTAAGTAAAAACGGTTTCCGATCAATAACTAAAGAACCCTTACGCCTAGGAACTTCAAACTTGGTATGATGATTGGTCATGACCAGCAGATGGCCCCTATTGATTTTGGGGTCAAAGATGAAGGTCACATTGACCCTGTAGGTAAAAGCGGTTTCCGATCAATAACTAAAGAATGCTTAGGCCTAGGAACTTCAAACTTGGCATGATGATTGGTCATGACCCCTTTTGATTTGGGGTCAAGAGGTTAAAGGTCAAGGTCACATTGACCTTGTAGGTAAAAACGGTTTCCGATCAACAACTAAAGAAGGCTTAGGCCTAGGAACTTCAAACTTGGTACGATGATTGGTCATGACCAGCGGATGACCCCTATTGATTTTGGGGTCAAGGGATCTGTTTAATATTGAGCTTGTACTTAAAGACGGTTTCTGACCAATAACTCAACAACTCAAGTTGCCTTGGTTGATATTTTTGTATTAAACTAAAAATGCTTTTGGTATTCTAATATAATATAACAACTTGACTGTCATTAATGAGGCCTACACGATTCATAAAATTTATGCATATGTTATTTGGTAAGATTTGTAACTTAAATTGCTGCACACAACCTATGGGGTCACAATAATTATTACCTTGTGACTAGTCATGACCAGTATATAAACCCTTATCAATTTTTTGTTCAGTGGTTGCCGGTCAGAAGTCGAGCATAATAACCTAATCACATGCCTAATTGGCTGCCGATATGGGGCATACATGTTTTACAAACATATCTCGTTTACAAATGACTAAAAACTCCAATTTTAATTTTCCTGGGCATAACCGACTGTCTGTTTGTCCACACAAACATATACTTCTTAGGTGGCTATGGAAGCAATTTTCTTTGACGCTATTCCTTTAAAAGCTCTAAGAAGCTGGGTAAGTAATGGAGATAACAAAGGGGTAGTTATTAAAATACCCAAATTTTGCTTTTATCTCCCAAGTTATTTCCCTTTGTAACACTGGTATAGTTAAACTATGCTGGCTACTAAATATCATATTGTGCAGGTATATAAATACCTTGGATGGTCCTGTAACTTCGGCTTTTATTTATAGACTGATGTCTTTCATATTTAATAGGAACATACCTTGATGTCTTTCATATTTAATAGGAACATACCTTGATGTCTTTCATATTTAATAGGAACATACCTTGATGTCTTTCATATTTAATAGGAACATACCTTGATGTCTTTCATATTTAATAGGAACATACCTTGATGTCTTTAATATTTAATAGGAACATACCTTGATGTCTTTAATATTTAATAGGAACATACCTTGATGTCTTTCATATTTAATAGGAACATACCTTGATGTCTTTCATATTTAATAGGAACATACATTGATGTCTTTAATATTTAATAGGAACATACCTTGATGTCTTTAATATTTAATAGGAACATACATTGATGTCTTTCATATTTAATAGGAACATACCTTGATGTCTTTCATATTTAATAGGAACATACCTTGATGTCTTTCATATTTAATAGGAACATACCTTGATGTCTTTCATATTTAATAGGAACATACCTTGATGTCTTTAATATTTAATAGGAACATACCTTGATGTCTTTAATATTTAATAGGAACATACCTTGATGTCTTTCATATTTAATAGGAACATACCTTGATGTCTTTCATATTTAATAGGAACATACCTTGATGTCTTTAATATTTAATAGGAACATACCTTGATGTCTTTCATATTTAATAGGAACATACCTTGATGTCTTTCATATTTAATAGGAACATACCTTGATGTCTTTAATATTTAATAGGAACATACCTTGATGTCTTTCATATTTAATAGGAACATACCTTGATGTCTTTAATATTTAATAGGAACATACCTTGATGTCTTGAATATTTAATAGGAACATACCTTGATGTCTTGAATATTTAATAGGAACATACATTGATGTCTTTAATATTTAATAGGAACATACAGTGGGTGGTGTGAAATGGGTAACTGAGGTCAAGATTGCTTGAGCTAAAAATATTTTGTATATACTTTTGCTCATACAGTCTTTATATTTATTGAACTCTTTCATATTTAGTAGGTAGATTTCTCATTTTGATGGGGTTTGGGAATTGTTGTAGCATAATGCAAAGTCCTAGTTCAAATACGCAAGATAAGAAAGGCCAATAGGCTTTAGTGATTAATCACAAAGCATTTGAACAATAAACCGTGCATTATTATATGATAATGCTAGAAAAAGTAATATCTATTTCCATTCTAACATTGAAGTAAAAAGAGAATTGATAAAAATATGTTCCATTTTTAGCTAGAGTTAATTTTCCTCACGTCCTTTGGTGTATTGACATCATATCGAACATCAAATTTTTAAATATGCTGTGCATATATGGTGTTGTATGCACTTGAATTTCCTATATGTCTGATAGGGGACTAGTGTGAAGACTGTTAGAATTTTGCTTTTATATTCTTTATTTATTAACCAACATCTTTCATATTTGGTAGGAACTTACATGTACTGTAGGTGATCCTCTAAATATGCAGGAGTTTAGGATCAGAATCAAACTCAAGATAAAGTTAAACACAGTTGGTCATTCAGCCTTTGAGCATTGACTGGTATGTACTTCGGGTAAACCTTTAACTTATGTTGGGATAAGAGATTACTGGGTTCAGGGTCAAGGACACTTGGAATTTGTTTTGTGAAATTGGTTACTGACAAGTATTATGGCCGGGGCACAGATCTATGGGTTCTTTTTCCTAAAATGTATCCCAATAATGATTTGTTTCATCACACATCCTTCAAAGTTCCCAGGGGCGTAACTGAGCTATTTTGGTATGTACTCCTTAAGTAGGGGGGTTCGGGGGCATGCTCCCCCGAGATTTTTTTTTGAAAGAGGAAGCGATATCCTGGCATTTTGTGACTATCTAGAGGCTATATTGACAACATATTGGTAATGATTTTCAACTCTTTTTGTTAATTTTAGGTAAAATGAACAAGTACGTTACATATACCATAGAACTTTTTTATATTTATAATCGATTTTTTTTGCAGAAAAAATTGTTATTTTGCGACTTTCAAACTGATGTTATAGCAACAAATCTCCCGTATTTAGTAAATTTTAGATAAAAAAAACGCTAGAAACGTCGAACACTAAAGCAAGCATTTGTTTTAATTGAATTTATTATATGTCATGTTTGAGTACAGAGCCTTGCTTTCTTTAGAAAAGCCGGGTCCGCTGGACGGAATTGTCAAATTCACGTTAGTCCGTCACATAAGCCACAGCTAACGCTGAGACTCTCGACAAAGATGAGCATATTCACACAATGCCCCAATGCTCTCTGAGGAAAGACTGTCATTCTGCACCTTCATAAATAGCAACTGTTGTAACAAAATATTAATTTAAGAACGATAATGGTGTGAAAATTGTGATTAAGTTCAGTGAGTGTTTTGGACTGTTAAATATTTCATTACATTACAATACATTTTGTATATATAAAAATAACGCGTTATATTACACGTTATATTACACGCAAAGATATTTCAAAATCTCCTTTCAGAAATGTCAGTAAATTAATTAAAAAATGTTGCATATAACATAGATGTGGATAATGTGAATACATCAAAGGACTCATTTAAGACCGTTTGTGATCATAAAGTAAATTCATAAGCAGATATATGCATGTACGACTTTAATAATGATGTAACTTGCTTGATGACTCATCGCAATGTTTTGCTGACCACAGAGAATGATTATGTCAACAACTAAGTTTAGAATATTACTTTTCTTTTAAATAAATGCATAAAATTGAGAAGAAATTGTAAATTCTTTGTCTTTTTCTGCCCTTTCTGGCACGGCAAAGTTATTTTCTCAATCAATTGACTAATGTGCCATTGAGAAATTATACCAATTTGTTACTTGTTTTCTGATTAAAAGATGAGATTAAAAATCAAACATTCAAGGCTACGTTGGCAGAACTCAGCCCCCTACACAATCCAGCCACACCAGAAGGGCACCCAGAAGGCACCCAACCAAAATCAGAAGAGGACACAAAAGGGCCGATACGGGAATAGTAAAAAGTTTGGGAAAAAATTATTGCGGGCGACCTGCGCGCAGAATAAGATGCACGTTGCGCAAAAACAGGCCACCAAGCCAATGCTAGGGGAATATCTCGGCCAAGAATAGGTTCTGAACAAGACACCTTAAGCTTTTCATAACTTTTCTCCGTTGAATCTGTACAAATTATCGCAATATAGATCATTTTAAAAGATATTAATTTATACTGTATATGTTATGAAATATTCATATAATGATAAAGTCGAAAGAGTCAGTAGGCCTCTATAAGCCCCGACCACACTACCCCCTATGTTTTTATCACTTTTTAGAACTTTAAGCGCATGTGATTTTTTTGAATACAGGATTGATTTGTACGCACGGGCGTACAGGAGTACGCCTAGTTACGCCCCTGGTTCCCTATACAGTTTGTTTTCTAACTCTTTCAATTATGTCAGTACTATTAAGGTAGACCATGGGTAATGCTGAAGAGAATCTACATTGAAATTGAGGGGTGTGGGTTCTAACCCTAGATTGGGCAACTTTAATTTTTTTCCTTTTTTCTTTTTAACATTATTTATGTATCTCTTTGATCCCTTATGGAAGAAAAAAGTGTTTGATTTTAATTATTGTAGGTATTTATTTGCTAAATAATGCCAAATTTAATAGCAAATATGATACCAGATATTTTCAAAGTTTAATAAAATAAAAACTACACGGTAAAAGTATTTTATATTCCGCATGATCAACCAATATATGAGTACTTTTAAGAAAATTTAGGCAAACTTTGAAAACATCCCCTCATTGTGGTAAATTTTTGGGATATTTTGAATAAGGCTTTTTATATAGGGAAATTGTCAAATAAGTATTTAAAGTGGATGGGATAGTGTAACATTTTAATACAAATGAAAAACATTTTATTAGAAACAATCATTCTGCTTGTGTGATTTGTTATATGAATGTTATTATTTTTTCTTAACAATGAGTAATAGGAAAACATTTTTTTTCATAATGATGATATTATAGATTATTTAGAGCTTTGTCATTTCTGAAAATAAGCCCTTCTTGTAACAAAGTATTAGTTCAGAAATATATCCATAACTCATAAGTCACACGGTAAATTTTGTTTAAATTTTGCACACAAGTGACCTTAAAGACAAACAACTGTCCTATGTTGTCAATTTTACAGTTCCCTATAGTGCCCATTACCCATGGTCAACCTTAAAGGCATTACAAAATTATTTTGCAACGCAACTTTGTGTTAAAATGTGAAAAAGTATGTCTTTGAAAGTAGCATGAGTAGAAATCAACTCTGCCTGAATACCTCATTGTGGAATATACGCTTGGCTTATAAAAAGCCACGAAGATCTATTGTTGCGTTGTATATAAAGATTCGGTTAAAACATTGTTATTATTGTGCAAACAAAATCACAACAGTTAACTTCTCCAGATTGGTTCATAAAATGAAAAATTTCATTTTGTGAATGATTAATTTTGTGGAAGGTTAGTTGACACGGAGTAAAAAGAAAAGAATAAATCGCAGACATAATGATAAGGCAATATCTCTAGTCCATATGGCCGGTTAGTGTAAAACTTTCGATTGAATGAAAAAGAAAGAAACAACAACACTACAATACGAGAAATGCAAAGTAAGCATGCATAGGTTCTTTTAAGGGCAATGACTCTGTAACTAGCTTTGTACAATTAAGGAAACTGATTTCACGTAGTCTAAAAATAAAGAGGCACAAAGGAAGGACATCTGATTGCCAGCAAAGCTCACCATGACCTTAAAATGGCTATGTTGTTAGCTAAAATACAACGTTCGGAATGTTGAAGCTCTTCAGGTACAACAAAACGAACAATAAAATTCGAAAATAAAACACAATTTCCACAGAATATCTTATAAACAGTATTGATGGTCGGAGTGCATTTTCTACTTTTTTTATGTTGTTGCACACTAAGAATTTGTAAATCTTATACTGTTTATTGAAATATAACAGTATATTACCTCCCTTGGTCCATCTTGGTTCTGTTCGGGCTAATAAGTAAAAACATTTTTACCTTTTCTTGTCATTTGTTCGTTATTTATAAAATATTTTATTATATTAAGTTTACACTTTTGTAAAGATACTAAGGATCGCGGACGCCCTGTAAATGAAACTAAATGCATATAGGTATGCTTATGAAATGTTATTACGGGAATACAGCAGTAATTTTTTACTGCATTTGAACATGTTTGCCTCACCCAGTAAATGTCGGAAATTTCCCGTCAAAAAAATGAAGGTTTACAACAGAAAATGTTTCCAAGAATAGGTTCACATCCATACGGTGGCACAAAAGTTAGATGCGTTTTTATTCATCACGTGCGCATGAGTTACTATGTCGTGGCCAAGAGATACTAAGTCGTGCGCACAAGGTAATTAAGTGGTGCACACGACTATGTGGTGGTGGCCACGAGTTACTAAGTCGTGCACGTGAGATAATTAAGTGGTGAACACGAGATACTATGTCGTGCGCACAAGTTACTAAGTCGTGCGCACTAGATGATTAAGTGGTGCGAACGAGATACTGTGTCGTGCGCATGAGTTACTAAGTCGTGGTCATAAGTTATTTAGTCGCGCGCACGAGATTATTAAGTGGTGCGCACGAGATATCATGTCGTGCGAACGAGATAAATAAGTAATGGGCACGAGTTCATATAAGGAAACGACGAGATTATTAAGAATTAAGTCGTGCGCACGAGATAATTAACCAGTCAGAGTACACTTTATATAAGAACATTCTTAGTTAACTAGAAATGTCCCATAGGACAATAATGCCCCTACTTCATCTGTCTGTCACAGTGCCATATATACAAGTTATTGTACAATTATTTTACATTTAGCGTCATTGCGACTCCGATTTACCAAATGAAAATGGACATGCAGTATTATAACTGAATTTAATAATCAAATACAGTTTCTAAAATATACATAAAAAATACATTGCAAGGGAACACACATTTTAGTGCCCATTGCCTATCAAATGACTCTTTTATTGATTTCTATTCTGCTATCATAACCCCTACGTGAAGGGAAACTAATGTGCTCTTAAACGGCATTCACCAAAACCAGTTTGAAATTTAACCTAATTTAGACCAAAACTTCCTTAATAATATTATTTTTACGTATACTACAATGTACAGTACATAACATTCTTGAGACAGACATTTACCATAGATTCAGATTGTTTAAGCTCACTTCCCGGTATTCTCATTACCGTATATATAAATATATTTAAGTTGTGGCTTAAACAAATTCTCTCCGCTTCAGCGATTTGTAAACGAACGCTTTTCCAATTATAGCTTATATGTAGTTGACAGTTGGTACGGACTGTCTTTCACCTTTATCGCAGGAGTTATTGCATAAATCTTCAAACTAATGCACACAAGGTAGAGAATCGAGTTTCGGGAATTTAATATATAAAGCATTACAGTGATCCAAGATTCTCTAACACTAATGAAATATTTATAACAGAATATTCAAAATGACTGTAAAAATAACGTTACTCTGTGTTCTCTTATTGGAATCAATATCGGGTATGTATTCTTTCTTTATACAAACCATAAACTTTATATACATGTACAGCTCTAAAACGTGAAGTAATTGTTAATTAAACAAGGAAACAAATTGAATTTAAAACCTGATCCATTTGCATTATACACGTTTGACATTTACTATTTTAGTATTACTCCTAGCGATTGGTATGTTAAGACCTAGACCGGATGCGAACTTCAGTAAGTTTTTTAGGGGTAAGGGCGTGGCATTTCGATACGAATTAGTCACTAATCATTTGTGACTTATTGGTTTTGAATGACTATTTACAGTGAATTTAAGACTGAATATTTACACAGTTCCACAAGAATAATTGTTTATAGAATAAAGTAGATTTGTACCTAATTTATAAGCAAAAACATTGCTATTTACAACGAGATTATAGAAGAAATGATATATAAGGTTCTTGATGGTGAGAAAAGCTAGCTATATTTGAAACAACATGTATTTAATTAAATGAGAATATGTCATATTTAAAGCAAAAGAAATAAAGCTATATTCAATATATACCAGATAACGCCTACACCGTACATTTTCTTTAGTGATTTTTTGTTTCAAATGTTAGCGTTTGTTTAAAGCATTTTTTTTTAGGTTCAGACATTTTGATTAAGGGGAATGTTGGTATGAGAAATCAATGTTTTTATGATAGTTACGTGGTTATAAAAGTTTGAAACCGAATACTATCTCCCTATCTCTATTTTATGATCAGTAATTGTTTCACCAATACTATCATATAGCGTACCACATCGTTCTATATGTAGACACATGACTTCAGCCGCATTGATGGTCAAATATGGGCATGCTTAGTTTTATTACATTACACGTTATTTGTTTTTTCTTCTCGGGTATTCCGTGATACATTAACGTCCGGACCATCGTTATATGCCTTGTAATTTGCAATATCTGCACAGTACATGTCTAGCAATATCAGTGCCTTCTTTTTGGTACACCAATGTCTCACGCTTTCCCATGTCTATCACGGATCCTTTAAATTTATATTATTCTGTCACTGGCCCTTTACTACCATTTCCAATCGTTTTCCATTTACTCTTCTATTAGTTGCATATCGACTTCTGTTACTAGTATTATTCAACCACCATTTTACTGTCTTTACTCTTCTGTAAGCTACTCTTTTAAGCTTTCCATCGCAATCATTAGGCTGACCATCGCTCTTCTATTATCTGCCCAAAACCTGCAGAATCGCTATTCTTTCATCTGTCCATCGCCCTGTATTAACTCAAGATTCCATGTCTATTCAAGTTGTTTTATTCTATGTTTAAAAAGTTCGAGCAGTTTTTTCGGACTACGTGAGTATGTATCTCGGATATATCACCCAGAATGACCTTACGTAAATACTATACGCGCCCCTAATTGGACAGTGTACCTTGAGAGCGACAAGAGACATGTACCGAGGTAAATGTAGAGTAAATCACCCCCTCCCCCTCCCACCACCCCGAAATTACGCTTCAAACACAGTGAACTGAACCACCACACGGGTTCTCGCAAGCTCAATTTATGATTTATCCCTCGTTAGTGTCCACAAAACTTCATGATTATACGGCGCTTAACCGTGTTTTTCATACTTCCCGGTAACTGGTTTCTTGTTCTTCTATATCAGTTTAAATATTATCTTTATTATATAGCTTTTCCACCTTTTTATATATGCCCATTGCGTTATATTACAGTATTCATATGATTATCAGTGAAATAAAAAACTAATTGAATTTTAAAACCTGATTCCATTTGTTTAATTTACATTTTTATATTTTAGTATTACTTCTAGCGATTGGTTATGTTAATACCAGACCGGATGCGAACTTCAGTAAGTCTTTGTAGGTAAGCGTGCAATTTCGATACGAATTAGTCTTAAATACTTTTGTGACTTTTGTTTAATGATATTTATCAGTGAATTTAATGAATTTACACAGTTTCACAAGAATGATTTTTATTAAAGTAGATTTTACTTAATTTATAAAAAAAACATTGTATTTACACGGATTTATGAAGAAATATATTAACGTCTGAATGAGAAAAGCTAGCTATATTTGAAGCTATTCAATGAGAATATTTCATATTTAAAGCAAAAGAAATAAAACAATAATGTATATTCAATATACACATATACCAGATAACGCCTACACCGTACATTTTCTTTAGTGATTTTTTTGTTTCAAATGTTAGCGTTTGTTTAAAGCATTTTTTTTTTCGGTTCAGACAATTTGATTAAGGTGAATGTTGGTATGAGAAATCAATGTTTTTATGATAGCTGCGTGGTTATAAAAGTTTGAAACCGAATACTATCTCCCTATCTCTATTTTATGATCAGTAATTGTTTCATCAATACCATCATATAGCGTACAACATCGTTCTATATGTAGACACATGACTCCAGCCGCATTGCTGGTCAAATATGGGCATGTTTAGTTTTATTACATTACACGTTAATTGTTTTTTTCTTCTCGGGTATTCCTTGATACATTAACGTCCGGACCATCGTTATATGCCTTGTAATTTGCAATATCTGCACAGTATGTCTAGCGATATCAGTGTCTTCTTTTTGGTACACCAATGTCTCACACTTTCCCATGTCTATCACGGATCCTCTAAATTTATATTATTCTGCCACTGACCTTTTACTACCATTTCCAATCGTTTTCCATTTACACTTCTATTAGTTGCATATCGACTTCTGTTACTAGTATTATTCAACCACATTTTTACTGGCTTTACTATTCTATAAGCTACTCTTTCAAGCTGTCCATCACCATCATAAGGCTGACCATCGCTCTTCTCCAAAACCAAGACATAAGACATGTTCCTAGGTAAATGTAGAGATATGAAGAGACTGGAAATGATTTTCTCCCCCCCCCCCCCAACCACCCACCACCCCGAAATTATGCTTCAGTGTAAGATCGAAAAATATTTCACCTCGTGAACACCAAAAGTTCATATTTCACTCGTGGCTGCGCCACTTGTGAAATATACCTTTTGGGGCTCACTCGGTGAAATATATTCCGATCTTACACTGAAGTAAACAAACACCTCAATATAATCATCTATTCATCATCTTTTGCTATGATTCATGTTATAAATTACACTAAAGAAATATAATATAACATATAATATGTTGTATCCATGTCTTTAATTTCAATTTTATGTCTTTTTTGTGGTTTCATAATATTTCTTTTGGTTTATTGCTTTATTTGAAGGCGGATGATTTAGACGGGGATTATATGACATGTGCCATTGAACCCAATATTCACCATAATACAATCTTTACAGGCTTTTAGTGTAACGTTATCACATTGTTGTATCAGGATGTTGTAGATTATATTTCTTGATGGTTTAGAATTTTCCGTGTTGCGAAATATAATATCAACTGACAAGAATTTAGCTAAAAGTAATAATTTTGACATTTAACACCATGCACATGTAACGCACGTCCATGCTTCGGCAAAGGATTAACAAAAACTGTATCAAATAATGAACAGAAATAATTTACTTTTCTCTCGTCACATCAAAGATTTTTACGTACATGTATACCAAACCTAGAAGAACAGTATAGTAGTATTGCAAGTATCGAAAAGTTTCAAAAGGTTGAAAAGATACCATCGGCAGTACAACTTTTTACAAACACAAAGATCTGTCAGAGTGAAGAAAACACTATGACATGGTTGCGGTAAAATGTCTCGTAGTCAATGCAATAGGTTTGATTAAATATATTTTCAAAATTGTGTGTTCAAGGATAATTCTACTGCAAAAACGTATTTAAGTGTTCCGTTTCAAGGATTTGAAGTTTCAAGATAAACATTTTCATAATTAACCTTGAAATATTGAATTGACGATCTTTTAATTTATGATAAATAAAACATGTATCATCAACCAAATTGATCAGGAAGAAATGATGATTTTATATTTTTACCAAACATTGTTAAAATCAGGCTATAAAAGCAGCATGCATCCAGATTCAAGCTTTCATGAAAATATTGAAAAAAATATTAAAAAATATAAAATATCGTCAAGCGATCAAAGAAAGTACTTTCAATCCTAGTAAATTAACAAATAAACGTAAAAATATGTATAAGATACGCAGTAGAAATGTGGTATTAGATACTTCAAAATCATCATAGCATGTAACATGTAAATCATTACATGAATTGTGAATATTTTTACTCTTCTTTAAATCTTATTTCATTTTTTTTTAAAGATCCCGTAACACATTTTTTTATGGTTTTATATCATAAATATAATGCTCAAATTAAGATTTATCAATATTGTAAGTTCTAAAAAGCATTATTTATAAAGATACTACCAAATTTAACTTTTCATGTAAATAAAGGGAGGTAATAAAAAAAATTCTATAAAGTCTAAGTCAAATTTTCCAATAAGAAATGAATGCATATATTTAAATAATTAAATAATTTATAATATTTACAAATATTTGCATTACATATTTTACATATTCTTTGATGTTTGAAAATTGTTTTATAAGCATAATTATATACATATATATAATGACAAAAATATTAAAATGATCTTATGTACTAAAATCACGCTAAAATGACATTTCTTGAAGTTTCAGCATGAATTTCTGTTTAAATTCTAAATATTTTGGGTTTGAAGCGTAAATATATCTATATATGTTGAACAAAATTTAGACCTGTGTCTCCCTTTAAATGTGGTATACAACCTCAATTACAACATTGTCTTGAAAAATTTTTGGCTCGTTTGGAGGCATTCAGCTTTAAAGCATTCTGTCCTGGGCATTAGCGTTAATACTCGTATATCAAATGTACACACACATTCGTTTAATCTAACTCACTGTATGTTGATGAAATACTAATATATGGGCGGTTTCAAATATTTCCTACATCAAGATGAAAGGCATTCAATCTTAATTTAAGTGCAATTACCCGAGACCATGTCTTCATCTAAACTTGTTTAAAAACGCTTTAAATATCAAGTTAACGTTTTAATTTCACATTACATACAATCATGCAGGTTTTATTAAATTAGAAATCGGGCGATCAATAGACCAAAGGACACCCGTAGAACATGTTTTATTTAGATCTTTATACAGCATTTCGCATGACCTTTCACTTACTATCAAAATATTAATAAAACTGCAAAGTATGATGTTACTAAACATGAGCTTAATCATCTTTATTTAGTAAAGTGTATATAAAGAGTATATAGCTGTTTTATCTACCTACGAAATGAAAATAACTCATACTTATGTACTTCTACACATATACTTCATGTATATAAAAAGCTACATATGCAATATTTTTAAAGAAGAAATAAACTACAATGTATATGCAAACATTTATGCTTGTATTTTGCAACGCAAGTACTGACATTCTGTAGTAAATGTAGAAAAAGAGGAGAATTCTTTGAGTCATGACCTAATATGAAAACCCTATTGACCATTACAGACAGATTATTTCTATTGTTATCCTTGCTATACAACATCATTGTGGACATATTTATTTGTCTTTTTACATGTTAGGTATAAGTCTTGTTTAACAAGTTACCCATTGTATAAAAATATCTCGAATCACCGCTTCACTCAACACAAACGCTGATACCAAACAGAGTTTTTGTTAAAGTTTGCATTATATATAAAAAAGACCGCTTTTGACAGGTAACACACCGTAAAACTGTAAATGAATGGGAAATGTTTGTTTGATTTCACAAAGCATAGAGATAGATATCAGTATGGAAGTAATTCCTTAGCCCATGATTCATTGTTATAATACTGTAAAGTTACGGTCCATCTACTAGTTTTTTCCTTTTGCTATATCAAACTGTTATTACACAGACTTTTTTACTGCACAAAGTTGCCAAACATTTGTTAGGAGTTTAATTACGCATAGTAAATTGCTTTTCATATAATAAATTCATATAACAAAATCTAAAGCACATTTTATTTTTAAGATGCATGGACGAGCGTATTCAATGCATCATTTTTTAAGGCAAAATTACCATAACATTTGGGTTTTTAACACAATTAATCAATTCACTACAATGTATATTTTTATCAGACTCCAGAAATGTTCAATTTAAAAATGAGACCTTTACAAGTCATGTACTTTATTATCAACATGATGTGACAACAAATGTAATTATACAATTAATGAGTATCTTCATTTTCACTCATTTCTTTCCATCTATATATCTATGAGTGAATAAATTAAAGGAGAGTTGAAAACAGAAAAGTAACGTACAACATAAAATTTAACTTCCAAAAGTTCCCAGACTCTTTCACATTGTCATGTTATACAGCAAAATATGATTGTGTCCATTAATCTAGGATATATTATAGCTATCGAAAGCAATATTGAACAGACTTGTTCTTGGGCATAATTGTAACTGCTCCTTTGAGACGATGTTCAAGGCTTGCACTCTTACATTTATGACTGAATTTTTAAATCTCAGTATCATTTCTTATTTGTGTCAAAAAGTATTTTGAAAAAGTACAAATATAGTTAAATATAAATTGATGGTGATTTATTTCAGTGCATTTTTCGTTGCCTAGAAGTGCGCCTGGTTCCAATTATTTATATGTCATGTATACCAGTATTTGTCTAGTTCAACTTATGTGATATATATATCAGAACTCATATGTTCTGTTTAGGATACCTTTTATGAATAATTGGTGAGTATATGTTTGTTTGTTGTATAGTAACTGTGTATGATATATTACAGGGACACTGGGGTATGACTATAATGTCGGTGGAATGGTTGCCGCCTCACTTGCTGGATTTATATTTCTGGTTGCCATAGCTATACTGCTCATTATAGCAGTCATGTGGTGAGTAGGTCGACATATACCCACCCCACCCAAACAAACAAAATCCTGAATTTATCCACTTAGTAAATAAATAAAGTTTGTTTAAATTTGGTAAATAAAGTTTAATTAAGGTATATAACTGAATTCCCATTATAATCGCTGTTACATATGTCAAGGACAGCAAGTTTTAAGTTTTTCTAAAATTTGCACAGTACGCTTGCTTTCTATAGTAATAAGATACTAGGTACTATCACATTTCTTTCGCATCTACTTATTTTATTAGACCTAAATTTTGTTTACAGATAATAAAAGCATGCTGTTAGGTTATCTGAGACGACCAAATAATGAAATATTTCAAGTTAAAAAACATTGCAAGGTCATAAATATTTGCTCAAACAGAAACTATACATGTATTTTGTTTGACATTTCTATTATTATCAGGCGAGATTGGTACATGAAACGTCAAGCTAGAAAGGGAAGATACAGGATACCAAGAGTAGAATGGCGTATATTCAAACAAAAGGTTAAGAGATCAGCGTCTCCGGAAGGAACGCCGAAATCTGGTAGGAAGATGAACATGCGCATGTACAATATAGCACCAGGTAGTAGAGTAACAACACTAGAACGGCAAGAGCCGATCACAGGTATATATACCCAGATAATGCTTGCTTCTCTTACCATTACAACACCCATTTATTCCTGGTAATACATCGTGTCTTTTCTGTTCACTTCATAGTTCTATTCATTTTATTTTATCTTCGACATGATTTAAAAGTTTAATGAAACTTATAGATGAGTTAAATGTTTGTCGGCCTGCAAAATCATAGAATATGAAACATGCTGTTGAACCACTCAGATACTGCTAGACTAGGACCATTGCGGTAAACAGGAAACAGTACGGTGTATGAAAAACATCGTAGTAAACTGGAAACAGCCTGGAAATACGAAAACATCGTGGTTAACAGAACAACATTACAATGGAACATCGCGATAGACAGGAACATCACGATGAATGACAAACAGGGCGGCAAACAGTAAAATGGATGATGAATGGAAAACATGGTGGTAAACAAGAAACAGTTAGATGAATGGAAAACATCGTAATAAACTGGAAACATCACGGTGAATGGAAAACGTCATGGTAAACTGGAAACAATATGATGATAGGAAAACAGCAGCATGTAAATGGGAAACAATATGATGATAGGAAAACAGCAGCATGTAAATGGGAAACAATATGATGATAGCAAAACAGCAGCATGTAAATGGGAAACAATATGATGATAGGAAAACAGCAGCATGTAAATGGGAAACAATATGATGATAGGAAAACAGCAGCATGTAAATGGGAAACAATATGATGATAAGAAAACAGCAGCATGTAAATGGGAAACAATATGGTGATAAGAAAACAGCAGCATGTAAATGGGAAAGAATATGATGATAGGAAAACAGCAGCATGTAAATGGGAAAGAATATGATGATAGGAAAACAGCAGCATGTAAATTGGAAACAACGATGATAGGAAAACAGCAGCATGTAAATGGGAAAGAATATGATGATAGGAAAACAGCAGCATGTAAATGGGAAACAATATGATGATAAGAAAACAGCAGCATGTAAATGGGAAACAATATGATGATAGGAAAACAGCAGCATGTAAATGGGAAACAATATGATGATAAGAAAACAGCATGTAAATGGGAAACAATATGATGATAAGAAAACAGCAGCATGTAAATGGGAAAGAATATGATGATAGGAAAACAGCAGCATGTAAATGGGAAAGAATATGATGATAGGAAAACAGCAGCATGTAAATTGGAAACAACGATGATAAGAAAACAGCAGCATGTAAATGGGAAACAATATGATGATAAGAAAACAGCAGCATGTAAACGGGAAAGAATATGATGATAGGAAAACAGCAGCATGTAAACGGGAAACATCGTCGAGAATGGAAAACTTCGTGGTAAACACGAAACAGTGTGATGACATTTGAACATAATGGTAATATTAAAACAATATCATGAAAACGGGAAACATCTTGGACAATTTACTTCTAAGTCATCTTCCGCTATCAATTACTTTTTAATCAATCATTTACAGTAATCAACATTATATATTATAATGTTTATTTCAACAAGGAGGATATTTATTTCATCGCTTGTGCTCTTGCATTTACATATACATGTACCATATACTTTCATGAACATTTCATTGGCACAACTACCATATTTCCGCTTTTCAATTCAACATCTCATCTCTGCATCTATATACCTTTTTTCTCACTTTTTATGTGATGACATTTTGTTTTATATGTTTTCTAGACCTTTTTTTATCTTTTATTAGTAAAAATTAAACTCGGGAGTGTATATTTGTTCATATATTAACACAAAGCCATTAGCAAGTCCTGTTCATGTACTTCTTGACATGATTGTAGTCTGCATAGAACGCACATAGATTATATATTATATAATATCATTATACAGGTGTATGATTTTTTTTTCATATATTGTTACTAGTATAATTGTTAAGTTGGCTTGGAAAGATGTGTCTTTTTATAGAATGTTTTGTAAAAAGCTTACAGAAGTTATTTGATAATGTTTATATCAATTTTCGTTCAGTTTTTACATTTATTAGTATTTAGTTGCATGTTACATTGTTACGGTATATATGTCATGTTGAAATTGTACTCATTTAATTACAATGTTACAATGTTGTGTCAATATCACATGTCTAATATCAACAAGATGTAGCATGTTTGATTTAGCAAGTCTACAAGAATGGTTATGATAAATTATATAAAGTAAGTATGTGAAGCGTCCACAATGATCATCTTATATATTCAAGCACAGTTTCCACGTAGATTGATCTCTCGTGTTATTTTAACTATTTAGCGACATTGTAGGTTAGGGAAATTTTGTTTCATGAAATATCCTGGAAACAATTGTCTTGTATTCACCATTGGGTCTTTTGATGTGATACCTTTGATACTTTGATGTGATACTTTGATACTTTGATACTTTGATGTGATACTTAAAATCTACATTGATTGATTGATTGATTGATTGATTGATTGATTTCAAACACGATTTAACAAACAAAAAATAAAAGGGGAGTAAACAGATTTACCTTCATGCAATGCTCTTAAATGATAGTTTTACATTTTCAAGTATATAAATTCAATGTTATTTGACTACTTATATTTTCTATAAAACAGTTTTAATGCATCCTTTAAGAATATCATTTAAAGTAAAATACGTCTGGGAATATAATTATGTAGGTTTATTGCAATAAATAAAATATAAATATCATATCATTAAATAAATGCGTTCTTTACATATATTTATTTGCACATGTGGCTGAGAAAGATTTTATGAATTCATTTTTTTTTGCAAATTAAATAGTTTTTTTTATCAAATATTCACAGGAATATAACCTCGCATCCATCTAAAAGTGATAACCAATATATTGTATGTTTCAGACGCCTGGATAACACGATTACCTCCAGTGGACCATTACGAGGAAAAGGTAGGTAAATAAATAATGTAGGTAAATAAATAACGTAGATAAATAAATAACATAGGTAAATAAATAACGTAGGTCAATAAATAACGTAGATAGATAAATAACGTAGATAAATAAATGATGTAGATAAATAAATTATATTGGTAAATAACGTAGATAAATAAATAACGTAGGTAAATAAATAACGTAGATAAATAAATAACGTAGATAAATAAATAACGTAGACAAATAAATAACTAATGTAGGTTAATATATAACGAAGGTAAATAAATAACATAGGTAAACAAATAACGTAGATAAATAAATAACGTAGGTAAATAAATAACATAGGTAAATAAATAACACGATAGAGACGATAACCTTATATTGGGGTCTTATATCTTGCAGGTAATTGTTATATGTTGAACAGGATTCAGCATTTCATTGAGAAACCAACAATTGTATATTCAAATTAATTCTTTACATTTGGATCCAATCTCTATTATTAACATATAGCATGTATTCAGTATTGCATTTTGCTTAATGAGCACTACTTTTTATATTCTAGTCCAAGACGTTGAAGTTCGAACCAGAGGAAGAACATTTTATAATTGCCGATGTGTTACCAGAGAGCACACCAAGGTCGCAGCCTACAGTAACCTACCAGCAAGACACATCATTTACTAATAATTATACCACTAAAAATGATGCCACAACTACATATCTACGCCAGACGACTGCTCCCACAGAACGTGTAAGCTACGAACCTTATCACGTACGTGTACAAATGTCTCAGGCGTCCTCGAAACCTGCTCAACAACTCTCGCAGACGACACGACCTGCTCAGCAACTTACACAGACGACATATTCTACCCAGCAGATGTCGCAGACGACACGACCTGCCCACGTACTATCAAAGACTATGCCTGCGAGGCCTGCAAGCGGACATAACGATATTTTTATACAACCTCAAATTCCAGCTAGCAATTCTCCTGTCAATCAAGCCGGTGTCGTCGTGTTTGATTCAGACGATGAAGCTGGAAATATCCCGGCGCAGCCACAACGGCAATCCGAGGACATTGTCTTATTTTAAGGCATCACACCAAAGGACCCAATGAATGAACGGTTTCTGGCTGACATGGCAACGAAGGATTATTTCTAGATAAAGGCCTTAGTTCAACACTGCCGAATTGTTGTTGATGAAGACATTTTTATTTCTGCTTTTTGTATCGAAAATATAATGTTAAGGCTTTCCATAAAGAAAGTTTGTTAACCTTTTAACAACAGCTTAAAATAATATACAAAATACCCTTCTTAACAATTTAACTGTATTTATATTTATATCACTGAATTTAAACTTACAAATTTGTTGAATTACACCCCAAACGCTATGATAGTGGAATCAAACCATCGAAACCACAAAGGTATCATATAGATAAAATGTTATTTAAAACTTTCAAAACATTTAAATGACATCTATTTGAAAAAAGAGAACTTTGAGTATTGGTCTATAACAACAATGGCTGACAATGAACGCAATTTTCAAAATTGCCATGCAGTACTAAATCTACTACCAATTTAAAGTATATCTTATTGTATGATTTCACCTTTAATATTCTGTAAACGATCGTACACACGAACAAAAAATGTGCATGTATGAATTCTGACATCTGTCCCAAACTAATTTGTTTCATATTATATGTCTTACCTTACATTAGCGTATACATGTTTATATTTGTGCTTCATAAAATGTTGCTTATTTGTTGATTTCTATGTTGTGTAAACAGATACTTTATGTTTTGCCTAAGAAATAAATATATTTTTACATATATTTTGTTTTAGTCTTTCTGTATGTCAATATGTCAATACACGAGTGATTAAGTACGTAATCCATTGTCAATATTGTTTCTAATTAATTAAAATTCATTGAATACTTTCCGATACTTGGATTGTAATCAACTCTCGTGACGTTTTTATCATCTATCGTAACGGCTGTGACTAATTTGAGCCGCGTCACGACAAAACCAACATAGTGCGTTTGCGACCAGCATGGATCCAGACCAGCCTGCGCATCCGCGCAGTCTGATCAGGATCCATGCTGTTTGCTTACAAACCCTATAACAAGTAGGGAAACTGATTACGAACAGCATGCATCCTGATCAGACTGCGCGGATGCGCAGGCTGGTCTGGATCCATGCTGGTCGCAAACCCATTATGTTGGTTTTGTCGTGACGCGGCTCATTTATTTGTAGTACTGAATATTAAAGTTCTGAATATTAAAGACAGCAATTGTACAGTATTTTCAAATTCGTTTGAAAGACCTTTTGACGGGATAGTGGTTGTTTGTTATATATCCCTATCATAGCGGTTCGGGTCATACAAACTTATTCGTCGTACAGTGGTTTACATGTCTGCCTCTCAACCCAGATATCATGGTTTCGAGCTCTACTCGGGTCACGACCATGTTTCTTCATATGACACCAGTATTGGTTGGTTCCAGAAAGCGGACTCGAAAGTGATAAATATAAGTTGCAAGAACTTGTTTCGCAGTCGAGCTTTAATAAATATGACTATTACGGAGAGAGTTTTCAAAAAAGCTTTACAAGCTTCCTACTCAAGCCATAAATTTTATTTTATGTAATTTATTATGTTAATGTGTGGATTATCAATAAAATATTGTTTAAACTAAATATGACTAAACCAAACCAATCGTCATATAATTTCAAATGCATAAATAGACACCATCCTTATCACTATCATATACTAGTATATCTTGACAGACTCACATGAACAGGACAATATACTGTCTAACTAATTAATGTTATACACGAAGGACAAAACAGAACAGAATATGGATTTTATTTTCAGACCTGAGAAATGCGCTCTTTATCAATAACATTATTATACATTATTATTTCAGTACAAATTTTATTTGCAATGAAACGTCAAGTCCCAATAAATGTGATTTAGTTATCTCCCCAGGCATTCCGCTCTTTTGTCTTTGACCAATACCAATTCATAGCTAGGCAACAAATATCTGTTGACAAGAACAAACATTAATGCTGGTGCACCCGGGCATGACTCCGGGGAATGAAAGTCTGCAGACTGAAGTAAAGAGATAATTACGATTAAGTGCAACACATCGTCTGATATAAAAATATTGGAAGCAACAAAAACCATCTATATTGATTTTGTCTCTGATAATGATAAATGTTGAAGTTTTCAGTTAACTAGCAGATGATAAACGGGTATTTTATCGATTTATCAATTGAAATAACATCATCTTTGATCAAAACAGTTCTACGTTTTATTATTGATGATATGTGAAACAAAAGATGGCATTAAATACAGTTTTATAGATCATAAAAGAAAACTTGTTCAGCTGAATTACAAAAGATATACATTATTAAAAAGTTATTAAAACGTTTAACTTTTCTTTCAGCTGTTATGTTACAAATAAAGATTGTATCTATACTTGGCAGAGCATTACACATAAAAATAGATAAATGTGCATCATAATAATAAAAAAAACAACCTACTAACAATAGAAACTAATAATTATAACCAAAAAATGGTCTGACAATTTAAACTTTTTATTAAGTGTCAAAAATACGTATGATGAAAAATCATACAGGCTATCAACAAGAACATTAACTCTTGTAAGCTTGTATATACATTAGATTGATACATACTTGTTTATTACAGCGTACAGCCAATACACTTTTTACACGAACCACAATTCTGAAAAAAATGTTAATACAAATTTTCTTAAGTAAGTATACAGAATTTCCTGTAACCAAGCGTATGCTTTCTTTTGCAACAGAGTATATGGTACATTTGAGGGAAAATATCCTTTCCAATCAAATGTCAATCAAGGAACATATAATGGGTGTAATATTTGACTACGTATATATAAGACTAAGAAATCTAGAAATGCATTAGACGCTTTTATAAAAAGTAGTTGGGTGTTTTTAAAACTGTGTAAATATTATATAATATTGATGTCACGTTATTCAGCATGGTTTGAGCAAACACTTTAATAAAAATTGATCACCCTCCAAGTGCTTGTATATCTAAAACGATATAGGAAAAGAAGAAGTCATACAAAATAAACTTTTATAATTTTCGCCTGCGTTCTTTCTTTGTCACAGGTATGAGCTAACTGTTTGTCTGTGTCAATAGTACGAAAATCGTGCCGTTTCTATTTTCACCGTGTTTATAATGTATATTGAATATAGCACCGTTTTTATTTTCAATGATATTTGTTGGTAGGTTTGTTGGTTCTGCATTTAGAGTGTTGCTGCAGAATCCGTTTTAATCAAACACTTTATATACTGAGTATTTTCGATTCTGACGGCTTCAATTGGTCATCATCGCTTTTATCTTGACTGAGAAGTAAATTAAAATTTTAGCATTTTATTCCAGCCAGGATGCAATAAAGATACAATAACTTTTCATAGAAAACTTGGACATCATTTTCCCCCGACATTTCTACGGTTAATCTGAAAAAGTCAAAGTTATAGTCATACTTTTTTTTTACTTCTAGGTTATGTGAGCACGATGTGTTTAAATGTAATTTAAATATGCTGACTATCTATAAACTAGGTTAGTGGGTGGGTGTTAACTTTATATATTATATATAATACAATAAAATGATCGATGCGATATCCAGACGGTAATGTTGTCCGGGTTGACAGTTACATACAAAAAAACATTCACGTACTCTTTCGGTACAATATTGTTGCTTTAAGATACTATCTTGCCGAGATGCTCGCTGGTCCACATGTAATCTTGTTGTTGTCACTACATATTGACAATTATAGCATGATATATATAAAACCATACAAAACACTATCAGTTATTTGTAAAAAATAAAGTGATTGAATAATTATATACAGTGTAATAAGAAGGATATAGTGTGTATTAAGGGTTCGTAAGTAATATCTTCGTCCACGAATGACTGTAAAATCATTGAAATACTCTTTCATATTTTTTTTTATTTTTTTTCTCTAATTGCTGTTAAAATCATTGTAAATGTAAAAAATTAGCATACTTGTTTCAGGTAACGTTTAAATAAAGCGACACTTAATAAGTATAAATTGGAACCCACCCTTTTCAAAGTAGCTATGCGTAAGAAGGATTTCATGTTTTATTGTCATTTACTTTACAGAGCTTTTCCTAAGCCTTACATTATATCATATATATAGGCACACCCGTGGATATCCACTATAGTATTGGGTTCGGAATACTGTCTAAACAAGGTTGTGTATAGGCAGCGAAGCGAATCAGAATAAACTATTAAACTGAACAAGTATTTTCTTTCAGTGTATGATAATAGTGTAGGATCGCATACCGTGTTTTCGAAATCATGTAAATTAGTAAATATGGGCGAGGTTGACTGAACCCAAGTGTTATAACTATATATATAGATGACTTCCTGATCAGGATTTATTCTGGGATTTATCATGGCAGGGGACACGGGCATGGCCCTTTTTCTGCTTGTTTTCCTGTCTGTTTGTCAAGGTAAGATTATTAAAGTTTAAATAAATTTTAAATACATTCATCTAAAATATATTTAGTTTAGTTTGAGATCGAATGACGCATACAAACATTTAAGTTTGAATCAACCGACTTAAATTATGATATATCTATATATGATTATTTGATAGTTGTAGAAATATTTAATGGCCTGTTAACCGTGAAATATTATGCATTAGCTGCTTAAAACGTGTCAAAAGAAACAGATGTACGATTATTTAAAGTAAAAATCACCCATGTGTTGAATGAATTTGATTTATGACAATGACATGGAAAGAAATGCGATATGTTGCACTATTTTCGACTAAATCAAACAGTCAAAATAGAAATGTTGTATCTTGCATGAGACTGAATTACTCCCAGCCATTTGTACTAGTACTAGAATCAGATAATAACCGTGAGGGTCAGTGATTGTAAATTATAGTTCAAAAGTGTTGTTTCAATGAAAAAGTTAAACAAACCAAGTGTTAAATTGTCTCACCATTATTATAATACATACCTACAACAAACCCCTTTTACCTGATCAATTATAGTGTTGATTGATGTGATGTGCATAAATTAAAGCAATACTGATAGTGTGAAGATGTTGAATTGTTGACAGTGTATAAACTATATATGATCTGAAATGGCTACATACGAATATCACTGGCTAGCGTAGTCAGAGAGTCTAACGTAGTTATAGAAGATGATATTGTCTGGCTGCCATAGTCAGAGAATATGATACTAAGTGGTAACTGTAGTCATAGAATATGATACTAACTGGTAACTGTAGTCATAGAATATGATACTAACTGGTAACTGTGGTCATAGAATATGAAACTAAGTGGTAACTGTGGTCATAGAATATGAAACTAACTGGTAACTGTGGTCATAGAATATGAAACTAAGTGGTAACTGTGGTCATAGAATATGATACTAAGTGGTAACTGCAGTCATAGAATATGATACTAAGTGGTAACTGTGGTCATAGAATATGATACTAAGTGGTAACTGTGGTCATAGAATATGATACTAAGTGGTAACTGTAGTCATAGAATATGAAACTAACTGGTAACTGTAGTCATAGAATATGAAACTAACTGGTAACTGTGGTCATAGAATATGATACTAAGTGGTAACTGTAGTCATAGAATATGATACTAACTGGTAACTGTAGTCATAGAATATGAAACTAAGTGGTAACTGTAGTCATAGAATATGAAACTAACTGGTAACTGTAGTCATAGAATATGATACTAAGTGGTAACTGTGGTCATAGAATATGATACTAAGTGGTAACTGTAGTCATAGAATATGAAACTAACTGGTAACTGTAGTCATAGAATATGATACTAACTGGTAACTGTAGTCATAGAATATGAAACTAACTGGTAACTGTAGTCATAGAATATGTTACTTAGTGGTAACTGTAGTCATAGAATATGAAACTAACTGGTAACTGTAGTCATAGAATATGATAATAGTTATAGAGCTTGACACTACTTGGTTATCATAATTATCACAATCACATAATACCAAATACCTACAAGTACGTGCGATGTTGAACATGAAAATAAGTGGCTGTGGTAATTATCATACTGTCTTTCTTCCAAAGTTATAGAACAGGATACTTAATCATTCAATTATTGTATATTATTAACTGGCCAACGTAGTTATAGAATATTGTACTGACTGTTTACCATAGTCATACAATATGATAATAACTGGCTATTGTAGTTATAGAGCATGCTACGGAATTACTATATAGTCATAGTTCTAGAATATGAATTTGTCTCTGCCACATACAGACTACCAGACATCATGGTATCAGGAAGTTTCCTGTGTTCATCAGTTGGTGCTAATTCAGCAAAACTGATTATGTTTCCTATGTACACGGACATGGAAGAGATTGATTTTTTTTATTACCAGTAAACGCTCGGAATGATGCTAATCTCATTTTCATAATTCCGGTGAATGCAGTTAGTGTCACTTTACCATAAAACTTTATTATGTCTGCAGTTATTACAGAAATAAATCGGACTATGCTGGACTTGCTGTTTGTGATACCTTTAAGAATCACGCTAAACTATTCAGGGAAAGTCATGTTGTCACTTAGATGGTTTCAAGATAATTACTTTAATCATAAACTTGTTAACACGACTACATGTAAATATATAGTTGATAAATATATAGTTGAGTGAACTAGTACCTTTTGTAAACATTAGGTTTGTTTGAAATTTCTTTTGACAACTGAATCCTTCTTGAATAATATTTGCATAAATTTATCTCATGTAAACGTATAAACAATTTAAATATTGTTTTAAATGAAAATATCAGTTATAATACAGTCGAGCGAACTGGAAACCATCTTGCCTTATTTTTGTATCTTATTTAAAAGGAATATTTGCTCTAGCATAAAAAAATTGTCCAATATTTATTCTTTAAAATCTAAGAACAGCTTTGTGTCTGGCATTTCATGTTAATAATAATTATCGATTTATGGATATTTCATAATGAAAGAAATATCATTGTATATTGTCCTCTTTGAAAGTTAGTTTGGTACAATGTTAAATTATCTGACATATGTTGTTTATCAATGTTGTCACGTTATCAAAACGGGGTAAGATTCCAACATATTAAACCAGTGTTAAAATCAATTACTAGTATGGATTACGATATATGCAGCAAGGTATCTTTATCACCAAAAATGTACAAACTACAGTAAGAGTGAAGTGGTAATGTTTAAAGATGGGAGTTGGGACATTTGTGTATAGATAGTGGTCATTTTATAAGATGGGAGTTTGAACATTTATGACTGTGTAGATAGTGGTCATGTTATAAGATGGGAGTTGTGACATTTGTATGTAGATAGTGGTCATGTTATAAGATGGGAGTTGGGATATTTATGTGTAGATAGTGGTAATAATATAAGATGGGAGTTCGGACATTTGTATGTAGATAGTGGTCATGTTATAAGATGGGAGTTGGGACATTTATGTGTAGATAGTGGTAATGTTATAAGATGGGAGTTCGGACATTTGTATGTAGATAGTGGTCATGTTATAAGATGTTGGGACATTTATGTGTAGATATATAGTGGTCATGTTATAAGATGGGAGTTCGGACATTTGTATGTAGATAGTGGTCATGTTATAAGATGGGAGTTGGGATATTTATGTGTAGATAGTGGTCATAATATAAGATGGGAGTTCGGACATTTGTATGTAGATAGTGGTCATGTTATAAGATGGGAGTTGGGACATTTATGTGTAGATAGTGGTAATAATATAAGATGGGAGTTCGGACATTTGTATGTAGATAGTGGTCATGTTATAAGATGGGAGTTGGGACATTTATGTGTAGATATATAGTGGTCATGTTATAAGATGGGAGTTCGGACATTTGTATGTAGATAGTGGTCATGTTATAAGATGGGAGTAGGGATATTTAGGTGTAGATAGTGGTAATGTTACAAAATTGAAGTTGTGACATTTATGTGTAGATAGTGGTAATGATATAAGATGGAAGTTGTGACATTTATGTGTATATAGTGGTCATGTTATAAGATGGGAGTTCGGACATTTGTATGTAGATAGTGGTTATGTTATAAGATGGGAATATTTGTGTGTAGATAGTGTCATACACGTTGTATGTGCAGGGTACAGATTAAAGCAAATCTATTAACTATGTTGAATGTTAAGATAGTTCATTTAATAATTATCATTGAACCATTTTTCTAAAATTTCCACAATACATTAAAGACAATGCAGAATACATGTGGTCATTCTTAAACTAACGTTTAAAACTCACGCATTATGAAATCAAAATTACTTATTAAACATACTACATTTTAACACCGTTAGTTTTCCACGTTTTCCACATACCATATTAACTGCAATACTTTTAACAATGAATCAACAAATTATAAACTTTTAAAGGCTAATAAAATACGATCAAATGTTCATATCTACTGTATGATCTACAACCTTTACCTGCAGGCATTCAATAGTGACAAAAAATAGTGCAAGTTGACAGAATGTATTAGCAGTGTAAAGTTTCCAATGGAAAAAGAGTTCATTTAAGGTCATAAAGAAAGACCGAGACGCAAAATACGTGACTATAAACTTTTAATGAATCTACAAAAAAATGTTTAGCTGGCCATTGTCCATGCAGAACATTTCAAGTGCGATTTTTATTATTAGACTCTGTTTTTTTAATGCTAGAAGGTTTTATGTTATGATAGCTCGTATACGTTTGATGCTAGAAAGTGTTATGTTATGATAGGTCGTAGACGTTTGATACTAGAAAGTTTCATGTTATGATAGCTCGTACACGTTTGATGCTAGCAAGTTTTAGGTTATGATATGTCGTAGACGTTTGATGCTAGAAAGTTTCATGTTATGATAGCTCGTAGACGTTTGATGCTAGAAAGTTTTATGTTATGATAGCTCATGGTAGACGTTTGATGCTAGAAAGTTTTATGTTATGATAGGTCGTAGACGTTTGATGCTAGAAAGTTTAATGTTATGATAGCTCGTAGACGTTTGATGCTAGAAAGTTTCATGTTATGATAGGTCGTAGACGTTTGATCCTAGAAAGTTTTATGTTATAATAGCTCGTAGACGTTTGATGCTAGAAAGTTTCATGTTATGATAGGTCGTAGACGTTTGATGCTAGAAAGTTTTATGTTATGATAGCTCGTACACGTTTGATGCTAGAAAGTTTTATGTTATGATAGCTCGTAGACGTTTGATACTAGACAGTTTTATGTTATGATAGCTCGTAGACGTTTGATGCTAGAAAGTTTCATGTTATGATAGGTCGTAGACGTTTGATACTAGACAGTTTTATGATTTGATAGCTCGTAGACGTTTGATGCTAAAAAGCTTTATGCTATGATAGGTCGTAGACGTTTGTTGCTAGAAAGTGTTATGTTATGATAGTTCGTAGACTTTTGATACTAGAGAGTTTTATGTTATGATAGCTCGTAGACGTTTGATACTAGACAGTTTTATGTTATGATAGCTCGTAGACTTTTGATGCTAAAAAGCTTTATGTTATGATAGGTCGTTTTGTTTGTTTGTTTTGGGTTTTACGTCACATCGACACAGTATAGGTCATATCGCGACGTTCTAGTTTTACTGGTGGAGGAAGACCTCAGGTGCCCTTCCGTGCATTATTTCAGGCACGAACGGGCACCTGACTAGAACCACTGCCGTTCCGTAAGCTAGCTGGATAGCTTCCTCACATGTAAGAATCGAAAGTCCCTGTCGGGATTCGAACCCACAGCGGTGAGGGGCAAGTGGTTTGAAGTCAACGACCTTAACCACTCGGCCACGGACGCCCCTATATGATAGGTCGTAGACGTTTGATACTAGAAAGTTTTATGTTATGATAGGTCGTAGACGTTTGTTGCGAGAAAGTTTTATGTTATTATAGCTCGTAGACGTTTGATACTAGAAAGTTTTATGTTATGATAGTTCGTAAAAGTTTGATACTAGAAAGTTTTATGTTATGATAGCTCGTACACGTTTGATGCTAGAAAGTGTTATGTTATGATAGCTCGTAGACGTTTGATACTAGAAAGTTTTATGTTATGATAGCTCGTAGACGTTTGATACTAGAAAGTGTTATGTTATGATAGGTCGTAGACGTTTGATGCTAATAAGTTTTATGTTATGATAGGTCGTGGACGTTGATAGTAGAAAGTTTTATGTTATGATAGGTCGTAGACGTTGATGCTAGAAAGATTTATGTTATGATAGATCGTAGACGTTTGATGCTAGAAAGTTTTATGTTGTGATAGGTCGTAGACGTTTGATGCTAGAAAGTGTTATGTTATGATAGGTCGTAGACATTTGATGCTAGGATGTTTTATGTTATGATAGCTAGAAGACGTTGATGCTAAAAACTTTTAAAAACTTAAAAAGCTTTATGTTATGAAAGGTCGTAGACGTTTGATACTAAAAAGTTGTATGTTATGATAGCTCGTAGACGTTTGATACTAGAAAGTTTTATGTTATGATAGCTCGTTGACGTTTGATACTAGAAAGTTTTATGTTATGATAGCTCGTAGACGTTTGATACTAGAAAGTTTTAGGTTATGATAAGGTCGTAGACGTTGATGCTAGGAAGTTTTATGTTATGATAGGTCGTAGACGTTTGATGCTAGAAAGTTTTTATTATGATAGGTCTTAAACATTTGATGGTAGAAAGTTATATGTTATGATAGGTCGTAGACGTTTGATACTAGAAAGTTTTATGTTATGATAGCTCGTATACGTTGATGCTAGAAAGTTTTATGTTATGATAGCTCGTAGACGTTTGATGGTAGAAGGTTTTATGTTATGATAGCTCGTAGACGTTGATGCTAGAAATTTTTATGTTATGATAGGTCGTAGACGTTTGATGCTAGAAAGTTTTAAGTTATGATAGGTCGTAGACGTTTGATACTAGAACGTTTTATGTTATGATAGCTCGTACACGTTTGATGCTTGAAAGTTTTATGTAAAGGTGGGTCGTAGACGTTTGATGCTAGAAAATATAATTTTATGATAGGTCTTAGACGTTTGATACTAGAAATTTTTATGTTATGATAGGTCGTAGACGTTTGTTACTAGAACGTTATAGGTTATGATAAGTCGTAGACGTTTGATGCTAGAAAGTTCCATGTTATGATAGGTCGTAGACGTTTGATACTAAAAAGGTTTATGTTATTATAACTCGTAGACGTTTGATGCTAGAAAGGTTTAGGTTATTATAGCTCGTAGACGTTTGATGCTAGAAAGGTTTATGTTATGATTGCTCGAAGACGTTGATGCTAGAAAGGTTTATGTTATGATAGGTCGTAGACGTTTGATACTAGAAAGGTTTATGTTATTATAGCTCGTAGACGTTTGATGCTAGAAAGTGTTATGTTATGATAGCTCGTAGACGTTTGATACTAGAAAAGTTTATGTTATTATAGCTCGTAGACGTTTGATGCTAGAAAGGTTTATGTTATGATAGATCGTAGACGTTGATGCTAGAAAGTTTTATGTTAAGGTGGGTCGTAGACGTTTGATACTAGAAAGTTTTATTATGCTCCCCGAAATATTTCGGGAGAGCATATAGTCGGCGCCTTGTCCGTCCGTCAGTCCGTCCGTCCGTCTGTCCGAGCAAACATTTTGGGTTTAGGGGCTATATAACAGTAAAGAGAACAAAAGAGAACAATAGGTTCATTTCGTGATCAAAGGGTTTAGGGGCTAGTAGCCCTTAAGAATACAAAGAAACTAACAAAGAAAATAGCCCCTAAAGCCAAAATGTTGGAACGTCCGTCTGTCCGTCCGTTGTCTTGTCCGGAGCATAACTTAAAAACCCTTGGAGATAATTTGTTTAAACTTCATACAGTGGTAAAGGTCATTGAGAGGGAGTGCAGTGTCAAATAGCCATAACTCTGTTTTGCCTGGTTTTTGAATCATCTCCCCTTACAGAAAAATCTTGTCCGGGGCATAACTATAAAACTATAAGAGATATCAACATGAAACTTTGTAGGTAGATATATCTCAATGGGTAGATGTGCAGTGCACAAGAATCATAAATCTGCCTTGCCTAATTTTTGAGTTATTGCCATTTGTTTATTTTTACTTTTTGAAGTTGTCCGGGAGATAACTCGGAAATCATAAGAGATATCATCAAGAAACTTTGTAGGTTGATAGATCACATTGATTAGAAGTGCAGTGCAAAGAACAGTAACTCTGCCTTGCCTTATTTTGGAATTATTGCACTTTGAACTTTTTCTAAGGACATAACTCTGAAACTACAAGAGGTGTACTTTCCTGTGTCCAAAACCTATTTGGGGAGCATCACCAGGCTCAAACCGGGCTCTTGTGTTATGATAGGTCGTAGACGTTTGATACTAGAAAGTTTTATGTTATGATAGCTCGTAGACGTTTGCTGTTAAAATGCTAAATATTGTAGACAGTCATTGTTGGTTAAGAAAACTGTATAATAACACATCTAATCGACAGTCCAAATTGGACCTGGTTTGTTTGATTTATCCTAAAGAAATCAGCGACGTCTGCCAACAGGTTGTTGAAGGACACATATACGACTTCCTGATAGAGCATTTTAAGCAGCCAATGTTTAATATTGAATGTAATTCAATTCTTGCTTTGTATCTATTTCACGAAATGTATTATATCATTTGATACAGCAACTAGGAAGTTTTAGGGTATCGTATACCATCTGCATATTTTATACGTGACACACTATTAAACATCAATGTCATTTTAACAGAAAGAAGACTGTCATTGTACCCGTTCATAATAAGTAGTCACGTCACCGTAACGTGAAACTCATTAAAACTATCACTGTATGTAACGCTAGACACTTACTGAGATTATTTAAAACTTTTCCGCGGTAAAACTCTAGTGCCCAGGGAACATTATCTGTACAATGATTTGTTTGTATTTGTTGCAGCCAAATGATCAACGTTATTAGATAGAATTTTCCTTTAATTTCATTTTGAAGGTAGACTAGCTGTCTTGTAAAGTATTGAAGACTTAATTGTAGTAATGTCATTTATAATAAACAAGATCCACCTTCTGACATAATGTTACATGCATGACTTAGATATGCACATTGTTGTTTATATAGAGTTATAAGAAGAGTACAAACCAATTCCTTTCGGATCTTGTAGAAGGATTCAGATAGCTTTACCGGTATAGCTAATACAGTAATGAATGGGGAAACATAAATTTTCACTAGCAACAAGCTAGCATGCTCGATACATTACAGGTACAATATTCAGATATCGATGTTTCTTTATGTTTTAGTTGTAGCAGCAGATGGCAGTACAGGCGTTATAGTAGCTGGCACTGTAGCTGGGGTCATTCTAGTGTTAGTATGTGCAGGGGTGGCTATAGTCTGCTTGTACAAGTAAGTAGACACAAAAAAATACAACTATATATTTAAAGTCCACATACAATTGGATTTCTTTTCTTTTTCGCTTTCTAATAAAAGTGTTTGTATCTTACACGTTATTGTTAAGTAACTAGTATTTTGAATTGCCAAAATTTAAAAATACAATTACTTCAAATAAAATAAATTAATGTTCTGTTTGGGAAATAAATTTAAGGTTTTTATATATTTTCAAGGCGTCACCTGTCGAATGAAAAGAACAAGCACAGTAAGAAGAACAAGCATAAAGTGTATATAGCTAACGGGACACATCTTCCCCCACCTCATCATTATGCTAAACGCCACCATATGAACGGTTTTGCACCCCACTCGATGACCAGGATGCCACCGCCGCAAATGGTGAATGCTATGCCTATGCGACCGCCCCCACCGCCGGCATATTTAGGATCAGTCCCATATCCTCCTGCGGCAGTACCCTATGCTACATACCATGGACCTCCGCCAGAGATGCGATATGAAATGAAAGGTCATGCTAGACCTGAAACCTTGTCTGGTCCACCTCCGATAGTCATCCCTTTTGAAACGAACGGCGGGGCTGGTGGAACCGTGACTGTCAGACCAGATCCGAGACCTGTCGTTCATAAAAGGTCCAAATACAAACGCCGCGAGCAGTTAGACACTGCCGATGATCATAAAAAACCTTCCAGTAGACACAAGTCTCCAACCAGACACAGACCAAAGTCACAAGAATTCATTGTTCAGCAATCATATGACGGTATACCTGTGATTAGACCAGTCATTTATATTGATGATGACGAGGATGATAAACGCAGACATAGGTCTAAATCACGTGACCGACGTCAAAAGAAAAGCTCGCCGTCACCAAGAGATGGTGCCAAGATAACGTAAGTTTATACAAAGTATTCAAGCTGAAAATATACTTAATATACCTTAAATAAACTACAATGTATTCTTTAAAAGTCCAATTGGGAAATACTATTCACATTGTAACATTCGGTATAAAGAGAAACTCTTCTTTCTACCCCGTGAGTAATATTGACGAACTTTGAGGCACATGTTCTTTGAAAACATTTGGGAGGTCTTTTATCCTCCTCCCTCGATTATTCACGTAGCTCGTATGTAGAAATTGTTGAAAATTACTTTAGAATATTGCGGTGATGGTAAATTTATTTGTTGAAATATGACCAACATTTATTAAATTTATAAACCGTAACAAAGCTGCTATCTGTAGGTTGCAGATATATATGTTTTACTGGAACTTGTAAATGTAGGGTATAACACAATTTGTTCCGTCGAGAAAGAAAAGGGTGTATATGTATGGAAGTGACTATCGGAATTTATAAAATAATTATTCCTTATTTCCTTAAATATTAATGACTGTCTATGTTTTCATTTCAGTGAAATAGCAGACGATCCACAGGTAATCTCCTATAATTTCAATTTTCTTAGAAACCTTAGAAATGTAATGCATTCGTACAAATTCTTTTGGCAAAGAAATATGATATATAAATTCTAATTAAGTCTTATATAGAAATTTAATTTTAATTGAATTACTCAACGGCTAACTCAATACTAATGTTACAATACATTCTTTGTCACTTTGCAAAGTATGAAAAAACAATCAGTTTTATGAACAATTAATTACTTGTAGGTGACAGTTGTGCGAGCAGAGACAGAAATCAACACCAACCCACCATCACAACCTCGAATACTAACACCACCCCCGACACAGTCTAGGTTATTAACGCCAACACAAAACGAGAGATCACGAGCTTCATCGGTTACGGAAGCTGTAAACGCACTACGCATGTCTGTAAAAGATCATACTGGTGAAGACAGTGATTCGAACTCATCTCATTCATCAAATGCCCCGTCATTCGGTTGGGCTCAGACCGAGCATAGAGCCCCTGATCCAGTTGCTGGTGACGTTATTTTCTTTCCTGCAGGAACAGAGGTAGAGACGAGTCGTAACAGAGAACCACATGCTAAAGAAGATGTTTACAGCTATACTAAAGTGATAAAATCTTCGATGAAGGAGAAAACACCTCCGTCGCCTGAGAGCCCTGAACCTCATCCTGCACAAATGTCCTATGCCAATCAAGGCTACGAAACACCAAAAGAACTCCGACGATCAACAATAGGTTCTAAAAATGAGGAAAATCATTATCAAACAGAGCCAGATACAGGTTATAATCCATATAGTAATATTGGTGCATCCATGTCTGATCGTCTGCAAAATCTAGTGGAAGATGGCGACAAAACAAGATTCAGTCATTATAATGTTGGCGCTATAAATTTCGCTGACGAAGAAGGGGAGGAAGAGGAGCATGTAGAGATGAGGGTAAAACGACCAGACACCCCTCCATCAGATATACCAAGAGAAAGTTTCTACGCTAAAGTTATAAAAAGGCCAAAAACCCCGCCAAATGATATACCAGTAGTTTCTCCACGGGAGTCAACCGAAGTGCCTCCATTGAACCTAGCTAGTACAGTAAATTCTCCACGGGAACAAAGTTACAGACCAGCTACACCTCCTCAAGATTTTCCAATAACTCCCCATTCTTCTTTTGTAAGACCACGCCCTAAAACCCCACCGACAGATTTCCCTATGACGCCTACAGATTCGGGAGTTTCTGCACGACCACCTACACCCCCGTATGATGCAGTAGATACCAGCAGGTTAGGTGAAACTCAACGATCTACAGCAGTTGATCCATCAACAGGGGAGCCCGGCTCATTCCAAGCTCGTCAGAGGCTTATTGAAGCACATTTGTTGAAGAACGCAGGGTCACCAGCCACTTCAAACCCGTCTCCTCCCAAACCAGCTCAAAGTTCAGTCCCTAAACCTAGATTCACACCTGCTCCCCCACCCCCTTCTGTCCCAGTTGTAACTGTTATTCCAGGAGAAGTTCCACCAGCACCCCCTCCACCCCCACTCCCAAAATAATGCCCCCCACCTAGTAAACCATAGTTCAATCTGTAATATATCAAATGTGCTATTTGTTTTTCTGTCTCTATAGTTACTTCCATAATATCAATACTAACAACTTATACACATTTGTATATTTATTTCTAATAAAACCCTTTCTATGTATATAATAGGTCAATGTCTAAAAAATCCTAGAGGATAATTTACATATCAACTAAATATTTTAATTGACATTAAATACCGAGACAGCTTTCGTATCGTAAATTGTTTACTATTGAAGGTTATTATGCTGTCCCAAAAATATATATATTCTATAAGCTACTTTCATACACGAAAATAAAGAAACACAAATGTATACCATTGTGTAGTAAACCATAACCTAGTGAATTTTTTCAATATAATTTATTTGATTTTTAACAAAATGGAAAATTTGTACCAGCTTCATGGAAGTAGTTAAATGCATATTAACAATAAATGGTATTTACAAAAATATGTAGTGCATTGCAATACTGGAAAATCTTTCGTGATAAATGTATTCAATTTGTTAAATATGGTGTAAGTGCTCTGTTATGTATAGTTAATGCAGTGATGTGTTACGTCCAATTAGTTATAGTTAACATTCTCTTGTAACTTAATTTGCTCATTTCCACTGTGTGCTCATTTCTTGTGTGACAAGTACTTGTTTTGTTTAAATGGATATATACTTTATAGTTTAAAAATTCATGTTGACTGCTTCACAAAATTATAATCTATTAAAAATCAGACTGAACTATAAAATGGTCTAGTGAAATGTAGAATAGACTTTGTCAAAATATGTTTATTACTTTCAAATAAGTATTAATGCTCAGCAAATATGTATTCCTATTTCATTTTTTTTGTGTATACAAATTAAATGTTATATTATGTGATTCAATACATGATGAGCAGAATAATGCACAAGCACAATTTGTCAAACAGTCAGGCTGACTTTTTGTCATGACCAGTTTATATATTTTGTATACAAAACAGAAATCAACTTGTTTACATGTTAAAACAATTGAAATGATAGATACTTGAATTTTGAATGTGTATTTGTTTTGGAGAATTATAACTTTAAGTGAATACCAACTGTACATTGACATGCATGGATCAGAAAAGTTACAATGTAACAGGTCTGTGTCACAAGTATGTGTGGCTGTCATATATAAAATATAGTCTGAATTATTCCTAAATGGTGACAGTATTACAAATAAATACATTATGAATAATTAAAAGTTTAGTATAAATTATAAACTTTAAAATTTGCTATTTAAATGTAAATGTTTTGTAAATCGATATCATTTGTTCAATTCTGTAACTTATCGTCTGAACTATAAAAGTTGTAAAAAGAAAATTCAAAGAAATCTATAACTTTAACTTCTTAAATTATAAACTTAACTGTAAATGTTAAAGGTATTAACTGGTGGCTTTTTTTTGTCTGAATTTTCTTTCTTGTAACAAAACGGTGGATTCTGCAGGGTATATTTTTATCATGCAGTTTTTTTCTCTTCTTTTTATATCATAAAAATATTAAAAACAGATGTTTTTATAATAAGGGAACATGAAATGTATATGTTATAGATTATATTATATATATATTATATTATTTTTGTACAAGTTTTCTCATACTCGTGTCTTTATTATAAATTTTTAAGAAATATTTAATAAATGGGTGTACTATATACAAAATTATGAATAAATTTTCTACTTGCAATTTATCGTCAATTGTTAATTTATATAATGTCCTATTTTGCACAGACAAATATAGATACAACTAGGTAAATGAAGTACTAATATTGTTAGTGATATTGTCGAGGTGATATTGCGATTCCCAAGATCTACTGATGGAGAAAGACATCAAGGTCCAGCCCCGCCCCTCTCTGTCTCTTATGTTACTAATAATGCTGACCATCAAGTAGAACCAATGAACTTTAGGAGCTGAATAGTTTTGAGATTAAAATAATAGAAGTGTTGAGTGGGAAGAGATATTAACTCTGCAAATGTAACCTTTGGTGCTAGATACCCCCCGTATAGGTCAAGTTATTGACAACCTTTCCAGACAGGGTCTTCAGCAAAGATTCAACCACCCTTAATGATAACTGCATCTTTTATTTATGAGATTAAAATTACACTCTGGATTAACACTATATATGATATATGTAGGCCTGTGACAGGCATACACCCAATAGGACATTAAGGAAGACAAAAACATGTTCTATATGAGAATTTGATTTAATAGAGCATTTCATTAACATATCTTAGAGAAAAATAACGTATAAATGTATATTATTGATATATTATAGAAACTGGAAGTTTGACTTTAAAGGGATACTCAGGCAAATTAATGACAAAAATATTAAAATGATCTTATGTACTCAATCATGCTAAAATGACATTTTTTAATGTCCTGGCATGAATTTCTGTTTAAATTCTATATATTTTGGGTTTAAAGCATAATCTATATCTATACATATTGAACGAAATTTAGACACCAAAAGAATCACTGAGTAATTTTAAAACAAGTCATGTGACTTGAAAAAACATCTGGAAGTTACAATAACAGATTTTGTCTGAGTGATTTATTTGACATCTTCTTTAACGTTTCTAGAGTTCACTGTGACAACAATTGTGAAATCCTAACCCTCTGACACCTGACCTGACCCACTTGACCACCATTTTATTTTTTAAGTGGTAAAAAGGTTTGTTCCTTTGACTGTCTTGCATGTTCATTTTAAGGTCATTTACAGAATAATAAATGAAAAATTCAAAACAAAGACACGAAAATTTTGCCTGTGTCTCCCTTTAAAAAATACCATTTTGCAAGAATATATGAACAATCTACTATTATAAGTGAATGAATATGTTCATTTTTCAACAGCAGTAAACACAAGCAAAACAATAAAAAGCTGTTATACAGTATTAAAAAAAATTTTAAAATATGTATTCTATGACCAACAATATACATGTGTATTCAAAACTAAATTTGCTACATGGTGTGTCTTTTTTTATAAAGTAAATAACAAAGTTATTAAGAAATATAAAATTAAACAATTTTTAAAGTAGGAAGTTGTATAAATTGTAAGAGTATAAATAAATGAAGGGATAATAATCAAATTTATTTCCAAACATACATTTAAAATGTATTAGTAAGTGACTGAACTAGATATAAGTAGCTTAAATGAATGTTACAGCAGCTAAAATTGATATTTAAATGGATGTTTAGCAGCTAAACTAAATATTTATGAAGCAAAAATGGAAGTTTAAGTAGCTTAAAAATGATGTTTAAGTAGCTTAAAAATGATGTTTATGTAGCTAAAATGGATGTTTTAGAAGCTAAAATAAACGTTCAAGTGACCTATATGTTTAAGTAGCTAAGATGGTTGTCAAAGTACCTAAAAATGGATGTCAAAGTAGCTAAAAATGGATGTCAAAGTAGCTAAAATGGATGTTTAAGTAATGGATGTCACTTTATGTGTCTATTAAGTGACTTAATGCCCATGCAAGTGTCATTGCTGAGTGCACATGTAAAAATCAAAATACCTGATTAGTTTTGAATTTTATATCTGACTGCAATCAAAATGACCCATGTATATATCTATAAACTTGGTTAGGAATGTATCTGTAACAGTCCATTTTAATAAAAGTGGGGCAGTCTTTTTATTATCTATGTTTAATATTTTATCCTGAACATTTTTCATTATCAAATTATTGATCAATCACCATAATAATAGTTTATCTCTTGAAATATTTAACTTATTCAACTCAAATTGACAAGCAAAAATAATGAGGATAATGTCATTTTAAAAATAGCTAAAATAAAATAAAGGAATAAACTATTATAACTATCATAGTAACTATATAAATATCCAGGTAATTATCATGGATTTGAATTTTTGTTTATCTAACAAATAAATGTTGGTGAATATATCAACTACACACCTGTATATAGCTTTGTTATCTATAAATATGTATACACATTACATACACACCTGTAAGTACTTTGGTCATCTATAAATATTTATACACATTACATACACACATATGTACCTTTGGTCATCTATAAATATGTATACATATTAAAATATATAAAAAGTATCATGAACACTTGCATATTTATTAATACTCCATACATTCTGGGTGAAATAGTCTTAAATATTAAGATATAACTATCAAATCTATAAACAGTGTAAAATATTCTTCTGTAAAACAAATATGTTTGTACAGGCAGTGTTTCTAGGGTTACAGGTAACAAAAACCCAGGAAATATTCTGTGATTTCAGTGAACACAACATTACACTGTACGCATTATATATCAACAGATAAAGATTCTACAACACATGTATTTGGAAAATGAAATAGAATTTGTTCAATCAACCTGCTTCTTTAATTGTTTAATTTGTACTAAATGATTAAAGGGAGAAAACTCAAAAGTTCAAATTATGACTTATACTCTTGTATTGAAATAGCTTCTCAGGAAGTTGGTTGAAATATTTTAGTTCACTTAGCAGAAACAAATACTTTAAAGACATATACATGTGATATTTAAAACTCATATTAACCTTATTTATTTGAGTGAAAAAAAAAATGATTCTGATATACAAATCTAAATTTACAATCAAATAACAACATATACATGTATATAAAAAACAAAGTAAGAAACAAAATACTAAGAAAATTAATTATTATAGTATTAACAAGCAATTATCATAGTATTGCAAGCAATCCATAAGTCCCCTACCGGTAAGAGCCTAAGCAACATTCTGAAGGGCCATTGGCCATTCACTTATGTTCCTATTTTAAGTAAATTTGTTGAAAAAGTTCTTTAAAAGTGATCACAGGAAATAGTTTTTATGTACAGACAGAAAGACACTCTAAAGTTATTTTTTAAACATCCCTGTTATCAAAATATAACATTTTTTAAAATCCTATCATAATTGAAGAAGTTGGAGAAAAAAAATACCAATTTCTCAAAAAAAGTCTAAGTTCAAAAGGGGCATAATTCTGGAAATAGTCTTGTTAGAGTATTGAACACTCACAAATGTTGAGTGACAATAAGAAACATTTATATGAAGTTATAAGTATAGATACATTCAGAAAAAGAAGTTATTAAAAAAAACAATGTTTTTTTCATGAAAATTTCAAGTTCAAGGGAGGTAATTCTGATAAATTTTGTGCTAGAGTTGTAAACCTTGTCACATATGATGTGGTTGATGACAAGCAACTTATATTTAAAGTTTGAAGAAAATACCTTAAGAAATAAAGAACTTATAGTGAAAAAACTTAAAAACTAGAATCAGAAATCTTGAAATTCAGTCTATTTGTTGCCATAGCAACCAGAATTTTCAACAAAGGAAGATAAGAAAAGGATGTGAATAATTTCCATACTGCCATCTACCCATATGTCAAGTTTCATAAACATATTTTCAGTACTTTTTGTGTTATCACTGGATCCAGGTTATGTGTAAAATTTGCCATATTTTCAGTCTATTTGTTGCCATAGCAACCACAATTTTCAACATAGGAAGAAAAGAAAAAGACGTGCATAATCTCCATACTGCCATCTATGCATATATCAAGTTTCATAAAAATATTTCCAGTACTTTTTGCGTTATCGCGGGATCCAGTTTATGTGTAAAATTTGTCATATTTTCAGTCTATTTGTTGCCATAGCAACCAGAATTTTCAATATAGGAAGAAAAGAAAAAGACGTGCATAATCTCCATACTGCCATCTATCCATATATCAAGTTTCATTAAAATATTTTCAGTACTTTTTGCGTTATCGCGGGATCCAGTTTTGTGGACGGACGGACTGACGGACGGACAGACAGACGGACAGACGGACGGAGGGTAAACCTAAAGTCCCCTCCGGTAAACCGGTAGGGGACTAAAAAAAAACCTAATGTATATCACAGCTTGTGTAATTCAAATGCTTATATATATATACAATTTAAACGAATAACATTACATTCTGTCACCAACAAAAAAACCAACAACTTTACATTAAAACAAGAACATGTTAAATGGGTTTTAACTATTCTCTGTTTATTGTCACCTTCCAAAAATGTATTTTACTTGTTTTTGTTCCCCAGAGTCATTTACTTTCATTTGACTTAAAAAAAGTGTCAATAAATCGATAAAAAATATCTTAAATCAATTAAGAAATAAATTAAAATATTATGTTTAATTATATATAAGATATGTTTTACTGCAATGAAAAAATTAGTGTTCATGTTAAGTTTGTTACTGTTACACAATATCAAAGTTATTTCTTAATCATTCTAAGCAATTTTTATTGAATTATCTGTCTCTCTCTGTGTGAATATTAATATGTCATTTGAAACAATGTTTGATACTCTTTCTTTTTTCTGGTAGGACAACTAGTATGACATACACATTTGTTTCACAATCACAGGTTAAAGTGAGAGAAAATAGAACATTAAACACTCCAGAAAGCATCGTTTTGCTTCAAAAGCTACATGTTAGTAATATATAATATTTTACTAGTTCAAAATCTAACTTTTTATACAAGTAAATCACTAATATACATTGTATGAAAAAAAACTAACATATATAACAATAAGAAGGTTATTTTAAAACTTCATTACTAGATTTCAATAGTACATGATTACATATATCAGAACAATTTCAACAGTATACAGAATGCATGAGGATAGTTAACTTATAAAATATATTAAACTGTGCTACAAGTAAGATCACAGTTAAACATTTAACAAACATAAAATTATTTAACTAAATACTTCAGAAACAATGTAAATAATGTGAACTAAATATAAACTAGAACTGCCACTGTCATGGTGTGAATACCCCCGCATACCACTTTGTCAGAATCAACAGTGACAATTGAGAGCTCAAAGACAACCTCCCTGCAAAATCTGAGGTAACTAAGCCAGTGCATTGCTAAGTTATGTATTCTACATAAATGTCAAAATCAATACGCTGCGGACAGGCATTCTTAAGCATTTGAGCGGACAAGCTTATTATAGTAAAATCCCTGTGACCTTGACCTTTGACACAGTTACTTAAAAATCAAAAGGGGTCATCTACTAGTCATAAACAACCTCAATGCCAAATATGAAGACTGTTGACCAAAGCCTTCTTAAGCAATTGAGCGGACAAGCTTTTTATAGTCGAGGCCCCTGTGACCTTGACCTTTGACCCAGTGACTTCAAAATCAATAGTCATGATAAACCTCCATGCCAAATATGTAGACTGTGGGTCAAAGGATTCTTAAGTTATTGGGCGGAAAATCTTTTTAGTCAAGGCCCCTGTGACCTTGACCTTTGACCTCAAAATCAATAGGGGTCATCTACTAATCATAACTAACCTCCATGCCATATATGAAGACTGTGGGTCATAGGATTCTTAAGTTATTGAGCTGACAAGCTTTTTGAAGTCAAGGCCCCTGTGACCTTGACCTTTGACCTGGTGACCTCAAAATCAATAGGGGTCATCTACTAATCATGACTAACCTCCATGCCAAATATGAAGACTGTTGGTCAAAGGATTCTTAAGTTATTGGACGGACAAGAAAAAAACCGACAGACGGCAGGACGGACAAGCTGATTCCAGTATTCCCCCCTTACAACTTTGTTGTGCGGGGGTGTTATAATATGGCACTACAATTTACCCAAATAAAAAGTTATATAAACATAATCTTATTCCAACACTTGATCGATTAACATAAAAATATGCTGTCAAAATCAGCCATATAAATACATTAAGCAGTGTTTTTATTATTATGAATTTACATGTATATACATGAAATCAAGCACATGTGTTATTATAAATTAACAATGGCTGTGTTAGCTAGTAGAATGACCAGGAACATAAAGTTGTTTGGAGTTCGTAAAACAACATTTAATTGTTCAAATCCTTAAAAACTTTTTTCCTTTGGTAAAAGCGAAGTTTTTTTTGAAACTTTAATACTGTTAATTTAGTTAATAAACCTAATAAATAATTAATTTACAATATTTTCCCACACCACTTGTATAAAAAACAATAACAATTAAGTCTTCACTATCAAAAAACAAAATCCAAAAAATAACAAGAAAGCCTGATGGCCATGTTTTGTTCAACAGTGTTTACAAGAGATTTTTCCAATTTTTCTCTATACATGTACATGTATATATGTTTTTTATTAATAATTTCAACAAACTTGACAGATAGTAACCTAACAATCATTTCTACTAAATCAGATGATAATCTGATCTAAATGATTTTCAATGATTTCTTCACATCACATGCACAAATTATAAAAAAACTTGCCACAGTTACAGATTATGACTACACAAAATTAAATAAACACTCTTGATACATGGTCACCTAAGGATAACTCTGTTACATAATTAAAAAAAAAAAAATAAATAAAAAGTTTTTCCTACATACATACAGGGAATACAGACCATACATTTTAACAAATCAAAACTATCTCAATAGTCTAGACAGGCTAGCAAGGATCTATAATGTATAATAAAATCATTATGAAACAAACAGTGTATCAAATTTTTCCTTTTTTTTTAGAGATGTTCTTTAAAGAAAAGTGTGGACGGGAAGATATTTGATCAAATTTGGCACATTCATTAATTTAGTGTTAGGCCATCCTTAAAAAAATGTTTGTTTGCAGTAACCCGACCCAGAATTTTCAAGGTGGGTAGGTAGGTCGATTTTTTTTTTTTTTTTATTGAACTGTACTCCAAAATAAACATGGAATTTCAAAATGCTGGACAATATATGCTTTGATAATCTGGTAAGAATTAATAAATTGATAACTGAATTCTAATTTAATAAGACCTACATTTTATTTCTTCTATTAACCTTTAAAAGAACAAAAACAAAGCACAAGGCATAATTTTCTGATTCAAAAAAAAATATTTTTTATCCAGACCATGAAAAAAAATTTTGAGTAGGGGCAAATTTTATGAGTCGGTCGCGTTACTGCAAACAAACATTTTTTTAAGGATGGCCTTATTTATTACATGCTTTTTCGTGGTTTATAGAAATATATCAGTGATATAAAACTGGTAATTTCACTGTTTGAAACATAGAAATTACCACTTTGATAATTTCACTGTTTTAAATTTAAGCCCATTACGTTGTTTCAGTGAAATACTTGTAAACACCAAAAGTTCATATTTCACTCGTGGCTGCGCCACTCGTGAAATATACCTTTTGGTGCTCACTCGGTGAAATATATTCCGATCTTACACTGAACTAAACAAATATCCTCTATATCATTTTACTTTTGTTGAACAAAAGGGCATGACCTCTTCTTGTATCATAACAGAATAAATCTGTTGTTGTTTTTTTACAGTTTTATGACTCTTCCCTCTGATCTTGAACGTTAGATGGATGAGTTAGGGGCCATAATGGTGCTCTGGTGAGCTAGTAAATCAAGGGCATTATTGCTGTTACAATATTACTAATATTATTAAAATGGAATGTATATTTTGACACTAGATTAAATGATACAGAAATCATCCATGTTTCATATCATCACATGATCAAATTACTAAATATAATTAGTCAATCTGACATCATTCATTCATCAAATATAATTTACCAGGAAGTTGCAGCATGTAACTTTGTATCCTGCAAATCAGATCCCTTCAAATTTTGTCCTTGAACCTGACTTTTTTGACAATGAAGACTTGATGTAAGTAGTTGGGCAACTTGTTCAATTCTAGATTTATTAGCTATAATATAACACTGTGTCTCCCATAACATTGTGATGAGAGTTTTATTGTCTGTACAGTCGAGGGAAATATCCTCGGAGAGTTGAGGGCTGAACCGGTAGAATGGTACATTGATCATACTGCACCAAGCTCGTGCTCTATCTACAGGCCGACCTTCTGACACTGATGCCTACAATATTTATATATATGATAATGGTTGCTAAATTATGTCATAATGAAGTAATAAAACAGCTTTCATATCAAATAACATTCTTATATCAGTTATTGATGTTTTATAACTTGCAAATATTTTGTATTTTATTTCTTTTTATATCACAATTAGCATTTGACCCTGTATTATCAACATACGTAATGTTTAGTCTATGTCTGCAATGAATTTCATTGATGAACTTAATAACTGATATTTTGTGGGAAACGTAAACATTTCATACATTGTTGAATTAGATCAAAGAATTTTAACTTCAACATATGTATGACTGCACCTTACAAAATATCTGGAATACATTGGTATTGCATTGCTATTACAGAGTTAAATAATAAAACATAATTGAGCCACGCCATGACAAAACCAACATAATGGGTTTGCGACCAGCATGGATCAAGACCAGTCTGCGCATCCATGCAGTCTGATCAGGATCCATGCTGTTCGCTATCAGTTTCTCTACTTGTTATAGGGTTTGTAAGCGAACAGTATGGATCCTGATCAGACTGCGTGGATGCGCAGCCTGGTCTGGATCCATGCTGGTAGCAAACCCATTATGTTGGGTTTGTCATGGCACGGCTCATATAACAATACTATAGTCACTGAAAAATATCTCAAATTCCAATATGAAATAACTAAATATCTCTCTTAATTTTAAATTATACAAGTGGGTTATACAGTTTATATCTTATTAGCATTTTAGTGTCAATCTTATTAGCGTTTCTATAATTTTTAAATTATACAATATAATAGTATACTATACATGTAATATCCATATATATTGTACAAGTTGTTTAGATACCTGGTCAATAAGTAAAGATACTAATGCTGTTGTTCCTTTATACACCTTGTGAGCATCAAATATACCACTAGGTTTATATACATCTATATAATCTCGCGGTATAACAGGAACGCGCCCACATCCTAGTGATACAACACAGCCCAGGGGTCGCACTAAATCGGGCTCATTCTGTAAATATGTAATAATAAATAATAAACTGTAATCTTTGTAAAATTAAGAAAATCAAAATTAAGACAAGTTGCCATATACAAAACATATAAATTTAAAACATCATTTTTTAGAAATTATATCATAACTTTACATCAATACTAATAATATGTAAGATATAATGGGCTGATGAATAGAAATCTTTATATAAAAAATGTCTTGCATATTAATCATATAAATTACTTCTCAAACATTTGACAATTTTGCAAACATACATTATGCTTGGATTAAACCCTTTTTTGTTAAATAGAAACATCAATTTTTAACATGCATCATTCATCTGCCCTGTGAGTGCAGGAAAAGCACAAATAAAAATAGCTAAATCAAAGCTGGCATGCTTTGGGAACATATACAAAATAATTGGTGACAAAATCATGTCTCTCCTAATATCTACACAACTTATACTATACATGTACATAGCTTGATCCATATTTCATAAATATAACAAATAACACCCCAATGAAAACAAGCTTTGCTACAATTTCATGAAGAAACATATTTACAAATAAATGAAATGTAATGTCTTTAAAGGAACTTCTAAGTTAAAACTGTCCAAACTGTAGTTTACAAATCTAATACATTTCACAATATGACATTTTCAGTGATGCAGTTTTCATATCAATGAATTTCAAAGGTTGTTGACAACCTTCATTTATAAATCTATACACCCACAATTAGTCATTCTCTATTAACATACATATTGCAGAATAAAACAATATGAGCCGTGTCATGACAAAACCAACATAATGGGTTTGCGACCAGCATGGATCCAGACCAGCCTGCGCATCCGCGCAGTCTGATCAGGATCCATGCTGTTCGCTTACAAACCCTATAACAAGTATCGAAACTGATAGCGAACAGCATGGATCCTGATCAGACTGCGCGGATGCGCAGGCTGGTCTGGATCCATGCTGGTCGCAAACACACTATGTTGGTTTTGTCGTGACACGGCTCATATATACCTATATGAAATATAAACTGTTTAACTGTTCAATAGAACAAGGACTGATATCATAATTGCTGAACAAATGTTGGTGTCTATATCAATCCTTTATCATAGTGTTATATCAATGACTTATGATTAATGGAAATGAGTGTCAAGCATCAATAATGTACACACATCATATTTCATAACTTTTATCATATATAATACTTCAATTAAGATATGTTTGTTTGTTTGTTTCATTTTACGCCTTTTCTCAACAGTATTTCAGTCATATAGGCGGGTAGTTTCCTAACCATCGTTCCTGGAGAGTTACACCAGTACTAGACTACCTTCCTCCGTGCTAAACTACCAAAACATCTCTCGGGGATTGAACCCACACCAGAGAGGTAACTGAATTAGAAGTCATCGACTCTAACCCCTCGACCACGGAGGCGGTCTCAATTAAGATATATATGTATAAAAGAAGACATGTAAAACTGTTACAATAATTAATTGCTGGTAGAAATATGTCAATATATTTTCCAGATTTAGTATCTAATTATCTACACATATCAACATATATATGTTAATAATAATGTATCAATAAATTTAAATAATGAAGATTTTCTTAAGTTTACCAAACAGAACCTTTATAAGATAAAATTTGATATTCACAAAATATGAAGCAAGCCAAACATAAGAATTCTCATATGGTTTACATAACTAAGATTTGCCTGACATAAAAAGAAAGTAGACATTGTTGTTGGGGGGGAGTGTTGAAGAGGATGAAACAAATAAAATAGATTTTGGGGATGGATCCTGTAACAAACACCTGAAATATAACTTAACCCATAACCTGCTGTATGTATATATATAGTGTTTTATCCCTACAGTCAATTTAATTTTTAAGGTATTTTGATATATAAATACAATACACAGCCTAGGTCAGACTGTACAGATGTAATGACTGGAATGGTTCTACACTTGTTGCAAAGGTTAGTCCCTTTTTATTTCCAGCAGGTTATAGTTTAAGAGACAGAAATGAAAGAATAATTCTCACATTTATCTAACTGCATTCACAATAAAGCTGAAATGTATTAGTGTAGCTACTACAGTGGTGAAACAAATCAACATATTCAACATAAATATAGAATGAACATATTCAACATAAATATATATGTATGCTGACATTGGATAATTATATATACATATCATTGCATAGGTAACAACCTGTAAAGTTCCACCAAGTTTTTCTTGTTTCTGAATGGCACACCATCTCTACATAATCAACAGAAACATACACACATCATAAATATCTTTATACTTGATGGTTTACTGCTGATGCCAAATGTCAAGCTTTTGAAATCATGCCAAGTAACTTATAACACAAAGGTCACAGGTCAGCAATATGATTCCATCAGCATCTAATATGTCAGTGTTTTACCAAACTTTTATAACATATAAAAATAATTCTTATTAAATCAAATATTCAATTTCATTTTCAGAAAAGAATATCGGGACTGGCATTTTACATATTTTTCAAGAACAAGAATAACACTTGTTAACAAAGAATGATATCATTTTTCAGAAGATAAATATAAAACTGTTTCTCTTAACAGAAATATGTTATATAATCGGGTGCTAACATTTAGTTATTGAAGCTTCTGTTATTATAGAATACTGGCAGGTGGAACACTATGCCTGCATGTATTACATTACCAGAATGGATTATTGTACAAATAACAAATATATTGTATTTTGAGAAACATACTGACTGCAAAAAAATAATTATGTGAACATTATGCACCTCTTAAACAGACATATTTACTACATTTGATTATACTGAAAATAAGACACCATACAAGGAAACAGTCTATAAACTTCATGAAATATATTAAAACATTTACCCTGAACTTTAATCCTGTGTTATACTCGTGTAATTCTGTTAGAACATCAAGTGTAGGATTATTTGAGATTAACCCTCCGTCCATATATTGTCTGAATGCACGGAAATATGTCGGTGCTGCCCCCGTACTTCTTGCTGTCCTCCATATCAACTGCTCTGTTTAAAGCAATGTTACATACTTGTATGAGCCGTGTCACGACAAAACCAACATAATGGGTTTGCGACCAGCATGGATCCAGACCAGCCTGCGCATCCGCGCAGTCTGATCAGGATCCATGCTGTTCGCTATCAGTTTCTGTACTTGTAATAGACTTGGTAAGCGAACAGCATGGATCCTGATCAGACTGCGCGGATGCGCAGGCTGGTCTGGATCCATGCTGGTCGCAAACCCATTATGTTGGTTTTGTCGTGACACGGCTCATATCTATCATAAATACTCATATTTATTACAATTGTATATACAAATAAAATATAATTCATACGACAATAATAGTACGATAACAATTTGAATGTCCAAATGTATATGATACTGGGTGAAAATAAAGAAAAGTCTGCTAGGGGAAGTTTTTGAGAAAAAAAACAAAACAAAAAAAACACACACACAAAACTTTAAAATCTATTGAACACAAGAGCAAAAGCCTCTAAAGTCTACTATGACTCAAGTGAGCTAATATAGTGGCTAATGTGACTAACAATTTACCAGCATATGCTGTTATTTATATATGTGATATTTTGAAATATACAAGATCATTTGAATATATAACTGAGCTAAATTCATGTAAATTGATTACTGTTTTAAGACACTTTACAAGCAGGAATATATAAATACTTGTAAGATTTTATAAATGTAAGAATATTAGATCTTGTAGCTGTATACAATAATATATGTCTAACCATGTGGCTGTGGAATTTTTTCAAACTGGTCATTATTTCCTTTAGTTTCTACAGGTTTATCTAATGTTGGTTGATAGTTACGGAACATATGTAACTCAGCCGGAAACCTGTCTGCCAAAATAGCTGTCACCATTAATCTACAACAAGAAGAACCATTTCAATAAAAAAAGTTTATCTTGCCTAATATAAATAGACATTTAAACTTTACAAATCTTAAATCTGAAATAACAGAGTAATATTGTCTACATAATAACTATTTTATATATAAAATCATTGATATAAGCTTAGATACAATATCATTATTCATTTGATATCATCAACAATAACAACAACAACAATTATGATTTCATATCAATCATGTATATATTCATAAACAACATGCTGAAACAGGAAATGAAATTAGAAGCTTGGATGTGTGTTACAGGTTTGTCTATATTTGACATTTGAAATATCCATTGAAGATTAAAATATAAAAACTGAGAAGCTTATCCTATATCGACTGGTCAAACTGCTAAATGCTGGCCTATATACTGGTTTGTGTTTATGTTAGCTTCTGTTTGGGTTGGTGCTAGGGGGTGTGGACGGAAGCTTTCAATTACCACTAACATCCATGAACAGGTTCAATCAAACCAAGCCTGCAACATTTTCAATTTTGCTATGTTGGGCTTTCTTTGGGGATTCTGTTTTTCTCTATTCTATACTGGTGCCACAATCAAATCATAATTGTTACTAGCATTAATGGAGTTTTGATCAGTTCATATAAACAAAATAACTTATTATACTACAGGACACAACAATTATCTTACTTTGGTGTTTTAATGTCTGTCATAACTTTGGTTTCTCCAAACTCTCTCTTCAACAACATTTCAAAAGGTTCCGAGTCATACGGTCTTGATCCCTTGAAAACTTCATCTTTCAATCGGAAATACATTCCTCTAATATATGAAATGTTTTTACCTTAAAAAAACCCAGAATATTTAGCATATTACAATAGGTTATTTCAAGTAATATAGTAATATTATACAGGTATTGTATAATTATCTGTCACATCAACACTGCTAAGAAATTCAAGTAAGAAAATTTAAGTCATTATTCAATTATTCAGAATTCTGGGAGCAAAAAATTAAGAAGTACTTCCAGCTCTCCATTCATTATTTCATAGGTGAGTAAATACCTTAACAGTACTACAAAAGTTCAATATGATAGTATGATAGCTCCCTTTTTCCCTGAGATCAACAACATCAGCATGTTTCACAGCATTGCAGAAATACATCAAAGTATAAGACCTATAACATTTAATCACTGCTGGAATTATTGTATGTTATTACAATGTAAGTAACAAAGAAGAAGAGGCAACATGTAAAATTAGAACTGATACATTGTTAGACAATAGTTTTACCTCCTGTTTTCCTAAATCAATATAAAATATTAATAATAAAAGCTTACAACTTAAATATTCCCTTTAATTCACCTATACATATTGCAATAAGAGAGTGCAGCTCTATTACTGGACTCTCTTATTTACTTACCTACACCTATTGCCAAGGCTAGAAGACCCCCGGTACTTGTTCCACCTATCCAGTCAAACATATCCTTGAGTGGTACCCCAGCTGCTTCTTGTAATGCAGCTAACAATTGAACAAGAACCAGCCCTCTTATACCTCCACCATCAAGACATAATATCTGTAGATTTATACACATATCATTGTTTATTATATACTTATAAATGAAATATTGAGGAATATTGATGAAATAAAATGCATAATTTCATTTTCCGTATTTTCACTGTAAAAATTTATTTTTCACTGCAGTGAAACATATTTTCCGTATTTTCACTGGTGTCTTGCCGGACTACTTTCTGTCAAATTCTGCCAGTAAACAAAATTTAAGGGAAAGATGATTTATTTTCATCTTGTGGCATGAAAATTACCATATTTCACTTGTGGCTACCGCCACTCATGAAATATTTATTTTCATACCACTCGATGAAAATAAATCATGTATTTATAGAAAAAACTTGAATATCCTCTATCTATTCAACAACATAATATTTATTTATTTCTCTTGATTTATTAACACACATGTGGATCAACATCTGTAATATTTTAGTATTTATAAACTTGTTTCAACTGAATTTTATTTAAGTGAAGCTACATTAGGTTGTAAATAATCTGCAGAATTATTGTTTGTACAAAAAAAATAAGGATCATACCAAAGAACCTAAATAGAAAGAATGATTTTTGTAAAAATTCTTAAGAGAATAAGCGGCGTACACATGGAATTATTGCTAAATCCCTTTCCATGTTGTAACTTTTAAGAAGTGACTGTTAGGATATGAAAACAGGATAAGAAAACAAGATACGAAAGAACGGTTTCTAATTAAATTATTATTCTTTTTGCATATAAACACACCCTTAGAAGAAAAATAATTACGATTTACGTATATCAATGATTTTGTTCTCCTAATTTTGTTGTTGATGTAACATACTATAAACATGATCATATTTTATAAAATGTTTAACTCACTCTATCTCCTATATCTGTAGGTCCATCAGCAAGGTCCAGTAATGCCTCCCCTTTACCGTTATCATATTTAGCAGTACAACTAACAGCAGTACATAACATGTCATCAAATAAAGCTGTAAACAACAACAAATATTGATTATATTACACGCATAAACTGTTACAGATTTTTAATGAATTAATCTTACTTATCGCCCAAATCAAATTCAACAGATCTCGAAGTAAATACATTGTACAATGTACATTTAAAAATAACAAGCAATTATCATAGTATTGCAAGCAATCCATAAGTCCCCTACCGGTTAGAACCCCATCAACATTCTGAAGGGCCATTGGCCATTCACTTATGTTTCAATTTTTCTCTATTTTAAGTAAATTTGTTGGAAAAGCTCTTTAAAAATGATCACAGGAAACAGTTTTTATGAACAGACAGACAGACGGACTGAAGGACACTCTAAAGTTAATATTTGAAACATCCCTGTTACCAAAATATAACATTTTGAAAAGCAAAATTCTTAAAGAGGAGATAACTCTGGAATTAAAGATGCAATTTCATAAAAATTTCAGCTCTTTTTGACTAATCACAAATATTGTTATATTTGCCATGTTTTAAGCCTATTTGTTGCCAAGGCAACCAATATTTTTATCAAAATAGGAAGAACAGATAAGACATGCATAATCTCCAGACTGCCATCTACACATATTACAAGTTTCATAAAAATATTTCTATTACTTTTTGCGTTAACACTGGATCCAGTTTATGTGTAAAAATTGCCATATTTTCAGTCTATTTGTTGACATAGCAACCAGAATTTTCAACATAGGAATAAAAGAAAAAGACGTGCATAACCTCCAGACTGCCATCTACCCATATTTCAAGTTTGATAAAAATATTTCCAGCACTTTTTGAGTTATCACTGGATCCAGTTTATGTGTAAAATTTACCATATTTTCAGCCTATTTGTTGCCATAGCAACCAGAATTTTCAACATAGGAACAAAAGAAAAAGACGTGCATAATCTCCATAGTGCCATCTATCCATATATCAAATTTCATAAAAATATTTTCAGTACTTTTCAAGTTATCGCGGGATCCAGTTTTGTGGACGGACGGACTGACAGACAGACGGACAGACAGACGGAGGGTAAACCGGTAGGGCACTAATAAATTGCAAATAAAGTAAATAATGTATCAAAGGCAAAAACTTTTAGTGTAGATTTTATGCAGATGACATGTTCATGGATTTTTCTGTTTCTACATCAGGTTAACAAGATATCCTTTTATCAATCTTGATGAAGAATCTTTTACTCAGTTTAAAACAGCCATTTTTATAACACAGCAGAGTTAAGCCAGTCTCTCAGAGACCTGCTGGGGGAATGTCTTGATCAAGGAAATTAGCAGTTCCCTTGATAGGTTCTTAACCAATAATTCTTTATCTATAAGCAAGTGACCTATAACTGGACCACAACTTTCCTACATGTCTGAAGTTACTGTACCAACTTACAGATATGTTATTCCATTCTTTATATCAAATTTTATCATAGACTTCATAGCACATGTACATAGATTTAACACCTTGACTGACAAAAAAACTTTGGAGAACAAGGTATTGATATGTTTGCATTAAGACGCACCCATTTTGTCAAGGTTGAACAAAGATTTGCATCGTTCATCAGGCTTTCCATTAAATCTTCCTTCAGATGAGCAACCTGCCATACAGCCTTTTACTGATGAGTCACATCTCTTAGCACCAGAAACATGCAACATGTGTAATATCACATCCCTGTAATCATAAACAATGTAGTAATATCACATCCCTGTAATCATAAACAATGTAGTAATATCACATCCATGTAATCATAAACAATGTAGTAATCACATCCATGTAATCATAAACAATGTAGTAATATCACATCCCTGTAATCATAAACAATGTAGTAATATCACATCCATGTAATCATAAACAATGTAGTAATATCACATCCATGTAATCATAAACAATGTAGTAATATCACATCCCTGTAATCATAAAACAATGTAGTAATATCACATCCCTGTAATCATAAACAATGTAGTAATATCACATCCCTGTAATCATAAACAATGTAGTAATATCACATCCCTGTAATCATAAACAATGTAGTAATATCACATCCATGTAATCATAAACAATGTTGTAATATCACATCCCTGTAATCATAAACAATATTGTCAATATCACATCCCTGTAATCATAAACAATATTGTAATATAATATCACATCCCTGTAATCATAAACAATATTGTAATATAATATCACATCCCTGTAATCATAAACAATATTGTAGTAATATCACATCCTTTTTATCATAAACAATATTGTAATATAATATCACATCCCTGTAATCATAAACAATATTGTAATATAATATTACATCCCTGTAATCATAAACAATATTGTAATATAATATTACATCCTTTTTATCATAAACAATATTGTAATATAATATCACATCCTTTTTATCATAAACAATATTGTAATATAATATTACATCCCTGTAATCATAAACAATATTGTAATATAATATTACATCCCTGTAATCATAAACAATGTAGTAATATTACATCCCTGTAATCATAAACAATATTGTAGTAATAGTACATCCCTGTAATCATAAACAATATTGTAATCACACACATGTACAATACAATCAAACTTCATTCGCTCGAACTCGGCCTGTGCAAATTTGTTCGAGAGATTGGTAATTCCAGCCAACCAAGGTTAAACTATTATTATGTAGGACATTGGTCTAAAGGTTTTCCAGCTTACATTGGTCAAATGATAAATACATCAACATAATTGTTTTTTAGTACATTAGTTCGTCAAATACATCATTTCTTGTAAAAATTAACAAATGAGTATTAACAGGAAACTGTGTTTATCTATATTCATGCATATTGTTATTGGTTGAGTTTGATTAGACAAACATTTTCCAATCTTGTTAAACAATGTTCAAAATATATTTATATGTTTATTATGGGATAAATTCTATTTTTAACAATTAATAAATAAAATATTTAAAAAAAAATCATTTTACAGCAGTCAGTTACTAAAATAAAAAACCTACAAGTATCATTCATAGATTTATTATACGGTTACAGTACATGTTACATATACCGTGGCTGTAATTAAAGCCTTCCGGGTAGTCATTTATTGACCTTTGCACAGTTAGTTTCTTTTTATCGTTACTAAAAACGTCAAATAAACAATATTATCATAACAAACAAACCATTTAAACACCTCAATTATAATTGCCTTTATCACGATCACGAGGTGTTAAAAACATGTGTTGCCGGCTGTCACTAATTCAGGACATGTCGACCCGTAAATTTTGTTGTCTTTTTGTGTTTGTGTTTTTGTGGAACAATATATTATTATGTAAAAAGTTTTCCAGAACTGGGCAATGAGTTCGAGCGAAGGAAAGGTATTCCAGTGATCAAGTTCGAGCGAACGAAGTATAACTGTACTATTAGACTAGAAATGTGTCATCATGCCACGGATGCCCCCGCATGCAGCCAAAATTTCAAATGTTATAATATTTAGTTCCAAATTTGTTTGCACAAATTATTTTTTTCATTCTAAGTTCATAGCCCTTAAAACTTTTCAATGTTAACACAAACCATTTTTATACAATGTTCAAGGCACTGAAATTATTCAGTCTTAACCATTTTTTATACAATGTTTCAAGGCACTGAAATTATTCAGTCTTAACCTTTAAAAATAGCATATTGCATATTTGTAGCCAACATAATGGCTATATACATTTCCACAAAAGTATGAGTGCTGAAACTGAAAGTTCAAATTTTTTCCAACATTCAGGAAAGATAAGTTTGTCTAAAATCATTGAACCACGACCAAATTCAAAACTTAAACTGCTTATTCCTAAGATGTATCTATATTATTTTCAAAGTGAAAGGGACATAAACTCTGCCAAAAATCATCGAACCATGACCAAATTCCAACTTGACCTGCGCATTCCTTTGACATATCCATATGTCAATTTTGAGTTGAATATGTAACACTGTTGGGTTGATAATGAACAGAAACTGTAAATTTCATATCATTTTCAAAGTGAAAGGGGCATTACTCTGCCAAAAATCATTGAACCATGACCAGATTCGAACTTGGTCTGCGCATTCCAAAAACATATCCATATGTCAAATTTGAGTTGAATGTGTAATATTGTTGGGGAGATAATAAACGGAAACTGAAAATTTCATATTATTTTTAAAGTGAAAGGGGCATAACTCAGCCAAAAATCATCCAACCATGACCAAATTTGAAATTGACCTGCGCATTCCTTTGACGTATCAATATGTCAAATTTGAGTTGAATGTTTAATACTGTTGGGGAGATAATAAACGGAAACTGAAAATTTCATATTATTTTCAAAGTAAAAGGGGCATAACTCTGCCAAAAATCATCGAACCATGACCAAATTTGAACTTGACCTGCGCATTCCGTTGCATATAGATATGTCAAGTTTGAGCTAAATGTGTTGTACCATTGGGGAGTTAATGAACGGAAACTGAAAATTTCATATTATTTTAAAAGTAAAAGGGGCATAACTCTGCCAAAAATCATCGAACCATGACCAAATTTGAAATTGACCTGTATTTTCTCATGACATATCAATATGTCAAGTTTGAGTTGAATGTGTTGTACCGTTGGGGAGATAATGAACGGAAACTGAAAATTTCTGTTATTTTCAAAGTAAAAGGGGCATAACTCTGCCAAAAATCATCGAACCATGACCAATTTCGAACTTGACCTGTATTTTCTCATGACATATCCATATGTCAATTTTGAATTGAATGTTTTGAACCGTTTGGGAGATAATGAACGGAAACTGAAAATTTCATATTATTTTCAATGTAAAAGGGGCATAACTCTGCCAAAAATCATCGAACCATGACCAATTTCGAACTTGACCTGTATTTTCTCATGACATATCCATATGTCAAATTTGAGTTCAATATGTGCAAGGGTTATTAAGATAATGAACGGAAACTGATGATGACGGAAGGACGGAATGACGGAATGACGGAATGACGGAACAGGGTAACACTATATGCCCCTGCCATTATATGGCGGGGGCATAAAAATGATTATGTGTACAAACAGGACTGCTGACAATACAAAGTAAAACAGTACTTTTGGAACACAAACCAATCTTTCAGAAATTGTTCCACTCTTGGATAATCATAAGTAAATTGGACTCCTCATTTAAGTTTTGTAACAGAATAGGTATTAAACTGTGCTTACTTATTTTTGCCTTTTGACACAGCAGCAACGTGTCTCGGAGAATGACTGGTAGAATTTTTCTGGTTAACATCAGCTCCAAATACCACAAATATTCTCACAAGGTCTATATCATCTTGCTGTAAATAAAAATGTTAATACATTAACTATGTTATGATGTTCAACAACCATATCAACATATAATGTTAGGACGTGTACTAAACAGATGCCCCTCTTCTATTAATGAATGTGATTCATTAAAAAAATTTATAATATTTACATAAATAAACTAACTTTTGCACCTTATATCATAAAATACTGGACTATTACCCAAAGACAAATGATGTCTTAGTGAAATAAATATACGGCAAAAGTTATTCCCCTTCAACATATCTGGCGGTATTACCTCATTCAATCCAATTACCAAACTATTGGAATAAATTCAGTACATGTGTGAAAAGAAAACAACACAGGACTGTCATAATTATAGAAACGTAATAAACACATTTCAATAATTTCAAAAACAGTACAACATAAGCACCAATTGAACCCACATAACTTTATTAAGCAAGTTATTCCCCTTCAACTTTATCCACATATTGCTCTGATATTAGCTTTTATCATGAAATAAAAGGCATAAAATACACTACTGATTGAAGATTTCTTGGTAAAAAAATTACTTGAGGGTTGTAAACGGTGTACCAGACAAGTGGACTACAGGAAGCCAATTTGTGCACCACTTCTTATGAAAATATTTAAAAATTTAACTTTCATGTAATGTACAGATAGGTATGAAGAAAGTCTTTATAGACAGCACATTAACTATCTTACCAAGGGTTATTTAGAGTGAGTGAAGGAATTAGCACATCAAAATCAAACCTACCTCTTCACTACAAAGATATTTACTTTATTGGAGAAACTATAGTTACTAATGTGACAAAAATTAACAAAGTGTGACATCCATTATAAAAAAAAATGTCTGACATTGACGATATTACAGAAAACCTTTGCCTGGACATTGACCACCTTCACAAAAAGGAATCAAAATAAAGTTGTTTCCACTCTTGAAAATGATATGGACGATCTGCAGCGCAAAGCAATTGCAAACAATATGCGCATTTTCTGATGGCAGGTAAATCATTCGTTACGTGAACTTGATCCTAAAATTTATCTAATTAATGATGTCTTTAAAATAGCCAGTCCATCAACATCATGGGACCTAGACAATGTTCAACATATTAAGGTTTTCAATGTTAGGGACAAAGTAAAGTCATCCATGATAATAGTTTCATTTTGCTATGACGATAAAATGCCCGTTGTAAGGGGTTGAGAGGAGTTGTGCTAATATGGAATACCTGTCAGTAACAGTTTAACTAAACTTCAGCATGCTATATTACAATCCTTAAGGCAATATGGGAAATATGGTTATCATTATAAGTCTTTACTATATGTACCGGTACATGATGAAAATCAATGACCTCTGGGTGGGGCCAATTTTGACCGCAGGGTTATAATTTGAACAATCTTGGTATAGGTTCACTACACAATGTTTCATGCCAAATATCTAACCTTGGTCAATACAGTTTCTACTATAGACATATAAGGAAAACCTATGACCCCAGGAAAGGGCCAATTTTGGAACTAGGGGCAAATATCAAACAACTTTTGTAGAGGACCTATAGATGATATTACATATTAAATATCAAAGTTCTGAGCTTTGTACTTTCAGACAAGAATGTTTTAAATTTGCATTTTTGAAACTCCTTTTTTGGCCAAATGACCTACTTATGCAACAGACTTGAAAAACTTTAAAAAGGGACCTCCCAAGGATTATTCCTGTAAAGTTTGTTTACTGTGCAATCATTGGTTTCAGAGAAGATGTTATTTGAATTAATTGTTGACGATATGCAGGGCGATGGACAGTGGGGGATCACAATAGCTCACCATAAGCATGTTGTGCTCAGGTGAGCTAAAAAGTTGTACAAAACTATTATATAACAAATATGTAAGTATATTCTATATGAAGTGTAAATAATGGTTTAACTACATGTAGTTGCTATAGTTTATGGGACATTGTGCTAACTAGTTACTATGGTTCATAGGATAACAAGGACTTTTTTATTTACCATATTAACCTGACAGTTTTAGTTAATATAACAATTAATGAACATTAATCTAAGATGTGCTCAAATGTGACATAGACAACTAATATTGATCTTCAAATCTTGTGATCATATGGGCATAGTACTTATTTTTACATGTATTTAAAACATTTTAATGAATGACCAAATGAACAACTGTACAAAAAACCAAAAAAAACCCCCCAAAAAAAACAAAACAAGAGGGCCATGATGGCCCTGAATTGCTCACCAGAAACAACAGCTTTTCAGTGTTTGTCCATTGTCAATATTGTCCATTGTCAATATTTTCTAATATCAAATTTGAGCATAGAATATGTTTCAACAATAATTTGAAGAAATGCCATGACCTGGGGCATTTAAGCTTTAGCTTAAATAGGGCCATTATATTAATATGAGCAAACTTGATAAAAGACTACCTAAGAATGCTACAAAGTTTGGTGATCATTTATCAATTATTTCAGTAGGAAATGATGTTCAAAGGTTTTTCTATTTTTAGCTTTAGCGGCCCCTAAAAGGGGTTAATCAAATAAATATGAGCAAACTTGATAAAAGAGTACCTAAGAATGCTACAGACATGTTTGGTCATCATCCATCAACTAGTTCTATAGAAATAGACGTTAAAAGGTATTTCTTTTTTGAGCTTTTGCAGCCCCTAAAAAGGGCCAATCAAATTAATATGAGCAAACTTGATAAAAGACTACCCAAGAATGCTACAGACAAAGTTTGGTGATCATCCATCAATTAGTTTTGTAGTAGAAGATGTTTAAAGGTTTTTCTATTTTTAGCTCTACCTCTAAAAGGGGCCAATTGGAATATAATGAGCAAATTCAAGTGTGACTGTCACAAGGATGCTACAGACCAAATTTGAAGTAAATCTGTCCAGCAGTTTCAGAGAAGATGATTGTTGACGCATAACGATGGATGCCGGAGCATCCCCCTTTGATACTAATAGCTCAGTCTGAACCTTCAGTTCTGGTGAGCTAAAAAACAACAACCTAAATATCTAATATGTTCAAGGTCCATGCAAATTAAGAAACATTTAAAACATCAACATAAAATAGAAAATATGTTAGATATAACCAAAAACTGTTGGAGAAAGAGGTGGTTAACTCAGGCAAATATTTGTTATAGAGGGAATGTTTATTATGAGCTTGAAGAAAAATTTATGACATTAACTATAAAGTACTTCAAGAGTTAAATATTAAAATTCCTTTTTATATTTCATTACAATATGAAATGCTGCAGGCTTTTAATGTTTGAATGATAGATAATAATCAAGAGATAGTATTAAAATATCATCACTGAGACATTCTGGATATATCATAAATATTAAATCAAGCTTATTGGTCACCCAAACTCAATAATGTCCACTTACACTAGTCTTCATCTTGGTGTGTTGCTGCCACTAAAACATGTAATCACAGTTAGTTCACAAATCTAGCTTACCATTATAATGTTGCAACTAAAGCTACAAAGCCTTTGCCACTAGCAGAGATCCTTGCAGAGATCCAGGCAGGTCAGAACTGCTGCACTTTCTGACCAGGTTCTATACTGTTGGCTAACTATAGCCAAATTCCTTATTTCCATTAAGATATCCTAAGAGAGCGCCCTCAACTTTTATTTTTACAATGTACTTGATAATATAATAAGAACAGGTCCTTAAAAGTTAATAGATCTCCCATGATTATCCCAAAGACATGTATTAAGTTCCAGAATAATTTCCTGTGTTTGGTTAACACATATGAGCCACGTCACGACAAAACCAACGTACTGTGTTTGCTACCAGCATGGATCCAGACCAGCCTGCGCATCCACGCAGTCTGATCAGGATCCATGCTGTTCGCTTTCACTTTCTCTACTTGTAATAGGGTTAGTAAGTGCGCATGCGCAGGCTGGTCTGGATCCATGCTGGTTGCAAACGTATTATGTTGGTTTTGTCGTGACACAGCTCATATAACCCTAGCCCTCAAATCTTATTAGTAGCTAATTTGGCAAAGGTTTACCCATTCACTCAGTCAAGTAAATTTGTTGACACAGTAAAATAAAGTTTTGTTCTTGTAAGAAGAAATGTAAGTTAGCAAATAATTCATTAACTACATAAACACAAAACTTTGACCTTGTGGTCTCTAAAGTCCAGCCACAGTTAGAAAACTACCCAAGGTATGAAGACATTCGTCAATCAATAATAAGCTGTATAAGCAAGTGTTAATATATTTTAAGCACCACTTAATTGACTTTGTGACCCCCAAACTTTATCGAATATTCCTACTATAAACATGTATCTAAAATATCTGCAAATAAATAAAAGCTGTATGAGCAAAAGTGTACAAATCTAGTTTAACTCAGTTGATTGTGACCTTGTACCTGGTAATCCAGCCTCAAACTAAGGTTAGAAAGGCACTCTTGTTTGCATGATTGTGTCAGTTCAGTGTTTGAAATCTTGATAGGAAATTTATATCAGTAGTCAATGCAAAAGCAAAATTTTATAAACTTGCTTAATTTGAATAGCTTAACACATTAACAAAACTACCTGAAGTCTACTTCAAATACAGTAGATCAGCTGTGTTTAGAAATAGACACAAAAAATGACAAAATTTAGTGAAGATTCTATGGCCGAAATTTCGAAAATTCAAGCAAAAATATGTAACTAGTTATACATGTATTACATTGATCAAAGGTATATTTAGGTTGTATCAACTATTACATGACATGCATTTATACAACACAGAAAAACAAGCATCACTACTAGCTACATTACAGCATAAATGTAGGCACACACTATAACACAACATGGACACATACAGAGATGATATGATGTATGACATGATGTATTACCTGTACAGCTATATGTAGAGGTGTGTCACCATTACTGTCACCTATATTACACAATGCTCCATAACACAACAGCTCCATTAGACAGTCTGTACGATTCTTCATCAACATTATCATTATAGGAGCATGATTTGTACCACTTAATCCATCAACATCACAGCCTAGCTTACATAGTAACTCTGTTACCTAGGCAACATATAGAAAAATAATTCCCTGGTATTATACATGTATCATAAATGACAAAAATATACACAACAAGAGCAGGTTGAACTGGGTGATGCTCCCCGACTAGGTTTTGGACACAGAAAAGTATATCTTTGTAGTTTCAGAGTTATGTCCCAGACAAAGTTCAAAGTGTGAAAATTCCAAACTTAGGCAATGCAGAGTTACTGTTCTTTGCACTGCCTTTCTACTCAATTAGATCTATCTACTGACTTGCACGCAACACGTCAAGGTAGCAACCCAAATGTTGCACGCGACACATCATTTCAATATGGTGATCATTTATGTGAAATAGTTGCAAAATCCGCCTTCAAATAACAAAGTTATGGGCTGGACACGAATTCGGGACGTACGTACGTATGGACTGACTGACTGACTGACGGACGGACAACCTGGCGACTATATGCTCCCCCGAAATTTTACGGGGAGCATAAAAGTATGTGGTGTTATTTAATATATGATAATATATCAGTTTTTTATTTCAAAATCTTCGGTATTCAATAAATTTTAATCATTTATAACATAGCTATAAAGGAAGAGTGATTGTAAATAATCTAATGCCAAAGTTATTGAAAAATAATGTTTTGAAAATAACCGATTTGCTACGATATTGGCCGATGTTAGAATTTTTTTCAAAATAAGCTTGAATCCTAAAGCTTCACAAAGTCCTAAGTCATGAAATGAACATAGAAAAACATTTATATATTACAATCTACAAAATATACCTCTCTAGTTTTAGCCCAGTGGAGTGGTCTCCCATTATATTTCTTGTCTCCTGCCTCTTTCTGACTTGGATGTTTCTTTATGATCAGCTCTATAATCCTGAAACAAAAACTCTTAACATTAACTAATTAATAAATGACAAAACGTTTGTTTAAAATTTTTACTAGTAAACTATAAATGTTAAAAAAAATTAAGGAATATATCACATGTATATTTCTTGGTTAGTTAAATAAGTCAAGAATAAATACATTAATTTTGTAACAAAGTCAAAATCAACATTTAATAAAGACAATGGAAAAGACATCATTTTCAAGAATCTCTGATAATTATATTAATTCTTGTTAAAATAAACAAGATGGTCATGGTGGCAATTAGTAATAACATGTGGAAATAAGCTATTAGAGTACATAAGGCAGGGTCCTTTATTTACCTCAGGGGAATGACTCATGACTTCTGTAAATTCCACTAAGCAATGCTACTACATGTATACCAAATGTGTAACTTAAGGCCATAAAGTTTAAGCATAAATGATATATGCTTTCCTATTTAAATCCTTGTAAACTGACTGACCAATTTTGGCCCTGGGACCTGATTTTTATTACTTTTGTTAAGGAAAAAAAAGCTGATGCCACATACTAAATATCTCAACCCTGGAACGGAATCTTTTTTATTTTAGAAGTTTTTTTTCAGCTCCTGTGACCTACATGTACATGTACTCATGCATCAGACTAGAACCATCTATATAACTACTTTATGGGGTAACCTATCCTTACTATGCTGTTTTAGTTCTATCATAAATGTTTATGCACTTTTTATTATAAGTTAGTGAATTTATTAATCTATTTATTTATTTATTTTTTAGGAAATCTTCAATTATGTATAAATTCTAGATGTTAACTTTAAACTATTACTATTTTATTAATTTTTAAATTTTTATTATTATTGTTTTCATTTATTTCACATTGCTACATGTATCATACTTAAATTTCTAGACTACAGTCATCTATTACTTTTATAAACTGTTATTACTTTTAATATAATATGTACTGTACATGTCATCAAACTATGCCTTAATTTACCATCTTATTGTAAAGTTCTTCTTAACCTTGATACTTTTATTTCATGCTTAAAGCTGCTACTAGTTTTATATGTTTTTATTTTCAGATCTGTTATATGTTAGTAAATATGTTTTATGCCTTTGTTATTGTCGGTAAATAGCTTATTAGCTAATGTTTCTTGTAATATGTAAACCGACTTAAAATAAAGTTTCTTGTATCTTGTTGTGCAGTTTGGTCAAAATTCACCGTGTGGTTTCAGAGATGTTGTTCAAAGAAACTGTTGATAACAAAAGACGATGGACAACAATGGACAGACAACATGCAATCACAAAGCTCATCTCTGAATACATTGTTCTCAGGTAAGTTAAAACTTCATTCAAAAAAGAAAAAGGTTATAAAATCATTCAAATCCTTTTGATTAAAGAATGTTCCAAAATTCTTCAATTACTGACAATTACAAATATTGTTTAAATAAGAAAGGTTTGCTAGTTAATAATGAAATGACAATAGATAACTCATTTTATTTTTAATAGCATTAATTGTTTTATTTTGTCATATATTTTTCAGAAGTTTATACTTTGTCTCCCCCAGGGTTACTGCTACATGTATAGGTAATCTGTTAGACTTGGATATAGCAGGATCAACCCCTCCCTCTAATAACGTCTCTACAATCACATGTTTCTCCACAGGGGGTTCGCCTGTAACAACATCAGGGGGGTTAAGACACGCTTTATATAGTGGTGTTTGACCTTTCTCATCCATCCAGTCATATACTTGATTCTTGTCTTGATCAAACAAAAACTGAAATCAAATCATTTCACTCGTAAAAACTAATTCTAAGAATAAAGTTACTTTATCTATAGTATTTACTGTAGGACACTTGTCTGCTATTTCAAGTTATCTAAGCAAATAAATATCCACTGATACATGTAGTTACCATTTTCAAATTGATAAATGAACATTTGTATTTCAATTCAATTCCTCAATAAGGTTGTACCTAAATAAAGATTATACAAGATTATCTCTACTTGCTTCAAAATGTAACAGAATACAGTTATTTGTATTATCTTTCAAAAACGTAACATACAGAATTTAGATCTATTAATAACATTGTTTGATTCAAAATTTCAAGTTTCAAAGTTAATATCACTATCTAAAGCTGTCACTGATTCAGATTAATATATTGATATCCAATGACAAATATCTATGATACACCAACATATATCAATAATAAGTTATGCATTTACTCTTTTGCACTTGTCTTTAATTCACTTTCATAACATTTTAAAAAATTTCAGTACAAGACATATTGTTCTGTTCATACAACTATGATGTGTACATTTATAAATGCCTATTGCATGATCTTTGTCCTGACCTTTTTTTGCAATCACTGCTATGAAATATTTCCATTACAAAATGATAACATAGTTTTAGACATGTAGTTTTGACTGGGAAAGTCAAAATAATTGATTTTTTTTTCAAATCTGTATCTATTACTGATCAACAGAAAAATATCAATGATACATCGATATTGATTCTATCGATGACAGATATACATTTATTAAAAAAAACAAAGTAATCCATGAATTATTTTAAATGGTATGACAATTCAATTATGACATGAAGACCTTTTTTTTTAATATTATAACATTACCTCTAACACCTCAGGTAGATGTTTTACAGCATAATGATATACTGTCATGCCCTTGAAGTCTGCCATATCAATCTGTGCATTATGTATCAACATCTCATGAACACAATGTTTTTCTCTACCTATCACACCTGCCATCAGTGGTGTAACACCTGATACACTGTCTGCAGCATTTATCATACTGTAAAATATATAAAATCAAAAGTGGTGTAACACCTGATACACTGTCAGCAGCATTTATCATACTGTAAAATATATAAAATCAATAGTGGTGTAACACCTGATTCACTGTCAGCAGCATTTATCATACTGTAAAATATATCAAATCAATAGTGATGTAACACCTGATACACTGTCAGCAGCATTTTTCATACTGTAAAATATATCAAATCAATAGTGGTGTCACACCTGATACACTGTCAGCAGCATTTATCATACTGTAAAATATATCAAATCAATAGTGATGTAACACCTGATACACTGTCAGCAGCATTTATCATACTGTAAAATATATCAAATCAATAGTGGTGTCACACCTGATACACTGTCAGCAGCATTTATAATACTGTAAAATATATCAAATCAATAGTGGTGTAACACCTGATACACTGTCAGCTGCATTTATCATACTGTAAAATATATCAAATCAATAGTGGTGTCACACCTGAAACACTGTCTGCAGCATTTATCATACTGTAAAATATATCAAATCAATAGTGATGTAACACCTGATACACTGTCAGCAGCATTTATCATACTGTAAAATATATCAAATCAATAGTGGTGTAACACCTGATACACTGTCAGCAGCATTTATCATACTGTTAAATATATCAAATCAATAGTGATGTAACACCTGATACACTGTCAGCAGCATTTATCATACTGTTAAATATATCAAATCAATAGTGGTGTAACACCTGATTCACTGTCAGCAGCATTTATCATACTGTAAAATATATCAAATAAATAGTGATGTAACACCTGATACACTGTCAGCAGCATTTTTCATACTGTAAAATATATCAAATCAATACTAGTGGTGTAACACCTGATACACTGTCAGCAGCATTTATCATACTGTAAAATATATCAAATCAATAGTGGTGTAACACCTGATACACTGTCAGCAGCATTTATCATACTGTAAAATATATCAAATCAATAGTGGTGTAACACCTGATACACTGTCAGCAGCATTTATCATACTGTAAAATATATCAAATCAATACTAGTGGTGTAACACCTGATACACTGTCAGCAGCATTTATCATACATAAAATCAATAGTGGTGTCACACCTGATACACTGTCTGCAGCATTTATCATACTGTAAAATATATCAAATAAATAGTGGTGTAACACCTGATACACTGTCTGCAGCATTTATCATACTGTAAAATACATCAAATCAATAGCGGTGTAACACCTGATACACTGTCAGCAGCATTTATCATACATAAAATCAATAGTGGTGTCACACCTGATACACTGTCTGCAGCATTTAGGGTAAAGGATCGCAAATACGGACAGATGACAATTTCGGACACCAAACTGTATAAATCTAATATCTTATAACTAATAAGCCATATGATTAAATTAAATAACCTACTTTTACTTTGAATACGAATATCCTTATCTACAATGTGAATTATTATGTATTCTTAAATCCTAATCAAGCAGGCCCGCTGGGTTCTTTCCCTTTTCGTTACCGAGTCGGAAAGTTTAAAACCGCGAAAATTCAAACAAGAATCACGGTGAGTATATTTCTCAACGATTATCCATAAAACAATTATTCACTGTCTTATTTGTGCTTGACATATGACATACTTTGTCTTTAGATGTAGAAATTGTCGAAGATATGTGCAAATATACTTTAAAATCCCTAAAAATAAGAAAAATAAAGTGTCCGAATTTCCCCGATCACTACTTATGGGCAGCATTTAATTTCGAACCAGAACATTTTTAATTTCGGACATGTTCTGAACATTTGAAATATGTCCTCGTATAATAAGGTTGGTTGCTATTAAACCACATTTATTAAGCATAACTTTCGGTTTCAGATCTTTGAGATGGCTAGAAAATCTAAAAACATCTATAAAAAATACGACGACAATTTGATTAAAGCAGCAATAGATGTCATAAAATCTGGTCAAATGTCATTGCGTAAAGCGTCAAAACATTATGGGATACCAAAATCAACATTAAGTGACAGATTAACAGGGAAGGTTGCCTCTGATGCTAAATCTGGTCGTCCTCCTACAGTGCCATTAGATGTGGAAGCAGACATAGTTGGACGTGTGACAACGGCAGCTGGGTGTGGTTTTGGCATAACAAGGCGAGATTTCTTGATAAAAACAGGCCGATTATGCCAAAAAATGGGTCTCAAAACTCCATTCAAAAATGGAATACCAGGCAAAGGTTATTTCCAAGGTCTTAAGAGAAGACATCCATCTATTGTAATCCGTAAGCCAGAGAAGTTGGGTACATCTCGAGCCAGGTGCCTTAATCCAACTATTGTTAACCGATATATAGATGATCTTGGTAAACTCCTTATCAGTCTTGGAATTGAGAATAAGCCATCTCAAATATGGAACATGGACGAGACAGGCAAACAATTTGAGCACAACCCAGTCCGTGTAGTTGCAAGAAAGGGGGTGAAAAATTTGCCGGGTCGTACTAGTAATCAAAGGACCAACACCACCATCCTGGCATGCGTAAGTGCAAGTGGTCAAGCTATGCCTCCTCTTATGATCGTGAAAGGTAAGACCCAAAGGTCACTATATTCGTGGAACACGGCTGCAGCGCCCCAAGGGACTAAATGGGCCTTCCAAGAGAATGCTTGGATGACAGAAACTATATGTAAGGACTGGTTTGAAGAAATATTTCTTCCCTTCTGCGGCAGTGCTAGACCCCAATTATTGATTTGTGATGGTCATCGTTCACATGAAGCACATGCACTCCTGGAAATTGCCAAAGATAACAATATTGAAATTCTAGCTCTCCCTCCCCATACTACTCACAAACTTCAGCCACTTGACAAGAGTGTGTTTGGCCCTTTTAGTGCATATTACAACGAAGGTTGTACTGAATTTCTCTCAGCTAGTCCTCATCACACTATAAATAAATGGTCATTCCCTGAGATCATTGCACGGGCTTGGGAACGTGCCATGACTGAAAAAAATATAACTAGCGGATTTTCATCATGTGGTATATACCCCTTCAATCCACGTGCTTTACGTACAGAGGATTTGTTACCATCGACTATGTTTGACAAGCCATTGCATGCCATCACCTCATCAGTTACACCCACCTCTACAATGACTTCGACTGCGCTTGAAGAGAATTATGTTGGCGTATCAGAAGTTAATACTACACTGAACCTAGCTTCATCAAGTACGTCTATCCCTTATGAACCCTTGCCTGACCAACAGATTGAAATGCCTACCTCCTGTGCAACACAGATTGTACCATCCATATCATCTACGAGCAATATATCTATCCTTACTCCAAAATTTTACTCGGACGACCCTAATGAAGCAGTAGAACTTCATGAAGCCACTGATCAAGAAATTTCGTACATTCTTCCTCTATTTCCCGAGATAATAATTGAAGATATAAAACTCTCTGGTGGGGATTTTTGTAGTGAAAATTATTTGCCCAATGAAAATCAATCCCAGAATGATGAGTTGAATGCACTTGCTCCTTTGCCACAGTGCAATTGGAATGTTGACATTGATTCCATATTTAATGTCCCACAAAATGTTAATGTAAATGAAAGAAAGAGGAAAAGTACCGTTAGTACTTCGCACAGGCTACTCACGTCCAATGAAGTATTGGCTGAAAAGAGGCAGAAGCAGCTTGATAAAGAAAACATCTTGCAATTAAAAGAGCAACGTCGCCATGCGAGAGAGGTAAAAAAGGCCGTGAAATTTATTCAGGATTTAAAAAAGATCAATGTTAATTTAAAGGTGGGTTTATTTTATTACAGAAACAGTTTTTGCACATTATTCTTCGACATTTTCTAACATTCTAAGATTGAAAATTACATAACAATATACAATAAAAACAACGCTACGATCAGGAAAAAAACGTAAACTAATCTATTCCAAATAATTCTGTTTAATATTCAGTTATATTATTCTTTTTTTAAAAGCTCTTACTTATACATTTTAAATTATATTCTGAATTTTTGTGAGTGTTTATTTAAAGAAAATATGAACACGCCAACTGCTGCTTACCTGATATTCTTCGATCGACATTTTCAAACATTTTAAGATTAGAAAATACATATCAATATACATTACAAACAAAGCAACGATCAGGAGACAAACTGTAAAATAATCTATTCAAAATGATTATATTTAAAGTTCTCACTTACGCATTGAAATTATATTATGTTTTTTGTCTATTTACAGTAAATATGAACACGTCAACCGCTGCTCACCTGAGAGATAGAGAACTTTTTGGAAGTTTGTCATTGTATATGAAAATGACAGCAATACTTAACACTATGGTCAATTGTGAATACCTTTACGACCATCCGCTGATTGACGATATATTTGTTTATCTTAGAGACTTCGTCTGCTCCAATATTTGTAAATTAAGAATGTTATATGAACGTTACAAGATTTTACGTGACATTTGTGAAGAGGACCAAAGCATTGTTTGGGTGGCACACTCATATGCCCTAGAAGTTAATGATTGTTACTTGTTAAATTTAACAGAAACTGTTAAAAAAGAATCACTTTAATGTTGTGCCTTAAGTGAAATGAACTGATACATATGTCAAAAAAGAAATAAAATATGTTTAAGTCTCTTCTGGCGACGATAATATTACTTTTTTAAAAAATGAAAATGTGTCCGAAATTCCCCGCTTCTGTCCGTATTTCCCCGATTTTACTCGATTAACAATTTGTGAATTTTCTAAATAAATCAAACATGTAATTTGCAGCTGGGAGCCAGTATATAGTCCTTACATAGCATAGTTCCCGGCTAAATAGGCTACAGACGGTTAAATACATATTCGCAGCTAGACGAATGAAATTGGTCGCAGAATGCAAAAAGTGTCCGAAATATGACGACATTACCCTATCATACTGTAAAATATATCAAATAAATAGTGGTGTAACACCTTATACACTGTCTGCAGCATTTATCATACTGTAAAATATATCAAATCAATAGTGGTGTAACACCTGATACACTGTCAGCAGCATTTATCATACATAAAATCAATAGTGGTGTCACACCTGATACACTGTCAGCAGCATTTATCCCACTGTAAGCTATATCAAATCAATAGTGGTGTAACACCTGATACACTGTCAGCAGCATTTATCACACTGTAAAATAATAAAATCAATAGTGGTGTGAGGCCTGATATACAGTCTGCAGCACTAATGATAATATATCAAATCAATACTGTTGTGACACTTGATACATAGTCTGCAGCATTAATCACACTGTAGGATATATCAAAACATGTTTTCTTTTTGCAATTTGAGTGAGGACCATAGGCCTATTAGATGCTGGTAAAGATTAACCAAAACAACATAGGTTATGTTGATCAAAAGGGGCTGAATTATTATTATCCCTCAGAAATCAAGATTATTAGCAATATAATACAGATCATCAAACTTGAGCATAATATATCTTTAAAATATATCATAATTACTTTTCTATTTCTGGATTTTTGAATGCCTCGAAGAAGCCATTATAAGCAGCAACATGAGCACAGTTCCAGGTAGGATGGTCTCTGATAGTGTCACACACACCCTGGATCTTATCATCCTGACTGAGGGAGCTTGAACTCTGAACCAGCAGAGATAAAATAATGTTCAACTGCTTGTAGAATGTTTTAGCTTCTACATCCTTTGTAAGACGGAACAAACTGTAGATAAAACAATTAAAACATTTTATAATGAAGAGTCTTCAGAAATATTTGCTTTTTTTTCCTCCAGCCATTATGAACATCTCTGGGCCATAATCACATAATAACTCTCATCAACAAAGTATTAACATTCATGTTTTCAATTAAAATTAGATATAACCAATAGAAAGAGAAGTCATTTAGAGGGCATATCTTTATAAAATCTGAACATGTTTATCATTCTATATGGAATAGCTTGGTCATTTTGTGGAGGCAAGTCACTAATATAGTGATGATAAACGAAAAAAAAATCTTTAAGATTCACATAAACTTAAGAATTGTTTAAAAATATAATTACTTTTTTAGAAGTTTTTGTTAAAATTTTGTATGGACAAGGTATCAAGTAAGTTTATAAACAAATATTTCAATAAAGACCTGTAAAACTTCTGTGTAGCCCCAGGATGAGAAAACACACATTCAAAACAACCTGGTTTCTTGTATAACTTGACATACTCACTCTTCAATTCTGTTTGTAAACTGAAATAAATCAAAACCAGGCATTTTGTCTTTAAAATTACATTAATATACAATTCAAAATTAAACACAAATAATAAGTCTGTAAATTTACTTCTAAAGTAATAATTTTAAAGTAATAAAAGTTTGATGTACTTATTGACCACTAGTTTGCCATTACATCTGTTCAGCAAGTTAAACCAGTATCTATACTACATGCCAGCTTGCACATATGTGCAGTTTCACCAGTCTCTATACTACATGCCAGCTTGCACATCTGTGCAGCCCACTAGCTTGCACATCTGTGCAGTTTTTCCAGGCTCTATACTACATGCCAGCTTGCACTTCTGTGAAGTTTCACCAGTCTCTATACTAAATGCTAGCTGGCTTGCACATCTGTGCAGTTTCAACAGTCTCTATACTACACGCCAGATTGCACATCTGTGCAGTTTCACCAGTCTCTATACTACATGCCAGCTTGCACATCTGTGCAGTTTCACCAGTCTCTATACTTCACACCAGCTTGCACACCTGTGCATTTTCAACAGTCTCTATACTACACACCAGCTTGCACACATGTGCAGTTTCACCAGTCTCTATACTACATGCCAGCTTGCACATCTGTGCAGTTTCACCAGTCTTTATACTACATGCCTGCTAGCTTGCACATCTGTGCAGTTTTTCCAGACTATACTACATGCCAGCTTGCACATCTGTGCAGTTTCACCAGTCTCTATACTACATGCCAGCTTGCACATCTGTGCAGTTTCACCAGTCTCTATACTACATGCCAGCTTGCACATTCATGCAGTTTTACCAAGCTCTATTCTAATGACTGATCTAGTTTTATTGTTTCGTATTGAAATCCCAGGCACTACAGTTGCAAGGTCAAAGCAGAGCAAGTCCTTCATTGAAAGTTAGCTGGTTATCAATTGATATCGCATTGGCACAAGATATAATTTTAGAAACAAGACAAAGGATTATTAATCAGCACCAATTTTTTTATAAGCTGAAATTTCTAAATTCTAATTCTATCAAATTATTTGGAAACATAGCTTTAAAGTTTAAACTGATACCATCAATGGTTCAAATATTACACATTTTCATGAGTATAAAAAGCTTTTTTAACCTATTTAAATAATCAAGAACAAAACTCATTAAATAGTTTGTTTTTTACATGTATAAAATTAAATATCTCTTGAATATCATCATAAAATTGATACAAAAAGATTCTGTAGAACTTTAACTAATAGTATCATATTTTCTACATCAAAGGTCACATGTCATGGTGACTTCAACATTATCATATTTAACTATCTGGGTGACTGCTGTCAAACATGTACTTGGAATCATTAACTCAGAAACACAAAGATCAGAGAACATTTGAGCTGCGTCATGACAAAACCAATATAATGGGTTTGCGACCAGCATGGATACAGACCAGCCTGCGCTTCCGTGCAGTCTGATCAGGATCCATGCTGTTTGCTATCAGTTTCTTTACTTGTTATAGGGTCTGTAAGCGAACAGCATGGATCCTGATCAGACTGCACGGATGCGCAGGCTGGTCTGGATCCATGCTGGTCGCAAACACATTATGTTGGTTTTGTCATGACACGGCTCAAATTTTATGTTACATACCTGTTATAAGACTCTTGTTTCACTACCTGCACCTTGTAAGGGTTTATACTTGCTGTGACAATATTACCAACAGAACTTATCCCAGAGCTCATACCATCAACCAAAGTCTTAAATAGTGACATCTTGTTGTCTGTTACTTAGTTAAAACTGTCAATGTCTGTGAATACACAATACTAAATGTTAAATAGGTACATCATTATAAACACAAAATAGTTATACATGTACAATTATTACTGTTTCAAATTATGCAAGACGTTTACAACACTGTTAATGTTATCAGCCATTTATATTTGAATTACATTCATGTACATGTATGTTACCCAATAACTACAATGTTGTCACTTTATTCCAGACCATGATATTATCTAACTGAAAGTCGGGAGTCATTAGATTAGAAACTAAATCTATATAGCAAGTTTAAATTAAAATATAAAAACAGACATATGCTAAAGAAAATACTTTGACCCCTAATGTTATGATTAATTTGAAAGATATGTGGTCACAGTGATTTTTAAACAATAACATTCAATATGTGCTAATGACCAAATTAAGTAACTAATAATAAATATATGTTTGACTTTAAGCTAATGTTTTACTAAATGTTTTACTAAATGATATCACCCATGATAGCTGATACACTAAAACTCAGACAGTCTTATTTTCTTATCAATTGAATTAAAACAAGAAACATTGCAATGCAATGAAACCAGGTTTTCAGCAAAAACATTTCACTGAAGCTTTTTGCATAGAAAACATTGTTTACTATATATTCCATATAACAAAAAAAGCAAAGGGCCATAATAAGGTCAAATGTTCACTTTATATTCCATATAAGAAAAAAACAACAAAGGGCCATAATAAGGTCAAAAATGATCAAATCACAAAACCCCCAAGATATGCGCAAGGGCACTTGATGACAAAGCTTCTGTGAAAGTTTTGTCCAAATAGTTTGAGAAATGTGGAAGGAGTAGTGCAAATAAGAATTTGTCCACTTTATATTCTATATAAGGAACAAAAGCAAAGGGTCATAATTACGTCAAACATTATGGAATCTCAAAACCGTGACAATATGTGCCAGGCCAATTGATGACATAGCTTATGTGAAAGTTTCGTCAAAATCCCTTGAGAAATGTAGGAGGAGTTGTGCACAGAAGAAATTGTTCAATATATATTCCATATAAGGAACAAAAACAAAAGGCCATAATTAAGTCAAACATTATCAAATCTAAAATCCCTTACAATATGCACCAGGGTACTTGATAACAAAGCTTCTGTGAAAGTTTTGTCAAAATCCTTTTAGAAATGTAGGAGGAATTGCGCATAGAAGAATTTGTTCACTATATATTCCATATAAGGAAAAAAAATAAACGGCCATAATTAGGTCAAACATTATTAATTCTCAAAACCCTGACAATATGCACTAGGCCAATTGATGACAAAGCTTCTGTGAAAGTTTCGTCAAAATCCCTTGGGAAATGTAGGAGGAGTTGTGCACAGAAGAAATTGTTTACGCCCGCCCATCCGCCCGCCGACATACCTCAATCTAATTACCTTCAGAAAACCTGCTTAAAAATACATTAATAAACACATTAAATGAGTGGTTTTCAAAGAGCAGAGATGGTACAAAAGTAAATGAGTAATACTAGAATTTGTTTTGATTAAGTTACTGTAAGGGTTTAGAACTGTTTAGTAGAAGGGTAGAAAATGAATAAACATTCTGGTAAGCTCAGTCAGTAGTGTAGAACCAAGGCATCCTGGTTTAAATCCCAGTATAAGACTGCACATTCTTAACACCATGTGACCTTTTGCATGTGCATAATAATTATAGGAAAATTTAAGTGATACAAGGTCACTGATTAACTATCACCGGATTAAACATGCATCAAACACATAATGTAATAGCAACAAATAAACATGTAATGTAACTGTTTAAATAGACCAGAGGGCAATGATAATGTTAACACAAATTGTTTGCTATTCAGTCTGTACATATTTTCTCCAGAAATGAGAAATGAACTTGTCCAAATTGAAAGATGGACAAGTCCATTTAAGACATTTAAAATTGTATGTATTAAAGAAGATATCATAATAACATTAATGTTTGCTTTGGAAAATGAACAAATATTATCATAATTTATTCAATCTATTTAAACATGTTTATAATCTTATCAGTAAATATCAAACAACACTTTGGATGTCACAAATGCTAAACTTTGTTACAATTACTGAAAGATTTATAATTTTACAGTGAAACTTGTAAGCCATTAATATTTTTCAGTTAGAACACATAAAATAAATTAAACATTGTTATATTTCAAAACATAATTCAATATTTTTCCCCTGTTACAGTTCAATTTCAGCCCTTGCCCTGCTGAATCTCTGTAATAAAGTTGCTTGGCTTTGAATTTTGATACAGAATTTCAATATCAACATACTTTTGTTTGTATCATTTTACGCCTTTTCCCAACGTTTTTCAGCATATAGGGGGGTGTTCCAAACCACTTTCCTGGAGATTTACACCATACTAACTCCCTTCCCCGCCCCAAACTCCCAAAACATTTTCCCCACAACCCACCCAAAAGTAAATGGCTAAAAACATGGACTCTAACCCCGACACGGGCGGGCAAATCAACATACATAAATAAAATTAAGTTACCAACCATGAAGAGCCTACCAGGTGACCAAAAAGCAGACTACCCGGCTCTATGCTGGGAGCAAAACTAACACTTTTATTCCCGAAGGGTTAAGAAATCTGGGAAATGACAAAAAAGGGCTATGAAGCTTCATGGGTTGGGGGAAAACTTTCAGTGTTTCACAGTGCATTATTTATAAAAAAAAACAAGCTGACAATTATTTTATTGATCTTCCATAAACATACAATCATCATTGACCTTCCATCAGCTGACAAACATCATTGACCTTCAATTAAATAAGCTGACAAAGATTACTGACTGTTAATAAACTGACAAAGATCACTGATTGTCAATAAGCTGACAAAGATCACTGACTGTAAATAAACTGACAAAGTGCATTGACTATCAAAAAACTGACAAAGATCACTGATTGTCAATAGGCTGACAAAGACCAATGACTGTCAATAGGCTGACAAAGATCAATGACTGTCAATGAGCTGACAAAGATCACTGATTGTCAAAAACTATCAAAGATCAATGACTGTCAAAACACTGACAAAGATTAAAGACTGTCAATAAGTTGACAAAGATCACTGACTGTCAATAAGCTGACAAAAATCACAATGACTGTCAATAAACTGACAAAAATCAATGACTGTCAATAAACTGACAAAGATCACTGACTGTCAATAAACTGACAAAGATTACTGACTGTCAATAAGCTGACAAAGATCACTGATTGTCAATATGCTGACAAAGATCAATGCCTGTCAATAACCTGACAAAGATCACTGACTGTCAATAAGTTGACAAAGATCATTGACTGTCAATAGAGGTGCAACGATACCTTTCGATGCATCGAAAACCGGTTTTATGAGCGCCGATTCGATTCCCGATACCAACTGTAACATTTTCGATTCGATTCCCCACCCAAAAATAAACATGGAAAAAAGTGAAAGTTTTAGTCTTTCCCTTCGCGCTTTATCACGTTACATACGATTTGGCAGTTAAACTCGGGTCAATCCAATCATGGGGGCGCGTAAGTTTTTTTTCGGGCAAACAAGTCAAAATGGGCTACCAAACATCAATGTTGATAGAAAAAAATTAAAAAACTCCTAAAAAATTAAAAATCAAAGAATTGGGAACACTTGGTTTCTCGGGGAAGGCCAGGACAACGATAAAGCTACTTGCAAAATATTTTACGGACATTGTCCATATCCAAAGTCCGGCAGTACTATAATTTAATGCAACATATGAAACGAAAACCGATGTGGACTTTTTGGTAATCATGACATGCCTAGTTCAAGTTCAGCAAAAAGGTCTGTTTGTAACTTAGTTACTAGACTAAGAGTATTGTTGTGATAACACTGACATAGGATTGATTATTCATTTTACATATTATGGAATTATTAAACAGAATATCTGAATATCAGTTTCTGAAAACCTTGTGAAACTTTGCTTCATTATTATTTACTTTACAATTTACATACTTTGTTAAATTCCTAGTCAGCAGAAGGTATCTGTGATAGTCATGTTACTGAGAATAATGATTATATGTCTGATTAGAATTATTTTCCAAATAGACAAGAGCTTTTTATTCTCATAAACACAATTATTAAGTCAAAAAAAATTTAATATAATTAGTTATATAACAACAGAAAAGCAAAGCACCAGGTGAAGGGCCACTCACTTTTGGAGCAGACAAGCAGAACTATATACCAAAGATAAATTAGTAATCAGAAATGTATCGAATCGAAAAAAATCGAATCGGAGTGTCTAAAATCGAAATCGAATCGAATCGAACATTTGGTGTATCGTTGCAGCCCTAACTGTCAATAACCTGACAAAGATCACTGACTGTCAATAAGCTGACAAAGATTACTGACTGTCAATAACCTGACAAAGATCAATGCCTGTCAATAAACTGACAAAGATCATTAATAATTGGCCTTCCATCACCTGACAAAAATCACTGACCATCAATAAAATAAACTAAAATAAAGATCATTGACTGTAAATTTCATGTCGGTTTTCAACTGTATTAAAACTTGGCTGCTGATGTCCGATATCAAGTGCATCAAGTAAAAATCTCTGTTCTGTGTCACTTGGCATGTGACTTTGATAGCCTTTGTGACTTTGATAATTTTCTGAGGGTACATGTACCTAGGATGAAAATCAAGTTTGATGACATCAAGTGCTACAGACTTGTTGACTTAACATCCAGCTCCAGAACTTGGGATATTTTCTAGATAAAAGAACTTAGTTAAAACAATTATCTGGAACATTCAGAGACATAGAGCTTCCTAAATAGCAGTTGATGTTTATATCCCAGATCTATCTTTATACATGTACTGACCACAGGGTCTCTGCACAGTGTTGGGATAGTCCCTGTGGTATTTTTTTTTCTAGAATTACTTTTTACACTATCCAAACACAGTTTCTGTGGTACTGACGGATGTCTTTAGAAACAGAAACAAGAATGCTCTTACAATAATTATCAATAATATAAGCCATTTACCAAGCTAGTGATAACAAATAACACAGTCTCTTCTTAATGAAACTGGTTTATAAAAACATACAAAAAACATACAATAAATTTGGTTAAACAATCCATGCATAAAATCTATTTAAAAAGAGTGACTAATTTGACAAAATAGAACAGTTATCCGAATTGTTTTACGTATCCGAAATATACGCCAAATACAAATTACGTTTTCAAGTCTAGATCATTTTGATATGTCAAAATTTAACTTACTGCGTAGGTATTTCTGATACCGCTATCAAATTTGAGTTTAGCACCAACTGATAGTATTAAGAAAAGAACTTAGTCGCATTGTTTTTGTTGTTGTCCTGTGATTTCCTACAGACTGGTTCCCGTTCTGTAAGTGACTGGTTTCCGTTCTGTAAGTCTCTATATGAAATTTATTGAAATATGAATAATATTGAACTAGTAGACATAGACTAACTAACTAACTAACTAACTAACTAACTAACTAACTAACTAACTAACTAACTAACTAACTAACTAACTAACTAACTAACTAACTAAAACTAACTAACTAACTAACTAACTAACTAACTAACTAACTAACTAACTAACTAACTAACTAACTAACTAACTAACTAACTAACTAACTAACTAACTAACTAACTAACTAACTAACTAACTAACTAACTAACTAACTAACTAACTAACTAACTAACTAACTAACTAACTAACTAATAACTAACTAACTAACTAACTAACTAACTAACTAACTAACTAACTAACTAACTAACTAACTAACTAACTAACTAACTAACTAACTAACTAACTAACTAACTAACTAACTAACTAACTAACTAATACTAATAATTACCGACTTAGCTGATCAAATTGAAAGACAAACAAAAAAACAACAATAAATAAATAGGCCCTATAGATCGACAGACCTGAACGCGTAAGACTCATGTTGGCCTATATTTTTATCTAATCACCCGAACATGTCCAGCTTTACAGATGAATAAATAGTTCTGATAAACCAATAATAACAGTTGTCAGTTGTCTTCCTATTTGCTTATATTATAATTATATGGTAGATTTGAGCATATTTAATATTTAGATCTAGTCATTTATAGTTTTTTTATTTAATGTGTGACCTCATTTGTAATTATGCTTACGACTGCTATTTCTGTTATATTGCTTGCATTGGTTTAAAGCCACATTACTGTATGTCTTAGAAATGAATATGTTTTTTCTTAAATAATGGCTTTAGAGCGTCTTATATGCTTACCATCTGAGGAAAGTAGTGCTATCTGAGTAATTATTTTCATTAAATTGGCAAAATGTAAACAAAGTATTTTTTTTTACTATCACACAAAACACTACAACACTGTAACTGTACTTATATTGCAGTAAAAAAATATTTTTATATACCTAATGAGTAACTTTTTGGAAGCTACATGTACAACAGGGCACATCAAAAGTAAAATACTTATGAAAAATAAAATATAAAAGCATTTCTGGAACAAAATTGGCTTTAGATAAAGCTGAAACTTTTTTTCATTTTCACTAATGTGTGCAATTAAAGTAACTTTATTCCTTTCAAATATAACTTTAGCAGACAGATTTACATTCAAATGCCGCACCAGTCGAATCAATTGATGTGTGTGTGTGGGGGGGGGGGGTCTCATCGCACGATTATTCAAAGAACGGTGACATTGACCACAGAACGGGACCGGCATATATCATATATCGAGGAATTTTGCTAGTTGGATAACTTCTTCATATCAAAGAATTCAATGTCCCTGATGGGATTCGAGTTCAAGAAGGCGAGATCAACGCTTATAACAACTCGACCATGAAGACCCCAAGTTAAAGTTACACACGAGAATAAGACTTGCGGGAAACATTCAGAGTGAACACCGTGCAACCGAAAAAACGAGACAACAGTTGCAGCCAACGACAACATAGGCAATACATTGTATGTCCATATAATGCGAAAATCTGATATTTCCTAACAAAATTTCGAGCAGTTAACGGTTTCAAGCTATAACGTAAATGATCATGGCGACGAATCGCTGACCGTTTTAATGCTTTATCAATCTTTAATTTGAATTTACAATTAATTCAAGTGAGTTATTCAAGCTTTATTTCGGTAACTTTAACACCGGTTGCAAGTAGAACACTGGGTTGGTTTTAGGAAGAACAGCTGTACATTTTTGGCACATACATGTAGGTAAGTTTTTGCATTTTAATGCTGAATATATATAGTAATTAAGTTGTTTCTGTTAAAAGCGACATAAAAGGCGGACATACATGTATCTTGTGAATTCGGTTTAAAAAACTACATACATTAATTATTTAGTTACCGCGGTATATCATACATTCATTAGACAGATAGGATATGACAGTTTAAACTAAGAAGAAATGTAGTGCACCTGGCTTTTACTTATGACATTTCTGCTATCATTCCTTTTTTTGCTTGATTGCTGTCGGATGCATGTTACTTTTATCTTAAAATTCTGTTCTACGGTAACTTCACAGTGCCAGTATCACGTACATGTATTTATAATTAAGATCGTCCCAGTATACCGTATTCTATTTTGCATGGCAAATCTCAGGTTTACATAAAATATTGATATTCTGAATTTAGTTTGTAACAGTCATATTTATATAATTGAGCCGCGTCACGACAAAACCAACATAGTGCGCTTGCGACCAGCATGGATCCAGACCAGCCTGCGCATCCGCGCAGTCTTATCAGGATCCATGTTTTTCGCTATCAGTTTCTCTACTTGTAATAGGGTTGGTAAGCGAAAAGCATGGATCCTGATCAGACTGCGCGGATGCGCAGGCTGGTCTGGATCCATGCTGGTCGCAAACGCACTATGTCGGTTTTGTCGTGACGCGGCGTCAAATTTCTCAAATAAAGTAAATTAATTAAGAAAATATAGTAATCATGTAATAGAAAGAGCATCGAAACACGAAGCTATCTGATTTGTACGAGGGGGCGTAGCCCCCGAGTATTAATCAGATTGCCGAGTGTTTTGATGTTCTTTCTCTTTTGTATCATAGTCAAACATAAAAAACACGTTCCCTGTTGTCACAATATGAAACCCAGGGAAAAAGGAACCAATGAACGATCTTCTGAATATTATGGTATTTCTGTCGCTTTCCCTTTCTTTCTTTCTATTTCGGTTTATTTATACTCGGCGCCGGAAATTCCATATGTCCGAGAATTTAGCACCCTTGCCGGTCCACTAAGGTAGTCTCATCGGGGACGTCTTTGTCAAGCTGAATCTTCCTGTAGCCCGTTCTTCGTTCGTTGGTGGTAGAGGAGTACGACAATATTGGCCAGGCATCATGTTCCATACTGACGATAACAAAAACGGCTCTCATTAGCGCCAACCCTCCAGAGTTAGTCACGACAGGTCAACCAATCACCTCTGGTACTTAAGATGACTTGACCTTGACCTGCCGTGTGCCTTCTCCGCGACGTGCACGCCTCTGGAGGGATTTGGAGAAGTGTCGCTTTCCCTTTCTCTTCCGTCACAATAAGTAAACCCCAGCAAAAATGAACCAATCAATGGACAAGCTCTGGAGTGCGGGTAACTAATACCTGCACTCCAGTTAACGCACTGTGCATGATTTAACTCTGACACATTTTCAACAGAAAGGTCCCCAAACTATAATACAATTAAGTCTAATAACTCTGTAGCGTATGAAGATTTCCTAACTATATTACAAATACGTTAAATTCGTCTTTCAATTACAATACAACACGCTAATTAAAATTCAAAAAGCTGTCATAAACTGAAAGTTCTACGTTTGTATATGTTTATCCTCTTAAGACAGCTTTTGCATCTTGACATCACCTCACATTAAGTCAATAAACGATGAAGATCTTTTGACAGTGAATATTTCGAATCTAAAGTCTGAATCTTGAATGTTGATGCGGGTCTCCCAAGTCATCACTCAACAAGTAATTAGGTCTGTCTTACATGTTAATTTCAGTAATGCAATGCAATGGGCGAAAGACATTCTAACTGCCAATATTTCAATGGCTCCTCAACTTATTGATATTCTTGCCATATATATATCTATATATTTCTTGTAAAATATTCATTACACATGTCATTGCATTTATCATCATACATGATTCAAGAACGCTGAATGTGTTTAAAATTTGTTTTTTATATGTTGGTTACACTGGGTGACTCTGGTGAGATAAATCAGTGCATTTTAATATGTGACCATTAAGAGAGGTGATTTACTGTATACATGCCAGGCTACCTTAGTGACAAAATGTACCATGTATAGCAAACAGTTTATTTTGTACATGTCAACTTTTCCAACAAAAACACAGAAGAAGATGAACATCGGGTCATTTTAGCCTGGACATATTCGACATGGAAAGCTAAATATCATGTTAAACGACAACAAAACAAGATAAATATTCAGTTATAAACAAATGTATAAAATTTGGTGCATTTGTGTTGAAGTTACATACTGGCATCTTACAAAATATCCTAGTAATTTCATAGTGCATAATGCAATACCCTTCACTGTAACTGTAATGACTATTCCTGGTCAAACATATACCCTAGAATAAATGTCATCTATTAGCTGATATCATTTTGGTTAAAATCATACACTAGAACTGAACATGACACTTGCCGGAGACCTGAATCTCATTTAGTTCACAGTATAAACTTGTCACATTTTAGATCACTAATGTCACACAGGTAACTCATCAACTTCATTTAGCTTGTAATCAATGATCTTATCATGTCCTTCAAAAAGGAAATATCCAGAAAACTTTACTCCTTTTAAAAATAGAGGGAACCATAATATATCGTCTGGCCACATTTCTCTAAATGGAATATTATCCGTAGAAAACCAGCTGGGTCTCATTTCTGCAAGAAAAAGGAAGCTTGCATGAAATATTAACAAGATCTTTGCACTGTTCTGTCAATAAGTTCACACAAGTTCACACTAGTTATTGAAAACATGGGATATTGATAACAACATTATTGAAACTTCATAAATTATTAATCCTCTTCACACATTGTGTATCTTAAATGTTTTGTGAAAATAATGTTTCTTTGAATGTCGCCTATAATCTGCCTTCTCAAGTCAGCAATCAATGTTGACATGTCGCAAGTAATCATGTATGATTTAACTTAACTTTAACCTTTCACTGACTGCTGCAGTGCATGTTTCGAATTGACTTGTCCAAAACATATGCACAAGCTGGCTTCTCTTGATACTGGTGGCAAAGGCTAATTACTCCCGGTTCAAACAGGTGAAGGGATAAACTTTTACATTTAGTTGTGAAGCAAGTTATGATACTGTTGTTGACTAATAAATAAATCTGACAATCTTTTAGTTGAGGGACTGACAACTTAATTGCCAAAGCATAAAAAAAAATCACAAAATCTACTTTGTGTGAAAAGGTAATCCGAATAATTGTAAAAGCATGCCTGCTCTCTGATATTAAATACAAGCATGAAAAGAATACATAATTACTATAGAAATTACATTACCATGTGTTTCCTTGGGTACACCCTCATATTTTGAGCCAGTAAATACATGTACTTCTAGCAACTGAGGTTCTCCCACAAACTCAAACATAAGCCGACCAACCTCATCCAGACATTTTGCCTCTAATTCACTTTCTTCCTTTAGTTCCCTAACAATAAAATATATTAATATTTAAGCAAATAGATAAGGATTTAGAAACATACTTTGGAAACATAGTTTGACATTATTGAAAATATGTCGAAAATCTATATACATAACATTAAAACATTAAATAGATTTTAATCTACAGTATTGTAGGAGTAAGCCCACTAATCGTTGAGAACTATGTCGATTGTTTTGCTTTTAATTTTGGCACTTTTTATGAAAACTATAATAGAGCTAGCTTTTCCTCTGCGTACCAGCAATAGATCTACTAGATCTACAGGATCGTTCCACCAGTTAGGACATTTGTTTAATGAGAGTTTTCTTAATTCTGTTATATTTCAACAATGAACGATACACCAATTAGATCTAAATCTTACTACGTAACATGTACTGTGGGGCCAAACCTGAGTGCTCCTTGAAGGATAGTCTCTCCTGGCTCAACTTTTCCGCCAAAACCATTCCAGCGTCCTTGACCGAACCCTCTCTTTTTCATTCCAAGCAGCACTCTTGCATGCTCTCGTATTAAGACGAGTGTGAGAACTTTATTGGCAACCATCGATTCTAATGTAAAGGAGAAGACACGTGTATTTATATATATAATAGATCTACAGATAATTTTAAATATTAAAAGTATCTTTACATTGTGACTCAAAATTTATTTTTTCAAAAAACAAGAGCAATTGTTTCAGACGTATCGGACTATTGTTGCTTTTTGCAGAAGTTTGTAAAATGTTGTTCTGTTTCACGTAAAAATCTATAGATTTAAAATATTTTGCACAAAAACTTTGTTGTTTAGGTGTTTGAATAAAATATGTCAATTCTGACCAATTTTAACACTGGTCACATAAAAATATGCCAATTCCGTGAAATAAGTGATGACGCGGAATTAGTGATGTTGAGTATAATTCTAAAATGTTTACACTATTTACATTCCTATGATGAGGAAAGAGATATGTATATTGGCAGTTTACTTTGATTTTTTTTCCACGTGATAAATGTGTACCCTGGTCGCTGGCTTTTCACACATCAATTATTTAACATCTATTTAACTCAGGAATAGGCTTTTAATTCAAACATTCCCTGTCCCTATAGTATGTACATTGTGACTGCGCATGCTATGTACAGTACATGTATGTAACTGTATAAACCACGTGTAGATCTATTCATTTTAAACCACGTGTAGATCTATTCATTTTAGAGTGAATTGTAGTCATAAAAAATATTACCTGAAAGTTATAGGTACGCAAATAATCCTCTATACACAGCCAAAATTATCGGATTATTTTAATCGTCAAATTGTAAACAAACATTCAGATTTATGGCGCAATTTCTATAATCGTGAATTTTACCTTTATTATTGAAGATTCAACTATTGTAAAACAGTACTGTACTGCTTATTTCCCCTTGACTACAAGAGTAAGCGTTAGTTTGCATGTGATTGTATTTTTCCCATTCTAATCAGTAGACGGTTATATTTTGGAATAAATAACTTTATTTTCATTTTTTAGTAAAAATGGACGGCGGAATTAAGTAAGTTACATGTATTTGAAAAAATAGGACATCTTTATAGTTTAGAACAAAACATAAGTAATAAAAGCTTCTGTCAAGGTCTTAAGTTTCAGCTTCGTCAAAATAAGTTATACACATCATACAAAACAGATCTTCCTTGCTAGCCGATCATGTATATGTTATAATATGTACTATATAATCATGTACATGTATATTCAAACAGAAGATTAGCAACATGTAAATGTTTCAGTCTTAAAATAAGTAATCTTTGACTTTTCTCAATAGACCCGATATCTAACCGGGATCTTCTTTAATGGAAATTTAAATTAAGTTACGGTCGGAAAGGAAAATGATATAAGTCCTCCCCCTGCTGACATTTTCAATTCGAAAACACATCATGAAGTTTCGAAATTGTTGGTTAGATGGTTACATTGAATGATGAAGGCATCTGAGATTGTGTGAAACAGAAATTGTTTTGATGAATAGCGGCGTCATTCGTAAATCTTGAAATATGTATTTTTACTTTTGGGAGACTGAGCAGGCATAAAGTTTTGGCATTTTACAGGAAAGAAGAAATGATAAATGTAGTTTTGACTGATTGTTTTTCTTGAACGGATTCCTCAAGAGAAATAACGATGAATCAAATGCTTAATTTTGAAGCAGCGTACATCTCGTGAATTCAAAATATTTCTTAAGAAAATTAAATCCTTTCCTAAGTTTTCCCATGCATCATTTGAAGTAAATCTGTTTGTTTTACACGAGATCATCAATTGTCTAGAGCTGTGCAAAACCGACATTCCCATTACATATCTCCAAGGAATAGAACTTGCGTGCACTATTTTTAAGTTTTGATAGCAAATAAATAGTAATTATTATAAAAGTAATAATGAAGAAAACGAATATACTGATGTGAATATTGTATGTCAGAAAGTTATAACGTAAAATCGTTACTTCGGTAAAATAATCTGTTAAAGAATCTATTAAAGATGTATTTATTAAGAATTAATCGCCATTTTATAAAAGTTCACATGCGATAAGAATGTTTACACTTTAAAATTATTAATGCTGGGGATCGTGAGTTCGATCTCAAAATAAAACAACTTTAAGTTACTAAACTGAGGTCCCATGTCATCATGGTGTTATCTTGCTCTTAACATTGCATGTTGAAGAATCCTTTGTTTTTTTCTGGAATATTACTAACAGTCTTTTCGAATAAGTTTCCTGTGTCGACTTTAAATAAACTTATTTCAAACCCGATGAAATTTCAGCATTTATACCATATGATGTTCAAACAGAAATCAATATTGGAGCCAATCTTGGCAAGTTAGCCTTGTTTTCATTTCTAGAGTCTAAAAGTCCATATCAAATGTAAATCTCACCCCATAGAGTATCGTTATCATTTCCAGAGTCATTGGTTAATATAAAATCCATATCATACACCATTTAGCCCAGTTTTCATTATTGAAAGAAAAGAAATCCATGTAAAATCCTTATTATAACTGAAGTTCTTTGAAAATGTAAAAAAGGGTGGTGTGAAATAAAGAAGTCATTAAATATGATGGTTCTGTTGGACTTGTACATAGCTGCAAAGCGTTTATCAGACTTGGCTGGCGCCTTTTCCAATCTAGTTTTGACACCTGTGTACTCGTCCAATACAATTAAGTTTTGTACTCAACAATTTATGATAACCCCATATTATTTCACAACTTCAACGTTTAAAATGTAACTATTAAACATCCAGCGTTTGCACCACGTGAAATTCAAGTTAAAGTTATTATTTGACCCAGTCTTATCAATTTAACCTTGTTTTCATTTTCCGAGTAAAAAAAAGTCCATATGAAATCTATATCTGTACTTATTCTAGCCTCGTTTACATTGTTCGGAAAAAACAATCCATATCAAATCCGCACTTTACTCCGTCAAACCTATTTTCATTTTCCGAAGAAATCATATCAAATCATATATTAAGTTCTTTAAAAAAATTAAAAAATTGGTGATCTGTTATAAAGAAGTCATTATACATGTTTAGTGTTTGAAAATATTTTTTGTCCAACAGAATTGCAGTATTTCAAATGAATCATAACATATTTACTTTGGTGAATTAGCAAACTGTTAATCAGTCTAGTAAATCGACTGTTTGTAAAAGAAATTAAAACACTAAGCTGCGCCACGCCTCACCAATCTAATTTTGTGAGTAGTACTAATAAACTTTAACTTATAGATAATTTTCAATACGATGCTGAATACACTGCTGTCAAACCTGTATTGAACGAGGCTCAAACTTATGTGTTAATTAACTATAAGTTTAATATTTTAACCATCATCATCATCATCATAATCATCATAATCATCACCATCATCATCACCAGCAGCAGCATCATCACCACCACCACCAACAACAACAACAACCAGACACGACAACAACAACGACGACGACAGCAACTTCCGTGATATCCCTATGGTTTAACTTTGCATGTATATTGAAAACATTGGAATCAGTTAAGATATTTTTATCGATTTTGTATTTATACTAATTACTAAATAAAAAGAACTTTTAATAAGATACCTAAAAGTTTTTGTTATTCAGATGTAGTGTCAATAACGGACGCTGTATAGACATCCTGGAAACGACGAAAAGTCGTATTAAGAAAGCTACATAGATGTTCTACTTTAAACGCCTTCGCCGTAGAGTTGCTAATAACATACCGGGCCATGTCTTTGCGTTTATACGGCAAATGTAAAGATGCGACATCTGAAGTGTTCATGGCGTTGTTCTTATGCAGCTCGCAATGTAAACGCCGAATTTCTCTGTTTGTTCGTGCATGTTCAAAATAGTGGCCGTGGCATTGCGTTTTTGTATTTTATCTTCATGGCGATTCAAATCGACCCTACGACGTCTATGACGTTTCCACTCCCTTTAAGGTCGCCCTATGGATGCCGTTAGGATGCCTGTTCTGTGTGACGGGGTATTAAATTAATATTTACAACTTTATTTCAAATATTGAATAAAATAGATGCATTTAGTTTACCATTCAGTTGGCGTTATATCCGGAAACATTTATTTAGGTACTTAATTCTATAAATAATATTTCCTCAATTAGGCAGACTTTCCGTCAGATTTTAAGTCATAAATTAAAAACTAAACTAAAAAAAACAAAATAACAACAAACAGCGACATTTTATTACCTTTAATGATTTGCCATTGATAGGAAAACCAACACACTAATTTTGATTCATATGTAAAATTGGGATGATTTGGCCGACATAATGTGCTCCCTAGGTCCTACCTTTATCTATCTAAAGTCTGATAATACATGGCCTAATGGTGATTTACAGAATATAAACCGTTATTTAGGTAACTTGGTATGTTCGTAATGGACAATTACGATCTAATTACGAACATTTGCATGTCGGTGTGGCCATTTGACATTTTGTATCAAATAATATGGTCGTGATAGCTTTGAGAAATAGTTCCTGCATGGTAATATGAAGTACTATTTTTTGGATTTTCGATCATTTATTTCGTGTTTTTGTATAGTTTCACAAGTTTCATCAATATTTAAATGATGCTGCAGTAATATTTTGGTAATAATGTTAGAACTTGTAGTATTGATCAATAAGATTGAACGCCATTCGTCTGCCTAGTTCCCGGATATCGTATTATCATTTCTTGATAAATTGGCAGTTTTCAAACTAAATTGGCGCACTTATGGCTGACATTTCTAATGGCTATGATACATATTAATTCCCTTAGCTAATATTTTACGTTAATAGAAATTTCTTGTTCACTTTTAACATTTATTCATTGTGTTAAAGGCCAAGTCAAGAAGAAACAAATTGAAAATTTTCAATAAACATTCACATCAAGAGTGACAATTCATCACTGGGGTGTAAATAGGCATGTCAAAATTGCCGTCAAAAGTAACTGTTATGTTGATGCTATGTTTTGAATTTGTTTCTCAACTATCTTGAAATGATTTAAATATTGCATTAGGTCTTCTTCGTGTTTCCTTCCTAAATAGAGAATATCCATAATTGGGATTTTATAATTAACTTTTGCAAACTTATGAGTGTTCAAAATATTTTAACTGAAATAAAAGCGCAACATGACGGAATACCTAACGCCTATCTTGAGAGGAGCGGGAAATCTAGCGCAACGAATAAAAAGTGTACTTTATATTTAAATATATGATATTTTCTTATTTTCATGTATGGACATTTTTTTTCTAAATGTGTTGTTTCTCTGTGAACATCAAAAGTCAACGCTGGTTCAATAAGAAATATAATCCATTATTTTCTAACATGTGCACGCAATAAGATATGGAGAAAAAACAAGATCATAAAGGAAGCGCGTTGTTCAATGAAGGCAAGATGAAACTGATTTATTTTATTTTATTTAGTTTAAGCATTACTATATAAGTTTAGTTTGACTGTGAAGGAAGCTTGAAACATACGAGTACATGTATTTATAGCACTCCTCAATTTGCAAAGAAGTTTTTGTGTTACATGACGAAATAAGGACTCCAGTAGGGCTGGAACTCACAAATCCTGGGATGATATGCAGACTATTTAAACACAAGGTCATATGCTTTGCCAATATTATTTGGATTGTAGAAGAGTATGTCTAAAGTAAATACATTTTTGATATTATAAAAAATGGTGTGCTGCCTAAATTCGTAACCAATGCCCTGCTGCAATATTCAACAACATAGGAGGGCATATCGAATTATAGTGTGAAATGATTTTTTTTGCTTACTAAGCTATCAGAGCAGCATAGCATGACATTCCATTCTTACAGATAAACATACTGAAAAACATGTATAGTGTAAAATTAACACCCTGCTGCAATGCTTAGATAACAAAGCAA